TCTGCATGCCAGAACCTATCAGAAAGCTCATCTGCAAGTGTTCTTGAAAATCTGATACATAGCCAAAGCAGGACGGGCTACCCTTCAAGTCAGCCACACCAGACTATAACAAGCTAAAGATGGCTGTCTTCTGACGTGGCAGCCGGTTGATGGCCCACCTCCGCCTTCAATTCAAGGAATCCTGACAGGGACTTTGATGGCCCCTGCCAACTGCATTGAGCTATTGGTGGACGATTGACGCTCGTGGCACATTTCGTCAATCTTTCGCTGACAGGTTCAGCTGAGCCTGGCTTTTTCGCTTGTTGATGCTTAAGCTCCCTTACATTTGGCATGATATATTGGCCTTGAAGAGCACAATGCATTTCCTGCCACGCCATTGAAATTTAATACCGGGCTACAGACTGACTGGTCTACGTCGGTACCCAATGGTGCCGCTGGGCCCCTGGTTTGAATTATGACAAGGCTTGGTTTGTATGTCGGTCAGTAACCGCTTGCTGGTCTATATGGGTGAATGATAGAGTTGACCGCTTCTGACCGAGGGACATTTCCTTGATTTTTCCCTGATGCCGAGTTGGCCATGAAATCAAAGATATTACACAGCATCTGTAATGTCGCACAAACATCATGTTTCAAAACATCGGAGTCTTTGCTGGGTATCTGGACACATTGTTGACTGGTACTTGATAGTGGCGGTTAATAGCTCCATCAATTTTTCGGAAATTCCTGTCGTATCTTCCTGTCTTCTCAGCATATACTCAAGTCAGGTCTTGACTTTGAGACCATGTATAGGACATAGTATAACGACTTTCTCCCATATCTTCCGGTAGCCCCTCAAGAGCTCACTAACTACAATATACGGCTGTATGGCCTCAGATACAATCATAAATATATCAATTTACTTAATTTTTCATGAATGTGAGTGCCTCCGATGAATGTTGAAGGCCTGATCCACAAGGCATCAATATATTTGGATGTTTACACGTGATCTCGGGGAAAATATCCTGAAAAGCCAAGATATTCCGGCCGCTAAAAATTATCTACAGAAAAAAAAAGCGGCAGCGCATCAGTCGCAACAAAAGCTTCGGCACCACGCTCTAATATCTCCATTGCGTCTACGAGATGAGTGTTTAAAGGCTGATACCACAGCCTAAGCTGGAATAATCCTGAATTGTTATTCAGCACCACCGTCCGATTTACCTCGTTCCAATACTCGCAGAGCTCACAGACTTCGAAGCCTAAAGTACCAACCATGGATATCCACCGTTGCCGATTCGTTTCCTACAACCCGCAGGCAATCAATGCGCTTGCATTCTCACATCCCCCTTCCGCAGACCAAGCAGGCCGAGGCGTTTCCACCCTCCGACTCGCGATCGGCCGTGCAAACGGCGACATCGAAATATGGAACCCGATGCGTGGAGCCTGGTTCCAGGAGACTGTGATGCGTGGAGGCAAAGATCGGAGCATTGAAGGACTTGCATGGACCCTCGACCCCATGGAGGACGGTCCCAACGGCTCCAAGGTTCCTGGCAAGCTGCGTCTATTCAGCATTGGATATTCCACCGCCGTCACCGAGTGGGACCTCGAGAACGGTCGTCCACTACGCCACTCCAGCGGCAATTACGGTGAGATCTGGTGCCTTGCTGCGCAGCCGCGCTGGCAGGCGACTAAGCGGGGCAAGGATGGGAAGACCCTTCTTCCCGCCGAGGGCGAGTTCATGGGTCAGCACCTTGCGGCTGGATGTGCGGATGGCTCAATTGTGATTTTGTCTACTGCCGATGACGAGCTTAAGTTCTTGCGTTTGATGCGTCCTTCGACGAAGAAAGCGCGTGTGCTTAGCGTTGCTTTCCAGAACCGCCACACCCTTGTCGCTGGCTACGCTGATAGTTCCATTCGTCTATTTGATATTCGTAATGGTCAGCAGTTGAGGACGATTTCGCTGGGAAAGGGTCCAACGGGTGGTCCTAAGGAGCTTTTGGTCTGGTCTGTGAAGTGTCTGCCGGATGGCACTATTGTCTCCGGTGACTCGGCTGGTGAAATCCGCTTCTGGGATGCAAAGAACTATTCGCTTGTTCAACGGATACAAGGTCACCTCGCCGATACACTTGACGTGGCTGTGAGTGCCAATGGCGATACTGTTATCAGTGGAGGTGCCGACCAGAGGACGGTTGTCTACCGCAAGAAGGAAGGCGAGAAGGGCGATAAGAAGAGTCGCTGGGCAGAAGTTATGCATCGTCGCTACCACACTCACGATGTCAAGACCTTTGCTGTCTACGAGACCAAGGAAATCAGTATCGCCGTGTCTGGAGGTATGTTGAAAGGGCTCCGTGAACCAGGTTATTCATGCAATGCTAACTGTTTCGTTTAAAGGTCCCGATGCCACACCTATCGTTCTGCCTCTGCGTGAATTCGGAAAGGAACACCACCGCAAGCTTTCCAGCTTACCACAGATCCCCCAACTTACCTCCGCACCCTCGTCTCGATTGGTTATGAGTTTCTGGGATAGGGAAGTCAGTCTGTGGCGTGTGTCCCGGGGCCCGGCCTCTTTGCACGAGAACATTGATGGCCAAAGGCATAGACTTGTTGGAAAGGTGTTGATCCAGGTATGTGGCTTTCCAATCAGTATAGCATACGAGAGACCTAGTCCTGACCATTACCTCTCTCTCCAGGGTGAAGAGAACATTTCATCAGCAATGCTGTCCCCAGACGGCAAGACACTCGCCGTCGCAACAATTGCTGAAGTGAAGCTGTTTGCCATCCGTCGCCGCAAGGGCGATGAGAAGGGTGCCCTGCGTATCCAAAAGATCGAAGTCCCCAAGGCGCTTTCCGACGACGGTGCTCGCCTTGTCACTATCTCCCCAGATGGTCGCTGGGTTTCTATTGTCCGTCCCAACAGCGAGGTCTACATGGCACGGATCCAGCCCGCCTCCGCGCCCACCGAGAAGAGCCAAGTGGCACCGCAATTCGCGAAGCTCAAGAGAACCACACGGCATGTACGACACGAAAAGGCCACCCACGGAACACTGGGTGAATACGAGAAGACGATACGATCTGTGGTGTTCTCCGATGATAGCAAGATTCTGGCTTGTGGTGACCTCTCCGGTTGCATCGACACCTGGGTGCTGGGCACAGAGACAGGGTCCGGTGCAAACGGTGCAGTGAAGCGGAACGGAGCCGCAGAGTCTGACGACGATTCATCCGATGACGAGGACCAGGATGTCGCGTTTGAGGGCGAGCGCTGGACTATCGCTGCTACCGAATCACCAATCCCCCGTATGAAGTCAGGAATCACCTTGTTGTCTTTCCGCCCCAAGAGCGCTCCCACACAAAAGCTTTTGGCCAACGGCACGAATCAGTCGGAAGAGTCTCGCTTGATGGTACTCACAAGTGAACATCAACTCATTGAATTCGATGCTCGCGATGGAAAACTATCCGATTGGTCAAGACGCAACCCCAAGGCATACCTCCCCGCCGAGTTCCGGGGCGTCAAAGACAGAGCCATGGGCTGCATGTGGGATCTCTTCGAGGGCCGCGAGCGTCTGTGGCTATACGGAGCGTCGTGGCTTTGGATGTTCGACCTCCTCCAGGATTTCCCCTCCCCCGAGGAGGTCGAGGGAGCCACCGAAGACCCGAAGAGTCAACTTGTCAAGGCCTCCAAGCGAAAACGCGAGGCACAAGACGATGATGAAGAGGAGCGGAGGAAGCACAACACCGGCGCCGGTGACCGGATCCAACAGTCACAGATGGACATCCACTTTGGAACCAAGGTCCGCAAGATTGTCGGCAGTGACGAATCGCAGGGCGAGTGGGTCGCATTGGACAAGGAGCGTCCCCGTGTTCCAGGTGAGGATGACGAGGCCTACGAGTACGATGAGGCCTTCGCAGCCAGCAACGAGACAACCCTGGCCCGTCTACGACGTGGAGATGGAGCTGCAGTTGAAACTTCAACTCCCCAGAAGGGATCACGGAAGCGTCAATCCCTCACTGCTGCCAACGGGGCTGCCGATACCCCGAAGAAGCAGGTGGAGACTAACGGCGCTCAGCCTCCGCGTCGGTGGTGGCACACCTATAAATACCGGGACATCCTGGGAATCGCACCCCTCAACAACTTGTCGGACGACGGTTCGGACGAGGGATCCAGTGGGCTCCTGGAAGTTGCCGTGGTGGAGCGGCCGATGTGGGATGTGGAGCTGCCTGGTCGTTATGTGAAGGACTATGAGTGAAGCCAAGAGATGTGAGATGGTTTCTGTAAAGAAAAAAAGGATGCAGCTGATTCAGACGTGTAATTTGGTCATTTGAGCATTACTTGGAGGAGCGCATTTACCGGCGCCTTTTGTACAGGGATTTTGAATTGATCTGAAAATAGCTAATGACTATATTCCCTGTAACCTGGTTCATATAGTAGTGTACTCCGTAGTGACCTGACAAAGGAAGCTCGGGATCTTGTAGTGACGATTGCGGCCTGAGGCAACCCAGTGGTTTTAAGTCCCGAACTCAGTTCACTTGACTTTGGAACCTTCCCCTAAACACTGCTGGATCCGAGAAGTCCTAAACGTATTCTCACTTGCTACTTATTCACTTGCTCTCACTTGTCCGCGAATCCCCGAAATCTCCAATCCGCTTATCGGCTTATCGTCAACAACGTCAGCTGGACGACGTCCCTCTCTCTCCCCCTCCGTAGGCCACAACAAAGGCCCTGGATCACCTGTCATAAACCCACTTCAAAGAGCATAACCTCTCATCCAAGGAGACAAGGAACTAGGTCGTCCCTCCCGAAACGAATCCAGGGCGGGGCAACTCCAGATCGAGGAAAGCAAGCCCAACAAGCTGGCCCCTTTTCAATAAAACGGCCCGCATATCCCCTAGAATCAGTATCAGTATCAGCTCTGCTGCTTTTTCGGACTCACATCCCAGGATCTCTCAACTTCACTCCAGACCCTCACAGAAGCACACCTCCCTCCGCCCGCCAGTAACCGCAGCCAGCCTGCACAACTACAGCCACTATGGGCCTCTCATACAACGTCTACTTGACTGCCAACAAGATATTCGGGTGCAAAGGGTGCAAGACCCATTTGGCAGATTACAATGATATCATCAGTCGGGTATGTGCCTCTTCTCACACTACTATCCTGATACTTTTACTTTCCCCGCACCTATGAGGAAAGGCCCGCTGCTAACCCGCGACTCTCTTTTCGATCCATATAGAACTTTCGAGGTCAGCATGGAAAGGCATACCTCTTCAACAACGTCGTTAATGTCACGGAAGGCGAGGCCGTCGATCGCAATATGACAACTGGCCGACACATTGTCCGCGATATCGCTTGCAGACAGTGCAAGGAAACGGTAGGGTGGAAGTATGACAAGGCATATGAGAGCAGCGAGAAATACAAGGAGGGCAAGTTCATTCTTGAGGAGGAGTTACTGTGTGTCGTGTGCTAGTGGAGGTCAACCCTCCACTTCGGGCGACTTGCAACTCTTGAGTCTCTCGGTGTTGATCTTCGATACGGGCACTTGACGGCCCATTTTTGCTCTTTTGAAAGCGCGGGTTGCATTTATGAGCATCATGATTCTATTATTATTATCAGACTGGTTCTTGCGGCTTGCTTGCGTTGTGCTTTTTTCTCTTTCCAGCTCTGGTGTTTACAACTGGCGTTCCTGGGCATTTGGTTTGATTTGATTCCTAGTTTCTCTTGGGCCTGACGAGACTGGGATGGGCTATTTGCAGGACTGCCTCCTGGCAGTGTTTATATAGCTTTGAATGCAGTTTGATGGCTCATCACTCTCCCGCGTACCGTCGTTCCGTAGTTCTTGAAGGGGCCATGTTCTCTAAAAGTCTGTCTCTTCACACTACTTCAAACTACAAGTCTCCCGGAATTTGGGAGCTTGCAGCTGTATTGAAAGAGCCGCCTTTCGCTTCTAGAACCATCCCGTAGAGAAGCCGGCTCGACCTATATCCTATTCCGGCATCATCTAGCAGTGGAGACAAAACACAGTGGACATATCGTACCAGCCCCACCAGAACAATTCGCACAGAAGTCCGAGAATGAAGAAATTGCTCAATAGAATTATCTTCCTCTCTCGGATCCAACTATAAATTGGTCGTTCGATATCGAAGAAAAAAATTATCTCCGACACGAAACGGTTGACTAAGGGCTCCCCCACTATTGCCCCAAGTAAGTCTCTGCTAACTGCCGAAGGCCTTTCTCTAGTACAAAGAGCAAGGGCACAATTGATTAATTGAATCATTCAGAATGGCTGCTACTACTACCTCGGAATCTGGCATGATGCAGGCTGTTATCTTCCACGGCCCTTATAAAGTTGCTGTTGAGCAGAGGCCCATTCCTAAGGTGCAGGACCCTAACGATGTTGTGGTTAAGGTGGGATATACTGCGCTTTGCGGAAGGTGAGATTGGTTATTGTTCATTTTGAGAAGAAAAAAAATAGACTTCAATTCTAATGATATCTGCTTGTAGTGAGCTGCACATGTTCCGTGGCATTGAGCCCGCTGGAACCGGCTTTATCATGGGCCATGAGTTCGTGGGAGAGATCGTTGAGTTGGGCAGCGGTGTGAAGAATCTCCAGAAGGGTGACCGTGTCGTTACTGCGTTCACTACTTCTTGGTAAGGAACTTTTCCTCACAAGGCACATTGACAATATGCGGCCCTAAGATATGGCCTTCGCGCTGACATCATTATAGCGCGGAGTGCTTCTACTGCAAGCAAGGGTGGTCTTCTCGCTGTGAAAAGAGCAGCCTCTTTGGATGTGCAAACCTGGACGGTGGACAGGCTGAATATGTGAGTCTTACGTGCCAAGCTGGTGTATTCACTGATGCTAACCCAACCAGGCCCGCATCCCCAATGCCGAAGGCTCCGTCATGAAGGCCCCTGAGGGCGTGGACGAGAAGTACCTGGTGCTCATGGGAGACATCTTCCCCACTGGATGGTTCGCAGCCAACAATGCATTCAAAAACTCCACCCCGGAGCAGATTGCTGAGCAGACTGTTGTCCTCATTGGTTGTGGACCCGTTGGTCTCTGTGCTCTCATCAACGCGCTCGAGTACAAGCCCAAGCATATCCTGGCTGTTGACTCGGTCCCGTCGAGACTTGAGCTTGCCAAGTCTCTCGGCGCTGAGCCCTGGAACTTCCAGACAGACCGTGCTGGTCTGGACAAGCGTGTGCAGGAGTTGACGAACGGCCGTGGTGCGGACGCTGTTATTGAAGTGGTTGGCTTGAGTCCTGCTTTGCGCACTGGGTATGAGTTGTTGCGTCCTTGGGGTACTATCAGCAGTGTTGGTGTTCACAATGGCGAGGTGAGTAGCTATCCTCTAGATGGAAGTAGTGTCGCTAAGACAGTTCGGACAGATTCCCTGGAATGGGGATGATGCCTATTCTAAGAACTTGACCGTTCAAATGGGTCGATGTCCTGTTCGATCAGTTGCACCCCAGGCTCTGGAGGTGCTGAAGAACAACCAGCATAAACTTGGGTGAGTGATGCTGCTGTTTGATGTTGGATGTTTTCTAATGTTTGAATAGCTTCATGCTCGATAAGGTTATGCCGCTTTCGCAGGCGGTGGAGGGCTATGAGCTGTTTAACGCGATGAAAGTGCAAAAGGTTGTATTCCTAGCTGGACAGTAGAGTAGAAAGTAGAACTGAACAACTGAAGAACTGAAGAAATGAAGAAATGAAGAAATGAAGAAATGTTCACACTGAAGTCATCCGGACCAGAGATACTCGGTTGGGTCCGCTTAATACACACCCACCTCGTCTCTCTCCTCTTTCTCTTCTCCTCCACCTCTTCACTTCTATCCTCTGCTCTCTTGTTCTCTCCTGTGCTTCTCTTTCCTCCCTCTTCCTCGTTCCTCTTTCCCTTCTCCTTCTCTCCTCGATATCTCCCGCCTTTCTGCCGTTTTCCCCTCCTCATTTCTCCACTTCGGTAAGTCCCTCATCTTGCCATTTTTAGCGCATCATCACTGTTATGCGCGCCTTACTTCTTCTTGCGCAAAATCCTGACTATTTCATTTGAAGACTCTACTTTTCCTCATTTCGCGCCCGTACCTGAAACACCCCATCCTATCCCACCACACACCTCTCAAACCACCTCCCTCAACTCCAACAATGGAGACTACCGAAATTCACCAGACCACCGTCGTGGACGAGCCCATGACCGATAACTTCAACGAGAACCTGGCCGACCAGGGTGAACTTGAGGCGCCTCTCAAGACCGAGGAGGAATACGCCATCTCCGAGTTGACTCTCCGTGCTATCGTCTCCTCCAAGGAGGCCGGTGTCATTATTGGCAAGGCCGGCAAGAACGTCGCTGACCTGCGCGATGAGACCGGTGTCAAGGCTGGCGTGAGCAAGGTTGTTCCTGGTGTCCATGACCGTGTCCTCACTGTTACTGGTCAACTGCGCTCGCTTGCTCGGGCCTACGCGATCGTGGCCAAGGGTCTTCTGGAGGGCGCCCCGCAGATGGGTATGGGCGGCGTTGTCTCTAACAACGGAACCCACCGTAAGTGACCACTTTTCTTCGCTTTTTGATATCTGGATTTAGACTCGCTTTTGGATGGGCGTCGAAGAGATCCGTAGGAGTCATTTTGTTCGAGAACTGCGCTAACATATTCCAGCCGTTCGCCTTCTGATCTCTCACAACCAGATGGGTACCATCATCGGACGACAGGGTCTCAAGATCAAGCACATCCAGGATGCATCGGGTGTGCGCATGGTCGCGCAGAAGGAAATGCTCCCCCAGTCTACTGAGCGCATCGTGGAGGTGCAGGGCACCCCCGAGGGCATCGAGAAGGCTGTTTGGGAAATCGGCAAGTGCCTGCTCGACGACTGGCAGCGCGGCACCGGCACCGTTCTCTACAACCCCGCTGTTCGTGCTTCTCTCAGCAGCTCGCAGCCCTTGAACAACAACCCCGTGTCTAGCAACAACAACAACTACCAAAACAGCCGCCAATACAACCGCACCGGTAACGGCAACGACTTCAGTGACGGCGGATACAACCGCCGATCCAACTCCGACGCTGGCAACCGCGGCTACCCTCTGGTCACCGAGGACGGCGAAGAGATCCAGACTCAGAACATCAGCATCCCCGCAGACATGGTTGGCTGCATCATCGGCCGGGCCGGTACCAAGATCACCGATATTCGCCGCAGCTCCGGAGCCCGCATTTCCATTGCCAAGGCCCCTCACGACGAGACTGGCGAGCGCATGTTCACCATCATGGGCAGTGCCCAGGCCAACGAGAAGGCCCTTTACCTTCTCTACGAGAACCTCGAAGCTGAGAAGACCCGCCGCAGTCAGTCCCAGGAGTAAGCTCCCTCGGATTTCCCCTGGTATGTGTGCATGAGACGGACCTAGCGGATTCCCCTTTGTGTTCTCTGACCTTACGATTTCCTTGGAGACTGTCGGTCACGATCAGCGGCGGTCATGTGCTAGCGCTTTTATTTTATTTTTTCTACTTCTCTATTTCGTTTTCAAGTGCCTCCAGGTTCCTTTATCACTTCCCCTTTTTTGATTCTTCCTGAGTGTTCTGGCCTCGTACGTCGCTCTTATTCACAAAAAGCAAAGGTTCACTGCGATGAATGGATGGAACATGCGTATTAGATACCAAGTCCGGGTGGTCTTTCTCGACCATCGTGCGTTGAATTGAACCGCTAACTCAACACTGTCCCTCGATCCTTGCTCTCGAATTCGTTACGTTAATCGTGACAGACCAAATCCTCCATTTCCCTCTTCGCTCCTCATCCAGCATGAACTTTCACCGTGATATCCCTAATCCCGTCTCTCTCCCGACCTCTGTCAAACTTCCCAGTCTCTACCTCACTTGTCCTCGTTCCACCTTGTACGCCGCCAGTCGCTGACGAACGGCGTATATTGATCCTTTGCTTTCGACTTCCCATTCTCCTTTCCTCTCTACACTCCCTACCTCCATTCATGTTCCACCTCTTTACTCTACTGCGATTCTCCCCCTACCATTCACCAAACACCCTTGAAATAACAAAAAAAGACACCCTTCTATCTCCTAATTTCTCCTTTTTCGCGCCTGACCTGAACCTCTTCTATTTTATCTCCTCCCCGCGTGCTCCTGCTTTTTTTTCCTCTGAGAATATGAATATCTTCTATGAAATATCTTCCCTGAATGAAGTCATAGGACAGTGTCATGCCATATCTGAATCTGATAAAATATCAAGAAAAGATGGTCCCATAGTGATGACTGTAGAAAAGAACTTGGTGAGTACTATACTAACTAGTAGGGTATCGATTGCCTAGATATGAAGCTCATAACGTTTTACCTTCCCATGTCACGAACGTAGAACAACAAAGTCATATTTGCATCTATATGCACAGGCATCTTATGGCTCATCTTGCTGTAATGGGACAATCTTTTCATCATACTTGATTTAGGATGAGTTCATCTTCAACACAAGCTCATCCAACCATTACACCCCGGACTTGATAAAAAGCCAAGCATATTGCACTGGGCCCACCTGGGACTGGGGGATGATTCTCCCAAACTCGACGATTACCAACTTCACTACAGTCTCCTCATGCTTTTCCAAAACTGCAACGGATATTGAGACTTCATCTTTCATCTGGGGCTGTTGGTTTCTGTCCTGTTGGCATGGCACAATTGCCTCAGAGACCAGGCCTCCTCTGTTTGCTTGCCCTAATCCATAGGACTATTTAGTCTACTGCTCCTTGTAGAGGATCATCATCCTTGTTCCTCCCTCTCTGTCCCGCTAGTCGACAGTGCCACTAATGAAGTATTAGACAGTCTACACGAAAGCTTTAAAGCGAGTATACCGTTTCATGCATTGTTTTTGTCCTACATTAGGCTCTGCTTTTCACCTCTTTTTGCCCATTGTCGAGTGCCTCGGGTTAAATATCTGGATTCTAGGAATATGAGGGTAGGGGTGTGAAAGGACTAATGACCTATGAATATCTCATTTCATTCATCGTTATGTACCTGCAATTCATGACATACAAAAGAGACAAATAGTAGGAGACGCCGCCGATGGATGGTTTTGTACAAAGAAAAGACAAGATGCGGGAAACCAAAGAAGCCACAGTGAATTGGCATATGCGGGAGTCGCTGCGTAAGAAGTGGATATGCGACATTAATCAATGCTATCGTCTAGGTTTACATTGTTATTTGGCGTGGCCGGGGTGCGATTCCTTAGGCCGAATCTTCGAGCGCCTAGGCTGTTGGTTCGGAGCCGATTTTGCTGTATTGGGGTGTAGCTTGTGGCCATTTTGCTTGATGGGGTCGAGATCCTTGTTTGTTGAAGTTCCACTGGGGATCTGGGGCTATCCTCGACTGGTACGTTGTTTGTTGAGAAGCTTGGGGAGAGACCATAACGGCGGGATCCGGCTTGGATGTTGGAGCGGGAAGTTGCTGGTGTGTATGTAGCAGGGATGGTATTGTTTCGTCGGAATGAGAGACTGTTTGAGAGGGTGGGTGTTCGAGGCTGTGATTGCTGTGGTTGAGGAACTTGTGACTGGTATTGGGGAGAGCGTGGAGAGAGACCTAGGCCAGAATCGTTCTGGACACCGGAGACGGAGCGAGAGAAGGAGCGTCCGTGGAATCGTTGCCGGGGTGAATCTTGAGTAGGGACTGGTGTGCCGATTTCTGTTGTAGCTCTGGAGACTGACCGGCTGTGCGGGTTTTCCATTTCTCCGTTTTCCTCGCCGACTGTCATTCTGCGACTGCGGAGAGATGTTGACATCCGGTTCAGACGACTGGTTGGGGTAGGAATGCCCGGAGATTGAGCCGGGCTCTGTTTGATGTCTGTGTTTCCTGGGCTAGTGTTGACCAAGGACGCGCGACGGGCTTCAAGTCGGCTGGAAATGCGAGTGGTGGAATGGCGCCGCTCATTCGCTTCAGGTTCCTGATTCCCATTTCGCTGATACGTCGGTACGGGCATGGTCATGCGGTGATCGTGCTCCACGCCATTCGACAGCTGGAGCTGCCCGCCTGCACCACGGCTCGACTGTGGTCGGGTGTTCTTCAATTGCTCATCTGTCAATGCCAGACAAAGCTCAGTCAGGCTGCGACACACGCTGTCCGCTTTGCGGCGGGCGTGTCTCTCAGGCGAAGTGTATCCTCCATTCACGACCGAGACGGTGCCTGACGGAGCGGCATTGACGCCCAACGCGGTGGAAAGGTTCAACGCATCGGTGATCGTCGCTTCGAGGGACGTGTACACCTCACCGCTTAGAACAGCCTTGGCTTTGGACAATGCGGATTGCAGGAGAGGGTGGACTTGGTTCTGATAGTCACTATCACCAGCCGGAACACTGGCTTTGCGGTGGTATTTGGGTGAAGAGGATATGGTAGTCATGGCCGAGGTTGCGGTGCGCGGTCTGTCATTGGGGCTGCTATACATAGCTGCAGCAGACGATGGAGGTAGCTTCCCTGTCAGCTCTAGCTTTTTGATCCGATCTTTGAGGTCATCCAGCTCGTCCCAGACTGTAGAGGGAGCCGCGGTCGATAAGGTCGACTCCGTTTCATCGGCGCGCGATCTCTCGACTTCGGTTCGCGCTCGGTCGTTCACCTCAGAAGCGGAAGGTTGTCGACTGCCTCGGATTGTAGAAAGTCCCGAATAGCGGTTAAAGCGGGGTTCGTGTAAGGAGGACCGTCGGTCATCCGCTACAGACGGTGTGCGCGGAGATGTCTCTGGACTTGTGCGACTGAAACGACTTCGAGGGGCGCCGATCGTGGATCGCGCGCCGGATCCCAGGCCACTGTAGCGCAGTCGACTCGAGTCATCTAGGGGATGGGCTGATGAGGCCGGCGTGTGGACGGAGGAGTAGGGGGTGGTTGGGGAGCCATTTTGCGTAAGCAAGGGGTCGATATTGCTGTATCGCTGATCAGGTGTGGGAGTTTGTTCTGACGGTGACCGTAGACTCTGACTGGAATATCCAAGCCGTGACTGTGTTTGGTTAGCACTGAGGTCGCAAGGTCGGGCCGTGAATGCCAGAGCCGCCAGGAATGCGATCGGCTCCGATTCATTGTTGGACTCACCCGGCGGAAATCAGAGCGTCCTATCGAGTCGCGACGACCAGAGTCTGTTCTCGCAATGTTCAAGAAGACGTCCTCGTTCTTCGGGCGACTGTCCATGGTTGGCGACTTGTCAGGTCCCAGTCTCAGAGCATTTTCCGTTCTAGAATAAGCCACGCTTGATGGCATGGTTCTCTTCACATCAGGGCGATCTTGAGGGTCGTCTTGTTGTCTCTTGGAGACATGGGGAGCTTGGGGGCTGGGAGAGTTAAAGCTAAGGACGGATCGCCGGGCTCGATTCAATAAGGAGCCTTTGGGTTTAGAGTCGGGCGTTTCACGATTGGTGGGGCCCCCGAAGCGAGAGTGCAGCGACAAAGAACGCGAGTGAGGACTGGCCCGGGTATCTGCAGCCATATTTGAACTCGTATGGGCAAGATTGCAATCGCTTCACCATTTGGATTGTCCTGGAGGGCCTGACGTTTCTGGGGAAAGCAAGTTGAATGGCATCCCGGCAATTGAGAACATACACAATTGGGCACAATCTGGCACAATCTGCCGAGCGAAAAGGCAGGAATGTGTAGAGTGTCTTCAGATATTGACAAGCTGTCACGGCTAGTGACAACTGGACCTGTCAGAAGTTGAGAAAGCAAAAGGAAAAGATTTACGGAGTACATCGGGTGGATATACACTGTGGCTGGGAAAATTTCAATATAGACGAGCCCCAGGTCTCTGTCTATTTATGGAAGGACAATGCACTATAAGATATTCGATATCAAGCTGTTATGATTGTGTTAAGAATTATGATTGTTCTATACAGAGCACAGTCGCTTGAAGCTATACCCTGGTCAGGTACCCATGCAAGTGCATGTAAACCCAACCTTAGCCAGTAAACCCTATCATATAACAAACACCCCTGAATCTACATCAGCCTCCATGTTCGAACTTGAAACGCGTGGTTCTGTTATAAAAAATCTTCAGTTTCAATATTTCTCCAACAAATAAATAAAGGTTTGATCCATGGTTCTGTTTCACCGGAGACCGTGGTAGACCTGAAACGGCCACCTGAGGTGTTTTATATTGGACATAGTGAAGTATGTAGATTAATGTAGCATATCCATATCTTGGAAGATATCAGTACAACTTTTAGACTTGCTCTGCCAGGCACCAGTATATTACATCTTACTGCATTCCATGTTTTTGGGACACGTAGCCCCTGCTAAGGCCGAGCTGTGTTCCCACTCGCTATTCTGGTTGATCGAGAGGGTTGTGAATTTGTCGCTGTCGGCTGTGATCCCGTACACTGTGGAAGTTCGAATCGGCTCGCTTTCTGTTTCTGAGGAACGGTCAGAGAGGTACTTTCCACCGAAGACCAGATTTCAAAGACATACCCATATAGCTCAATGCTTGTGCTAGTCCTTTTACAGAAGAGCCATGTTTCATTCACTTTCACGATGATCAGGTGGTTCGCTTTGAGATTGTTTTACCCCCGCACCATAGGGTGTAGTCACAGATTCCATGTGCCTTGCTTCGAGGCGTTTTCTGGCAAGTCAGATGGTTTATTTAGTAGCTGCCGTAGCCTAACTTGTGGACGACCTCATACCGACCATTGAGGTGTTTGTCGCATGAGCTGGGTGGTATCAGAGCTTTTCGACTTTCTATTTGCCATCGGTATATAGGCAGTGGCGAGGCATTAGGATCTTTGCGGGATTATGTAGAGTGGTGTCGAGATCTTGCTTTAGTTGCGTTGCGAGTATGACAGTCGGGAGAGTGCTACTAGTCATAAATGTGTACAGTATACAGTGCCATGAAGTATTGGACAGTCTCTTAGTTGCTATATAAAATCACCGTCGATGGATGAGACGGTTTCCACCATTGCATTGTGAGCAAAGCCGCTAGGTGCAATATTGCGCAATCCTAGGATGTTATCTTGACTTCGAAGTTCTCGGCCGATGTAGCTAGAGCTATATCTGCGCCGTGGATTGTGATTGGATTGTATTCATCCGTGTGTTGTGGTTCATGGTAGTATGTCCATGTCCCTTTCCATGTCCAATCGAATGACTTTGTCTTTGTTACCAATAGACAGTACATTCGCATTACAAGAACATATTTTCAAACCTGCAACCTTTGAAATGTTAACCAGCGAGGGGCTATACAGTTGCCTCGGAGACACCCGAGAAGATGCCAGTGGAGAGACCAGACAAGGGTCTGAATGGGCCAGAGGTTCCTCGATACTGTGTCCCTCCTGCTATGATATTTCAGTCAAGGTGGTCGATACCCAAGTCATGATATCAGACTTTGGCGTGTTCTTTTTACAAAACCAAGAGCCCACAGGCCCATGGATTTCTATTGGACTTCTGCCGCCTGAGGTGTCCTTGAACATATTGTCCGGGCTATTGCATTCCCTACGACATTCTGGGTGAACGTCCGCTGGAAGGGTTCAGGCCAAATGAAGCCAGTGTCATTACAGAGATGATCAGTATCCTGGGATATCTGCCAAATCGTTGGCGTAATGGACGACAACAAAGAAGTAATTTCATTCTTAAGATCGGTTGTGGAAGATCATGGGACGAGGAGGGGATCCAACAACCTTCCAGTTTGATATGAGAGAGATGGAGGCTTTCAAAAGTAGGCGATAATGACTGAGCCCTTGGAGCGTATTACTACAAAGAATGATTGAGGGCTCGATGAACAACCAAAGATAATCTCAACCCTTAGCCATGGGCCTATCAAATGCCTGGCCCCCGTATAGGCTGAATCCTTCCACACTACCCTTAGGACTAGACATGTGACAAATTAGATATGTGAATGACACTTACTCCGTAGGTATGGCCAGGCTCCAGGTATAGTATAGTGGACAGGTAAAATCAATAGTGCAATGTATGTGTACGATACAGGGGCTCAACTCCACGCCACTCTATACTGATACATCTATTGATGGAAAAATCTGGAGAGCTCTATATAATTGCAACAGACCGAGGGGTGAACCATGGCACCATCGAGACAGTATATCAACAAAGTGCATCAGCATGGAGCAGAACAAGTTTAATTGCAGCAGTTCAAAGGACCGAGCCAATCGCAGCAGACAAGTCCGAAACAATCTAGGGAACCACGTAAGCTGCTGTCATTGCACGGTAGATTATTTTTAGAAGATGAAACGGTAGTTCATGAACAGGGAAAGGGGGAAATTCATTTATCTGGAACAATCCTGGAACTTTGGTTACGGGAATGCATGTATCGTTTGAAGGCGCATTCGCAGGCATTATTGGTGCAGATATGTCGATCTGTTTCCAATCTCAGTCCGTTTACAGTAGGCTTGGCGATAGATGAGACACCGCAATGCTTCCCCAATCTCCGTTCTCCGTAAAATGTCCCAGTTTCATATAGTCCACGTGGAAAATGTTGATCATTGGAACACATTTGGATCCTTGCTCAACAATGGTGGGGCCACAACCCCCAAATGTAGGGATGGCGGAGGAGTAGAACTAAGTGTATAGGTCAGGGCTAAGTGCCGCTAGTGAATTGGCGTGTTTCAGAATGTTCGCGTTTCAGTGTTGGTTGCAGCCAATCAGAGGCTATAAAAGTATGAGAAACTATGGGTCAGCCCACCGTTCACCCGTGTGTGACAGTACAGTACAGAGTATGGACAAATGTATACATACATATGTGTATACAGTAGACATTCTCAGTTAGAGTACAAATATCAGTCTCCGTTTGAAGTGGGTTACATCATATCTAGAGTCTCTAATGGATCTGTACAGGCAATTTGGAATCAAGAGGCGAAGCTCGGGTACGCACAGATATACTCCACTATGTGCCGCCCCCTGTTACTAGGTAAGTTTGGTACATCGGGGGTGAGATAATCCCCGAGCGTGTGTGTATGGTCCCCGTACGAAGAGCTCGTTAACTACCTCATAAGTGGAGTAGTGGTAGTAGGTACCTAGGCAGTGGTATTGCAGTGTCACTTATATAGCCTCTTACGTGCGTGCACTTGACGCCCATTCCTACGCCCCCGGCGCCTAAATTTAGAGTGGCTCGGCCTGATTGGTTTCACTTCTCAAACCTCAGCCCTCTACGATCTGCGGTTGCCCATTGGACCTCCACTGCGTATTGAATTACCCTGTGGGCCTGAAATCGGAGATCGATTACATCTAAATAAAAACAACTAAGGGTCCAAAAGGCCTATACGCCTCTTTTCTTCCTTTTTCCTTTCCCGTTCCCTTTCCTTCAATCTCTCCTTCACATTCCGGTCATTCCCCGGAGGAACGACTCCGATTTACCTTTTTTTCACCTTCCTGTCCTTCTCGAATCCTTACACCTTACCACCTTACACACTTGGTATGACCCTCTACTTCCTATCTTTCCCGTCTTTCCTCTCCCTGGCTTCGCCCTTGCCTCCTCCCACTGACCTTTTCAGACCATTTGCACAGGCTGCAAATACTTTCGAATGCAATAGTCTCGTGAAGACGGGACTTTCTTTCACTCCCCCCGAACAATGCCCGTGCAAACGAGTCCACCGTCCTTCCCGGACTCATTTCCATCATTCATGTCCGTCTTTGGCGGTCCTCTACCGCGATACAAAGACGAGGAAAACACCATTCATCCTCTACAATACCCAACCCATGTCCCTGTTAACACGCGCTTCCTCCCTTCCCCACATCGCGAAAGCGTCTCGTCCATGACGTCTGCCTCAACCGAGTCCTCCCCGACCACGACCATCTCACCCTTTGACTCGCCCGGTGGGGGTGACATCTCCCCGAGCTCATCGCCGGAATCCCCATCGGCCATGTCGGTCTCGTATCCGAAATACATGCCGGCCACCCGGCCCATGGAGCTCCCTCCCCGATCAACTGCGCCAGAGCCCCTGTCGCGACCGACCCCTCCGCGTCCAGACTCTCCTGGTCGGCGGGCGCGCAACCTGAAGAATCTCTCATTGCGGATGCCGCCTCCGTCTATATCTCGTCCCCCCATTGCTACTGCCTCGCTGGTGGAAACCTCATCAAACAATCTGGCCCCACCATCACCCCTCCAGATTCCCCAGAAGAGTTCGAGGCGCCGTCCCGCGAACCTGACCATCCGTACACCTACATTTGATAAGACCTTTTCGAGCGAGGACGTACCTCCGACCCCGTCCTTGCGACATGCAGAATCCTCCCCGTCTCTCGCAGCTATCACATCCCCATCATTCGCCCCAAAGGGGGGTATGCAGCTCCCACGACCAATGTCGCATCATGGTGTACGTAGCTTCTCCACGCCGAATGAGGAAAGTGGAATGGATGGATCTGGCTTCTCTCGCCGTGTGCTTCCCGGTTTAGAAGAGGAGGATGACCACCTCGACTCGCGCGAGTCGACACGCAAAAAGGACCGTGGATACCCCGACGGACCGATCCGGATTTACGATACCGGCGTTTACCTGTACCTGGAGCCAACAGCCGAGGAAGCATCCCAGTTCGATGTGGTTATCAACGTCGCCAAGGAAGTCAACAACCCCTTCAGTACCGCCAAGGAGGAGCGAAATGACACAGTGATGAGCACCTGGCGCAACGCCTCCATGGCCTCGAAGCGCTTCTCTGGTGAGCCTCAAACTGCGGTCTCTGAGATCTCCTTCAAGTCTGCCTTTGAATTCCAGCCTTCAGACTCTGAATCCGCCACCCCCATTACATCAACTCCTACGCAACAACCCGAATATCTCCATGTCAGCTGGGACCACAACTCCGAAATCCTCGATGACCTGCTCCCTCTTTGTGAGCTCATTGATGACCGTATCGCTGGTGGAAAGAAGGTCCTCATCCACTGTCAGCTCGGTGCCAGTCGTTCCGCCTCTCTGATGATTGCCTATGGTCTGTACAAGAACCGACACATGGATTTCAACTCCATGTACGAAGTGGTCAAGGGCCGGAGTCAGTGGGTAGGACCCAACATGAGTCTCATCTACCAGCTCACCGACTTCCGATCGCGGTTGATGCGTGGATCGACCTCGAAGCCCCCTCCCCAGGAGTGGTTTGTTCAAACTGGCCGACGAAGCTCGGAGCCTCAGGTTGCCCGAGCCGAACGCCCTGTGACCAACGACAACCGATCGGCTTTCCGTGGACTATCCCAGGCACCATCAATGAGCTGCCTTTCCATCCCAGAAACCCCCTCGATGCGTCCTACCACCAGCGACAGCAGTTACACCAAGTTCAAGTCTTACTCGCCTAAAAGGAGTTTGTCCCCTCGACCTCTTCCTTTCCGACAGAAGTTCCGATCTGTGGAACCGACATCAGGTCGGCCGCGAGGACTCCCACGCAGCGTCAGCAGCTGCGACCCTCTTGTTCAAACGCACGTATTTGTGCGCGACATGCCCGACCGAAGTGGTGGTCTATTCTCACCTCGAACAAACGAGTTCCTATCCCCGCAGCCAATGGCACCACCATCCTTCCACAGAATCGATCGGTCGGCAGCCCTCTCACCCCCTCCCATGCCCAGCGCGGTTCAATTCGCCGCCGAAACGGCCGATCCCCGCTCGCCTCCAACTGCTGGCGAGCCCCTGATCATGAGATCGATTGATGAATTCCTCTGATCCCAGCCTCGAGTCATTGACCAGGCTCGAAACGATTCCACGACCCGCTCTATTTTCATGTTTCTGATATGAAAATCATCTTCGCCCTGGCCTGTCAGCAGCGACCTTCTATTCTCTCTTAATTTCTTCACTCATCTCCAGATGAGTGGCTTGATGATATTCATGACCAAAGCGGGCTTTGCAGTCGCTCATCGCTATTTTCCCATTGCATGCTTATTGCACTTTTTTTCCCTTTAAACCCACGGGTTTTCTCAACACCCCGTTCGGGTCACCATCGCTTTTTCATTTCCTCTATTCATCATTGGCGTCACGGGGTATCCAAAACGGACGAGATTTGATACCAACAGCCGACCTCGAAAGAATCAATGGATTTTTTTGTGTCAGCATCTGTATTTTTATCGCGGAGGCTTACTGGGTTCTCTTGCATTGCTTGGCCGTTCGTCCAACAAACTTTCGCTTTTTTCCTTTTATCTTTTTTACCTCTTACGTCTTAACATCTTGTCATGGCAAGGCCTTTGCTTTAGCTTTTCGACTTTTCCTGTGTTCAATCACTCGAGCCAGCTGCCTCTGTTTTCGGATATGGTATGCTTGGTTTGGTGGATGGAAAGAGGCATGATAATACCCCCTTTGCGCAGTCTCAATAGACATGGATAACCACTCAATTGGTTCAATTAATGTAATTGTAGTTGTAAATGACATTATATTATGTATAGATCTGAACTGGCTGTTTACTGATCTTAGATAACGATAAGCGCGGAACGTCATCCGCGTCAACCCAATTTTTCCTCCGCAACCCCTCCAAGCAGACAATGGCTGAAGATTCTCACCCTGCCTACCTCTCGCCTAGCGAGCTGGGCACAAAAGATTAGTATGTATCTCTCTCTGCCTTTGTATGTTCCGGGGACACGCCTGCGCAAAACCTTGACATACCTCGACCCCACGTTTACCCCTCCAAGACGAGCCAGCTCAGCTGTACATGCAATTTTGATCAAGCAATCTACAGCCTAGAGAATGAAATCTATTCAATGCACCAATCCACCATATCCCACCCACCTAACCAATTACCTAAATCCAAATGCAAATTCAAAAACCAAAACTAACAAAACCCCAGCTGGGAAACCTACTACGCGCGCACCCTAGCGCACATCTCCCACGAAACACCCAATGCCAACCAAGAACAACCCAACCCAACGGAAAATGAAGACTCAGGCGCGGACTCAGACCTAAACGAAGAAGATGACCCAGGGACATCCTGGTTCTCAGAACACAACGCCCCCGAAAAAGTCCTCCACTTCTTAACGCGCAAATCCTTCCCTCTCTCCCCACGCAACACGCTCAAATCCAAATCCAAATCTCAGCATCAACCTTCCGTTCTGGATCTGGGCACCGGCAATGGGAGTATGCTTGCACTGTTGAGGAAGAAGGGTGGGTTCCGCGGGGATATGGTTGGTGTTGATTATTCGCGGGGAAGTGTTGAGTTGGCTAGGGAGTTGCAGAGGGGCCGGGGACATTCGGCTTATCGGAGTGATTCTGAGGATGAGATTGAATCCGAGTCTGAGGATGGATCCGAGGGTGGGGATGGTGCCCAGGCACAAGTCGAGATTGAGATTGAAGCACCACCCATCCAATTCGAAGAATGGGATATCCTAGGCTCAACAGCTCCCCTCTCAGAAACCGGCCTCCCAGTTGAACCCACACCAACGCTCGAAAACAATCTCAACTGGTTCCCCTATTCCACCGGCGGCTTCGACATAGTCTTAGACAAAGGAACCTTCGACGCCGTCTCGCTAGCCGATGATGCTAAGACTACTCGTGTTTGCGAGCGGTATCCCGATATTGCGCGGCGGTTGGTGCGTCGGGGTGGGTTTTTGGTTGTTACTACTTGTAATTGGACCGAGGAGGAGCTTGTGCATTGGTTTACTGGTGGGAAGGGGGAGGGGGATCGGTTGGTTGTTTGGGGGAGAGTTGAGTATCCTCGGTTTCGGTTTGGGGGGCATGAGGGCCAGGGGGTTTGTACGGTCTGTTTTGTTCGGGTTGGAGATGATGTTTAGTTTGGGTTGTATAGAAGAACCTATTTGGAAGTACATGTAGTTGGCCTGTCCTGTGATACAATTAGATATGTACGGAGATAATTTTCCAACTGCCCTTCTATAGTTAGCCCATCCCTGATCTATATCCTTAGAAGTAGTAACTTATTACAGTATTGGAAAAAGTATGAAATAAGCTTTCGTACTCCATATCGTAGTATGAGCTCTCCTTGCAGACAAAATCAAACGGACTGGCGGTAAAGGGTACCATGGCCTAGCATAGTTGCACTTCATAGTCTTGTCTACTACCTTCGCGTAACCCAAGTCAAACGTCCATGGATATATGTCCATCTAGCCTTGATTTTCTCCTCCACTAGTGACAATATCGCTTTCACGAAAAGAAGTTCCTTTTACCCCAATCGAACAAAATGCTCGAAAGTACCCTCTCCTCTTCTAGAGTGGAGTTCAAATCATTCTGCGACTGCATGGGTGACCGCCCATCACAGACTCTGATATTTCACAACAATGGCTTCTCATGGTGGATCAAAGTTATCGCAGATTGGCCTTTGCCTGAGACTATAACAGAGCTTGGCTACTATCAACGCCGGTCTTTATTCCAAACCTTCCTTGAAGCAATTGATTTCGAACAATTACAATTGTTAGACAACACAGTAACAAAGATCGCTTTGAGCCTGACTGAGCAAAACCAAAATACAATCACAATCCGGGATATGTCTCGGGCCTCGACTAACTTCTTCATCACGGTTGCTTATCGGTTGCGCTGCAATATCACGGAAGATCCAATGAGAGTCATATACCCGAATCTGGACCAAGACTTAAACATCCAGACGTTTGAGGCTAGTTCTTTACAAAATACCGAGTTTCTTGCCCCAACAGTCTCCACGGTCTTCGTTAAGCAACAAAAGTTCGCTTACAAAATGATTGACCGTCCCCTTTACGAACCTGAGGACACGAATGCTATCCTGAACGAGATCGACGTCCTCGCACAATTCTGTGGACAGCGAAACATTGCCCAGCTAGTCGGTCTAGTCATCTCAGAGAACCCATACAAGACCAGCCCATCAACCGAGATGCCAGTAGTGATCACAGGCTTCCTTCTTGAATACTACGATGGAGGGTCCCTCGAGCAAAGCATAAACGAGAACGGTATCCAAAATGATCCTTTGCCGATAAAATGGGCTGCCCAAATCGGGCAAGCGTTAAGATTATTGCACACGAGCAAGCTAACTCATCTTGACATCAAGCCCTCGAATATCGTTTTAGATGCTGCTGACAATGCCATCCTCATTGATATTAGTGGGACTGGTGGATATACGTGGGAATGGCTGTCACCGGAGATGCAGGTTTCCATACAACAAAGTATTGAAAGCACTCCGTTCAATAGACCATTTGAGGTGCGGGTTGCTACGGATTGTTGGGCTTATGGGAGGTTACTCTCGATTATCACTGAGATGAGTGCCCCTGGTGGCACTGGTGACAGATTGCGATTTATCGCTGATGCTTTGACCAGGGCGGCTCCTGAATCTCGTGTCTCGTTACGTGATGCTCTTGTGCAGTTGGAAGAGAAGGAGTAGTAAATTCTAATATGGAGCTGGGCCCTATAATGATTGACTTGTATACGTTACTATATTGCTCATCATGTTTATCAGTGTATTACCCTCTATAATGTAATCCATAGAGCACCGAGGTATTGGGGTAATAGTACATAGTTTACGTTGATTTGCCTTCCCCTTATAGCACATAAAACCACAACGATATCCACCACTTTATAGACAACGTAACGGGTATACAACGATACAGAATGGTATAAGGTAGACATAAGCTTCTATCCAAAACAGAACCAACAAATCCTATATAAGATATCATACCGTCATGCAAACAAAACAACGCCCAATATGCACATACCCACCACCACAACAACAACAACAACACCTATCTACTCCCCCCTCCGCAAAACAGCAACAACACACCATCTCTTCCGATTATCAGGTCCCTCCTCCTCCCTCACAGGCATCCACTCGCGCCTAATCTCACCCCCATCCTCCAACCGCTCAACAGTATCCCTCTCAAAAATCCTCTCGACAACGAAACCCCCACGAACGACCGTCTCAAAGAACCGCGCCACAATCTCACGCCCAGTGTGGAAGCCCGCAACAACCCACACCTTACCACCAGGCGAGAGGAACCACTGCATAGTGCGAGTTAGGTTCTCGTGCTGCTCAGGCATCCAGAAACAATCCGCTGCAATGATCCGGCTGAAGGTTCCTTTGTTTGCGGCTGAGAAGGCGTCTGTCAACACACCCCATTCGTGCGGGTGCATGCTTATGTTTGTGGATACAGCTGGAGTCCGGTTTGATAGGTTGTGCTTTGTGTTGAAGGTGATTGCGCCGCTTAGGGCTGGGCTGGAGGGGTGGTCCGTTGCGGCGACAGTTTTGGCGGATGCTAGGGCGCAGATTACTGATGGGAGGGCAGCGCCTAGACAGCATTGGTGTTAGCTCTGTAGGTGTGGATGTATGTATATTGAATGCCAAAAAAGCGGGGGACACAACTAACCAGCACCCAATTCAAGAACACTCTCCCCGCGAACTCCCCAAATCTCCCTCGCTTCCCTCCTAGCCTCACTCTCTATCTCCCCTTCCACAATTGGCATATCGGCCTCCTCGACTCCCTCCGCAACAACCATAGCTGCACTCCAGAGGAAATGCGCAAATAGCTTCCGGCCCTTGTCAACCTGGTTCACGGTCCCATCCTCCTTCTTTAGACCCGCGGCGATTTCTTCGGAACGCTTCTCGCTTGAGCTTGGGTAGGAAGGGACCATGATATCCAGGTTGCCATAGCGGGGGGAGGAGTAGAGGAGATGTTGGCCTGGGTCGCCGTGGAAGGCTGGGGCATCGTCTGGGAAAAGGTGAGGGAGGAAGGCGCTGAAGAGATCTTCTTGGTCTTCTTCTTCTTCTAGCTCATTTTTGTTTTCGAAGTCTGGGGCCGGGGCTGGACCTTCATTTATGGTGGTGGGATAGTTGCGGCGGGGGAGGGGCCGTAGGCGGGAATTGAGCATTGTGAATGTTTGGGTTGGATTGGAGATGGGTGGGTTTGTAGGTTGGTTTTGGTGTGAGTTATTGTTTCCCAGGTCTGTGGAATTGAGTCAATTGATCAGACTTGACTGTGTGTTGGGCTGCAATAGATTTTGTCTGATTAGATCTGATTCTTCATTCAAAATATTGTTTGCGTTGTTTGTATTTGATCTTGTTTATGTAATATCTCCAGGTTTCAACAGGGCTGTCCCCATCGCACCACGTCATTTTAATGGGTACTGGAGAACAATGATGTTCACTCTTTTTTTTTTTTTTTTCCTGTATTGCATTGCATTGATAAAAGAAAAGTAAACATGTAAGATTCACAATAAAAATTAATAAGCTCTGCAAGATCTACATTGACCAATGCCAGCAGAACCAGGGACAAGAATGTGCCAGAAACACGATCAGGGGGCCAAAAATGATTCGCAATAGTCTGACAGTCGGAGTAATGATCCCCTCCCGCTGTTAGCGTGCAAGGGCCTGTTCGTGGCCAGCTGGGCTTAGACAAGGGAATGTGCAGAGCTATTACCTAAATTGACAATCAGCTTGTAACAATTCCGGATATTATATTGAGTACCGAATCACAGCGTAGTGGGACTGATACGGGTGTATCATCCGTCACGGGTTATCGTATGAATCATCCTGTCACCTGATAGCAGGAGGCCAGTGACATCACCCGATCCACTTCGCCCTCAGCTAGACCGGTCGATGCGCTGCAGGTGATCTGGTTAAACCGGTACGATGAGTACTCGCTATGTACTGTGTCGCTTGGGCTCGGACTTTTCCTATCGATACACTACAATTTAGTGACTTGATTGGTACTTGACCCTTGATCGTCAGGCAACGGACAAAATATTCACCCTACTAACTACCTAGGTAAATGGAATTATGGCTGACTAAACAGGCTTCAGCCTCGAGAGAACCATGGAAAGCATGGCCGAACCAGGGCGCAAGTTCCCTTTGCGGAGCGCCTTTTAGGAAAGTTGGCGAGTGCCAGTGCGAGTCATTGTGGGCACTGCCACTTGGGATATTCGCAATTGTGCCCTGCGACTTCGGCTCCACTGTTATCGGGCAGTCACCATATAACAAGTATAGCCTTTAGACAACACATAGTATGTTATTATAACATAGTATAGAGAGAATAAGAGAATAGATTAATAGAATACTGTAGTTAATAATATACCAAAATACAAGTATACAGTGTGACCGATGACCCCCCCGCATGCTCAAAGGGAAAGGCCCCCGCAAACCTGAGCGATTTTGGTCCATACCGGACCTCTTTCTCCTTTCTCCTCTTTTTTTCCCCTTCCACCTTTCTTTTTTTTTGGCCCTTACTTCTCTCTCACTCTCTCTCTCTCATTACTCCTTCTCGCACTCGTTGCTATTCAACTTCTCTCAACTACTCCATATTCCTCACTCCGCGTCCTTCCACCTGCGCTTTTGAAGGCGTCTCCGTGTCTGTGGGGGCTTCAATTCCATTGAACGCTTCCTCAACTCTCACCATGGCATCATTCAAGGTATGATCCATTGCGGGCTTCTCTCGATTGAAACTAACATTCTCCCCCTGTGGCTAGGAATTGTCCATGTCGCGTCCTCTCCCCAACCCCAGCCAGCGATCCCACGCCCACGCGCACTCAATCTCGCTGGGTGCGGTCAATTCACACCACCGTGTCACACGCCGCAAGAGTGTCACTACCGCGGCCGCCAATGCCGCCGCTGCGGTCGCTGCCTCCATGGAAGGCGGAGAGTCCACCTCGCTACCCATGGCGCACCGCCGCACCCTAGGAGGCCGCAAGGGACTGGAATCCGGGTCTGTCGGCAACGTGTCAGGTTTCAGCTCATACCTCTCCCGCAGCATCAACAGTCCTAGCCAGGAACCGCCGGTCGCCCGCAAGGGCTCCCCTGGGTCGGAAACCGATGCCAAACTAAAGAACCGGAACCGTCGCGCCAGCGAGGGTGCCATACTGAAGACTGAGGGGAAGCGTGTTCCGGCAGACCTGCGTTGCGATCGCTGCGGGAAAGGGTATAAGCATGGCAGCTGCTTGTCCAAGCATATGTGTGTATCTCCCCTGCCGCTCGGCCGTCTTCTTCTTGCTCGGGGTTATGCACCATGTCGGCTCTGTGCAGGTCGCCCTCGTGGTCATTCTATTCCCCCTTCGTCACAGTTCCCCTTCCTCTCCCTTGTCTCGACATTTGGTTGACGTGTTATTTTTCATGGTAGGTGGGAGCACGACCCAGCATGGGCCGTTACTTCAAAGCTTCTCATCTCTAAGCACCAGCAGGTTCAACTGCTGGAAGCCGCCTCCGTTCTGGTCACCATGAACCACGACGATCCCCCCGATGAGGCCGCTGAGTTGGCCGAACTGGAGTCCGAACTGTCTTCGGGATCACCGGACGCTTCGTCCGAGGCGCGGGACGGAATCAGCTCCGCTGAAACCACGCCACCCCCGATGGACGAGGAAGAAGACGACGATTTCGAGATGTCCGGCGTGCCGGCCCACTGGGCCAAGCGACCCAGCGTCAGCAACGCCTCGGGTTTCTCTCGTTCCTACCAGTCTATTCCTTCCAGCTCGTACAACGAAAGCGCGCCACTGCACTCCCCTGCCTTCTCCCACTTCCGCCACTCGAGCATCGACACCCGTCCTTCGACCGCCGACACAAGGTTACACGAAGATGATGAGGCGGATCTTGCCGCGGCCATCGGTCTCTGCAATTTCGGCACTCCCCGCACCGGGCCCGTCTCCATGACTCCCGACGTGCCGCCAGTGCCTCCACTGCCCGCGCGCTATCTCGACTCGAGCAGCCACCCGAGCAACCAAAGCCCCCACTTGGCTCAGCCGCGCCCCGCCGAGCAAGCCCGCCGAGATTCCGAAGCCAACATCTTCATCTCTCGATCGCTCAACCCGTCCCTGTCATACAAGGTGTCGGATGAGCGTGAGGTCCGCACCAGCGGCAAGGAGGCCGAGGAATCCCGTCAGCGCCGCAACGCCGACGTGGACTTTGGCAACCGCTCGGCACCAGCCGACGATGATGATGACGGAGTCTTTGGCCGCATGGAAGAGTGAAGACTTAATCCGTCCAGTATCTTCAGTCACCGGGGTCCCTACCACCCATTTCACGATCTCATGTACGAGCTTGAGCGAATTTTTGAATCTTCTTGTTTACATGTTTACGACCACCCCAGAGAGAAATAGAGCCGTGGTCCAGCTTAATCGTTCTCGCTCTTTTCTCAACGGCGTGAGCCATTCTCGGGACCTTCCCTTTCGAGATCCCATGTATCAACCATGTCTCCTTGGCCCGTTTTGTGCTTTCTGCTTTGTGTTTTTGTTTTGTTCTTGGAAACTCCAACCTTAAACAGTCGTCTTTGTATGACTGGCGCATATTCAACCCCCATCAATACTCATACTCATACTCATACTCATTTGGACTTGTGTGTTTTTCACATCCTCATGTTTCGTTTGTCCTTTTTTTGGTCTCTGTCTGTTTTTGTTGTTGTTTCTGTTCTTTTTCGCCTCGCACATATATACCAAACCAAATTCTACGATCCGCCCTTGACTTTTCATCCCCATGTGTATCTCGTCCGTTCTCTCCGTCTCTCCGTTCTCTTTGCCTTCTCTCTCCCTGTCTCTTCTTCTCGATTCATCTCTCTCTCCATATCTCTCGCCTCGGTCTCTCACTTTCGTGTACTCAATGACTCTCGGACGGGGCTCACAATGAATATAACTCATGAAACTATATGATCTTTAGCATTGTAGTTTTGTAGATATATGAGAATTGGGATTTGTGTGGATATCCAAGTGATTAGTATACAATCCTATCTCCATGCGTTTCGGAGCAATGGATCATTATGTCGATTCCATGTGTCACTTCCGATATAGACGCTTACCATAGAGATCTTACCATGACCTTCAGTACTTTATCGTGTTACTCAACATAGCTTAGAATAGTACAGAAGGCACCAGACACCCGATACTAAATTCAATAAAATATCAATACTATCCACTGTCAAAAGCAAACTAATTCTTAGGATGCAATAAAGATAACCCAATTAGCTAGTGCATCAAGCAAAGCAAGCTGAAACCTATAAATAAAACAACAAGCTGAAACAACCCAAAGGGAGAAGTATATATGAAGTATCAAAATCGTCATTTGCATGCTCAACATCCACCACCACCACCACCCCCACAGCCTCCACCTCCACCTCCACCTCCCCCTCCACCACCGCATCCACCACCACCTCCTCCACAAGTGCCTCCGAAGCCGCCTATAGAATATGTAAGTCAGGTGTTCGATTTTGTGGAGTGAGGTTGGGGAGACTTACCACATCCGCCTCCGCTACTACCACATCCACCTGCTCCGCCTGTAAACAGAAATCAGTTAGCATATGTATCTAGAGATGATAGAGATAGATCAGAGATCAATGCGAGGGTGGAGGACATACCACATCCACTTCCACCGCATCCACCTGCGGCTACAGCGCCACCTATTGTCAGGTTAGTAAAGAGTAAAGAATAAAGAAAAAGGAAGAAACAAAGAAGGGAGGAACATACCACAAGTACCAGAACAACAATTCCCAGCAGCCCCAGCAGTCATATTCATACAACCAGGATTAGAAGCATAGACATCAGAATTGATACACGGATCCGCCATATAGGGCGCATAATACGGCACGAAAATCGGATACCCATAGGCATAGGGCATATAATACGGATCCGCAGCGAGAGTCCTCTCCCTGCCCTTCTCCTTCTCCTTACCAGAAGTAAAAGTAGAAATAGAAGACTTAGAGCCCGAACGCTGACGAACCCGCTTCTCAGCCCTCCTTGCAGCCTTCTGATAATTAGACTTGAGCTGCAGATAATGCACAGACCCAAGCCGGTCCGTCGGGGCGTACAGCGAGGTCGGACGAACGGCGTTGTGCGCCGAGATGTGCGGGTTCTTATTCGGGTCGGAGGAGATATCTGGTCGGTCGTGTAACGAGTCTGCGGCGTCGCGCGCGCGAGACGCCGAGCCGACAGTTATCACACGGTCGTAGAGATCGGGTGTGCGTATTGCTTCGCAGTACCAGCATGTGCATTCGGAGTAGACGGCGCCGTTGGTGATGCGGCGGTATGTTTTGCTGGTCCAGCTGAAGCCGTCGGAGAGTTTGTCTTCGTCGACTTTGTCGTCGTGGTCGATGAAGACACGGACGCCGGCTTTATTTGCTTGTTTCGTGCTGTAGGTATAATAGCGGGACGGGTTTAATTGGTGGGTGTGCCAGGCTAGGTCGACGTCGAGGGTTGGGACCGCCATGTTTTTGGGCCAGTTCATCATTATTGAGAAGAAGATTTCGTATTTCTTGATTAGCCGGTCCATTGTCTCCATTACGGTTGGTGAATGCAGCCAGTCGATTTGGTCCATTTTCGAGATGAAGGTTCCCTGTCGGATCACTGCGCCTACTAGGTCCAGCGAGAAGGGGCCTAGGTTGTCCCAGTAGCGGGACATCAGGCGGCGGAAATGGATTCGCTCGGCGGGTACGAGTCTTTTGACGTATGTACCTCCGTGGGCTTCCATTAGGGCTTTTCGGTCACGTAGTTTGGGCTCAAGCTCTTTTCGTAAGTCTTGAATGTCCTTGCACCAGTCTACTCGGGGATCGGTGAAGTTCAGCAGTTCTGGTCCGATGGCTTGCATTAGTCTTGTAGGGAAAAGCATGTGTCGGAGACTCGGGTGGTTGAACTTGTCGGTAGAGCCTTCGGGGATCCCATGGAGATTGGTAAACGAGCCGGGCATGGGGGTATCGGCATATATTGTTGCCTCGAGATCCTTTCGGAACTTAGCCACCTTGAGCCGGCCGTGGTCGATTGTGTAATGGCAATGAGAACATTCTTTTTGGAATGAGTTGTCCGCGTAGCCATCGCCAAACCTGAAGGCGTTCTCGACCGTCTCTCCGAAGAGACCTTCTGTCCATTGAACGGGGAAGGTATTTATACAGCTAGGGCACTGAATGGTCTTGGTAGGCGGGTCGTGCAGATTGTTCCATCTGATATTCAGCTTTTGCTCGAATATCTTCTGGGCCTCGTCGGAGACTGTGAATTCCAGCTTGCGGTTGTCAATACAGCTGTCAATCACCTCCCAGGGAAAGCCCGTCTTCCAAGTGCTCATTTTCCCATATCGGATACAATCCTCGAGATAGTTGCGAGGATTCAATGAATGAGCATGCCAGACCATCAAGATATCTACGAAAGGAGTTAGTCTGAGTTCTTTGTAAATCACACAGTTCACTTACCGATTGGAGGCAGATTGTCGGGACTCCATGCCACGAGAGTCTTTGGGTTGATGATATTCTCATAGTCCGCACTTTCCACGTCACTCAAGCTTGCGTTGGGTCTTGACCGTGGGAGGCCAGTAGCCCACCATGCGGCATATCGATCAACCGCACGAGCCGTGTACACAGCCCAGCGCTTTTCGCGGATTCGAGCCCGCGCTTCGTTGATCGACTCAGGGAATCTATCGGCTTCGAAATCATTGATACCAAAGAGTCCATCATCACCAGAGATGTTCTCGCGCAGATCTGCGAGTACGGCTAGGAACTTGAGATGTGCGACGCATTCGTCCCGACTGATAGACTTCGTATCAGATGATACTTGGAGGTTCAACTTTAACTCCACAGATAGTTGCGTCACTGGGTCATCCGAATATGACGGTGGTCGCTCGCTGGAGCTGGTTTCGCTTTGTTTAGTCTCCTTGGACATATTATCCGTTGATACGCCTATGATTACTGCTGAGTGTAGAGTGAGATTGAGTCAAGGACGGGAAGGCGCTTTATAGCCCCGGATACCCCTCGGACTTTCATTTACGAGCGTACGCGGCAGTCGATAGAACCAAAGAACTTCTTCAACGTGGAACCAAGGGACTGAGCCCTGCGAGGCTAAGCTTCTGAACTTGTTCGTATTTATCCTCCGAGATCTCCAAACTATCTATGATTGGACACTAATGAAGAGGCGAAGCTGGGCGCTGGGCAATGTCTTGCACTGCCTCGGCTCATTATGGAGAACGGCCCCCAAGGCATACTGACGATCATGATTTCATGTCTCATGCGCCCCATGCAGGGCTCTCCTAGTGTACTTCGATACGCTTTGTCTGTGCAGCCTTTCGGACCATTTTCTATGCCGGGGCTGATTATAAATAAATCCATCACGTGTATACATCACTCTATCACGTGCGTCCGTAACATCACGTGACATTAATCGTCCAGCTCCTAGTCAGGTGACTCATGCCCCTCCGCGCTGACTCATCCCGGAGTCCCAGACGGCCTTCACCGAGAACATCGTTGTATGTCGTCAGTTGAAGGAAAGGGAAAGGAAAGGAAAAAGTGCAACCTCAATTGCCCTGCTTTGGCAACCTTCCTCTCATATACTACGATCAACCAAACAACCGATCATATCGGAATCCCGATCTCGACCGGATCACGTCATTCAGCCTGGCTTCTCTCGGGCGATCGAGTGGCATCGGAGGAGGCCAGGCAGCTCTGGAATCTACTGTGAGCGCTGATAATGCTTCAGTCGGCAGTCCCGTAATGGCGGGTCTCAACCAGTTACCTGTTGCGGCCGATGGCGTGCATGGTCGCAAACGCAATGTCATCATGGCGGGGATCGACAGTTCGCCGGGAAGTATGGAGGATATGGATGACCACGATGCGCGCGAGGAGAAGAGGCGTCAACCCGTGAAGCGCGCTTGCAATGAGTGCCGCCAGCAAAAGGTATGGTATTTGCGCGATCATGAAATTTTAGACTGGTGCTAACCTTTTTCGGATTGTGACAGCTTCGATGCGATGTTGTTCAAGATCCCTGGACGGATTGTTCGCGATGTCGCCGGCTAAAGCTCGACTGTAAGATCGAATCGAATTTCAAACGTGTTGGGAAGCGCAGTCGCAATGCGGAGATGGAGAGGGAAATCCTTCAGCTGAGGAAGCAGATCGCCACGGGTCAACCCGTTTCGTCCCTTCCTCAACAACCGCTGGCTGCGGGCCAGATTACTCCTAAGCAAGAGTCGAATCGAGTCAGTCCTGCGGTCTATCAAACCCCGTCAGCCATGTCCGCAGATCAGTACATGGGTTCTCAGGAAGCGGTTGCATCCTTGCTGGACTTGCGCTCCGGCTTTGATGGTGCAAACTATTTGCGAAATGGAGGGCAAGTCAAGCGAATCGAGGATGTCATGGTCGTTCCCGAGAAGGTGGTGGAGCTGTTTAATCTGTAAGATCCCAACCGGCAATTTGAGATTAACCCTAACACTGTGTCAGTTTCTTCACATACTACCACCCATTCCTCCCATTCCTTGACCAGAAACAGTCACCAGATGAATACTATAATTCTTCATCTCTGCTCTTCTGGACGATCATCAGTGTCGGTGCGCGTCGCTACCAGGGCGATTCAAACCTACTGAATTCTCTCGCCGGCCCAGTCACCCGACTAGTATGGAGTACTCTTGCCGATATCCCTCAGAGCTATCATGTTGTGAAGGCTCTATCTTTGCTCTGTTCGTGGCCGTTCCCCGTGAGCAGTACCTCAACAGACCCAACATTCATGCTGTGTGGAATGATGGTGCAGGTTGCTATGCAGCTGGGTCTCCATAGGCCTTCTCATACTCAGGACTTCAGTAAATTCAGGGTGGAACTGATTGAAGAAGAGCTGAGGGACAAGGTTCGAACATGGGCTATTTGTAACATTGTTGCCCAGAGGTATGTAACAACAACTCCCCATAACTGCGGCCTGGGCTCATTCTTTCAGGGTATCTACCGGCTACGGACAGCCACCATCCACTCTTTACGATTGGACGTTATCTTCAAGCGATGCGCTAGACCCGAACTTTAAATTGCCAGAGGATATGAGACCAAGACTGGAGATCGAGAAATTTTGTGACAAGATCACTCGAGCGCTTTATACGAATCGACGAGACCCTGTCGGTTTGACTAGTGACCACGAACGGTCAACCATGATTTCTTTCCTATCTCGAGATTTCGAGGAGCTGGAAGAAGAGCTAAGGACGCACAATGACTGTAAGCTTCCCGGTCTTGTAATGTCTATCTGGTGCTAACCAATCAGGTATTACCAATCTGTATCTCCGCGCTGCCAACCTTCATCTGCACTTGTCCGCTTTCTTCGATGAGCCTACTGCAAAGGACTATCGCGAGCGTGTCTTGTCTTTGTATGTTGCGACGACATCATTCCTCGAAGTCGTCCTGAATCTTGAGACCGGAGTCGGTCCTGTACTCTCCTACACACCATATTATGTCTACCAGATGATGGTTGCTGCTGGATGCACACTCCTGAAGCTATGCAAGAGCTTCTTTGCTTCTCATATTGACATGGATTACACCAAGCACCTATTCAATCGCACAATCTGGGCTATTCGTGGAGTATCAGCGTCTAGTAATGACCTGCCCGAACGCCTTGCGGAGGTGTTAGCCCAAATGTGGAGATTGGGAGGAGCGACTCAAAGGTCCAACAATAGCACCGACCTCGACGACTCCCTGCGACTCAAAGTTCGTTGTCGAATGAGCATGTCCCTGCTTTACGACTCCGTATGGCGATGGCGAGAGGATGCACGGACAAAGGGCCGGAATATCGAAGGTTAGTATCACTCACCCCCGTCTAAACCCTATTACCCTAACCTTCTTTTAGCCTATTTGAAAAACCCAACAAACCCAGACTCGACAGCCGATTCATCGACCATCTCATCTGTCGGGCCTGTACACACATCTACATCCACCCCTGGAATTTCCGGTGGAGATCCGAGCCTTGCCCCAGCACCCCTGCTCTCCCAGGCCAGTCTTGGAGTCCAACCACCATCCCAAGTCAATGCACTTCCAAGCGGCTTCATGGAGCCTAATTACGAAGTTTTCGATCCGTTGAACTGGCTGCTTGACGGATTGGTAGACCTGCCTTATTCCTACTCTACCATGAACGGGGTGGAAACCTCGGGCATCGCATAGATTGAACTACTTTCTTGGCGTTATGGCTATTTGTTTGCGGGCGTGGTTTGCGTGTTTGTATCATTATACCACATATTCGATCACTGATACACCCCAGGGAGTTTTCTTTCGCCTATCGGATATCTGTCTGTATTTCTTATGAGTCTCTTGTACGAATCTGTACTCTTTTCAATCTGATCTCAAAAGCTCTTATTGGATCAGCTTCCTAGTCAGATCCAATGTACCCTCATGCAGTAATAAGTCTCGTACATTGTGCAATGCATATCACAATCTGTTATTTTCGTCACTTCTCGAGCACGGGCTCGCCGCATTGTAACTCCCCGATGCAATAGCTGTGTCGTATTGCTTGTCTGTTTCCTTTTCTGTCTTCGCTTCACTTTCGAACCCCCATTCTCTCTCCCCTTTAAAGACCGCCCTTGTTCTTTTGATTACTTTCACTTTGCCTTTTTTTCCTCGCGAAATCAAAGCAGAATGTATTCGGAGCAGATATCCCCTTGGTTCGAGAAATACCTCTGTGGACCCGGGAAGTCTACCTCCCATTTCTCGAGTTCAGATTTCATGTCCCTTGGGCCTTTTCTATTGACCCTTTGCGCTATGGCCGTGGCCATTGTGGTTATCACCTCGGTCGCTCTGGTCCTTACTTCAACTCGATTAGCAAATGTGAGTGATGCTCGGCTCATTAATTCCATTTCAATACAAAAACCCAAAGAACAACCCGAGCCCACTAACCCAATACAATTCTACCAGGTCGGCACTCCATTCGCCACTTCCAAAGGCTTCTTCTCGATTATATACCAACACTACAGATTCGTCGTGGATGGACCGAGTCTAATAAAGAAAGGCTATGAGAAATTCCCAAACGGGTTATTCGAGATCCCGCGCACATTCCGCTTCGGTCAAGTTGTCCTGTGCAAGCTGGAGTTAATCGAGGAGTTGAAGAATCTCCGAAGTACTGCTGTCTCGCCCGAGCCATGGATTGACCAGGTGGGTTATGCTATGCTATGCTATACTAAGTACAAGGCAGTCAAGCGTTGGATATGCTAACGTTGTTGTGTGAACAGTTGCTGCAGATTTCTCATGTTATGCCTGGATACTTCCCTAGGGATGGGGGATGGCCGAAGATCGCAAAGACCACGCCCGGTGTGATTCGTGCCACGGTCTACAAACATCTGGATCAGTACATGCCCTCGATGAACGAGGCCATTCTCGCACAGCTGAGAACCTTGGACTTGAAATTTGGTGGTATGTTTCTCCGATTACCTTGGTTGTCTTACATATTTTCTGATAACGGATGATAGAATGCAACGTTGGGTGTTTCGACTTCGCATATTCCATTGTAGCACGCAGCGGGAGCTTTGCGATGGTTGGCTCACGGCTTTCACAGGATGAGGAGTATCTCAACGCAGTCAAGGAACATATTCTGGGAATGATAGTAACTACTCGAGTCCAGTTTATGGTTCCAGATTGGTTGAAACGGTGAGATATACTTGGTTTATTTGAAACTCCTTCGAACTAAACCTCCAAATAGGTACATTGGTGGATTTATCAGTCGCCTCACCACTCTAGGTACAAATTGGGACATGCATGCCTCACGCAAAATTCTACTCAAGCACTTTGATGCACGCGCCGCTGAATATCACACCGAGATATTTAGTGACGACAACAAGGGTATCGAGACCAATCCCGACGATGCGGATAACCCTGTATGTCTTTCTTTGCTTTTTTTTCCTCCTTCCAGACTCGGTGTCTGCTGAGTGGCTTTTAATCATCAGCAGGTCGAAATCTTCCGCTGGCTGTATGAAAGCTCGGTGCTCCGCGAGAAATGGACTTATGCAGAGGTCATTGGTGAAATGCTACTGTTGCAATTTGCCTTTATCTATACCACGGCCTATGTATGTATGTACACCCTTTCACATGTTCTCTCTGCTGACCATCCAAAAGGGATTGTACGGTGCCCTTGCCGAGCTAGCCCGTCGCCCTGAGTATATTGCTCCCCTGCGAGAGGAGATTAATGCTATCTTTGCCAAGATGGGACCTACCGTCCTGGCCTGTGATGCCATGGTCCTGATGGATAGTTTCCTAAAGGAGTGCCAGCGACTGCATCCCCCTGCAGCCCGTATGTCTACAACAGGTTACCAGGAAACCGAGAGATTGACCCAGCTAACGCAGTAGCATGCATCTAGTATCTGCCCACCGAGTCTGCGTCCACGACCTGAAGCTCTCGAACGGTTCGTCTCAACTCCACAGCATCATACCCTACCTCCCACCTAACTAACAAATATTCGAACAGGAACAATCCTCAAACAAGGCTCCCACATGGCCGTCCCAAGCGGTCTAATCCAACGCCTAAGCACAAACTACGAAAACCCCAACGACTTCGACGGATTCCGGTTCGTGAAGCGCACAGCAGCAGGAGCCAAGAACAGTCGACTCGTCGACCTGAGTCCTGACTATCTGGTTTTTGGGATGGGCGTGCATGCCTGGTAAGTCAAATTCAAATTCAAATTCTGTTTCCAATCGATTGGTTCGCCCTTGTCAGTCTTGCACTAGGGTTATTCTGGAGAGGGGAGGGGTGTGTCTCGATTTCAAATTCAACCGCCCGGATTCCATCGGCTGACACTCTGGGCTCGTGTTTGTCCTCTATCTAGTCCCGGCCGATGGATGGCTAGCGCGCTCATGAAGCTGGCTTTTGCTCATATCCTTACTTGCTATGACCTCTTCCTACCGAATTCATCAACGGGGCCTTTGGCCGGGTCGCTTTCCTTCGAGGAGTTTTATGTTCCAAATTTTGGGCTGAAAGTTGGCTTGCGTTTGCGTAAGTAGTGGCTTTCATTATGGAGGGAAGGGCTAGCGGGGCTGCGCTTTCGGTGGGGGGTAAGGCGGAGGATCTTTGAAAACATACCGTAATGTAATAGTATAGCTCATATGCGGTGCATTTGCTTTCTCATCTGGACTGTCCCCGCTTTTTCGAGGCGTTTAGTGTCAGTCTATACCTGAAGTAACGCTTAGTTTGTATCGTCCTGTATGCTTTCCTTATTGCGAACAATGCTCCCAATTCTTTAAGTGATTGATGTTTTAGAAATCATCTCGTCTGCTCTTGTCTACCTCTTCATACGTAAGACCTATATAGGGAAAGAAACGTAAAGCTTGAAGATAGTCTCTGTTCTTTGTACGATGGGTCAGAAGAAGGGTCTACCTGTTAACCTGTCAAGAATGCCCTCTACGCATAACTTATACTCTAGCTATATCCCTTCTCCGGGCTATATACTACCATTGTCTTTGTTTATTGCCTCGGCTTCTTTAGCTAGTTAATTTTTATTCTTCATTGTAGGTAGCAAACAACTTAGTATCGAACAAGTGGCACTCGCTAAAGAGAAGCAGCTATATTTTCAGAAAGTTTACGAGTAAGGCTATAATATGAGACAAAGACATAAACACAGGGAAAACATAAGCAAATAATTTACTTCATACGAGCAGCAGCTAGTCTGGCGGGAAGGAATGAGATGGGGTGTGAGTCGCTGTCTTCGTCACTCTCATCAGGCAGTGACTGGCTGTCGCCGAGGCTCAGTCTGCTAATCCCTTCAACAAGGACACTGCTATCAGACCTAGCATGGCCAAGTTTAGAAGGTGAATCTTGTGACGAGCCCCCATTTGATCGACGAGAACTCTTTTTCGATGAAGGTGAAGGTGAAAATTTATAATCCCCAGCAGGAGGTGGTAGCACCACATCTTTCGAAATGAAATTGCCGTTTTTGTCGTAAGGCTCATTCTGCCTAGTGGCATATTCATTCTCTCCGCGGGCAAATGCAACCCATTTGTCAAAAATGTTCACCATGTCGTCTTTGCCGATTTGGAGCCATTCCTTGTGGGCACGATGGCAAGTTTCGCACTTCTCAGTGAGCATGTAGTGCTGCCGGGAACATTCGGCGAGGATAAGTTGCTCGATTCGACGAGCATAGGGTAGAAATGCGTTTTTCACGATTGTGATATGTCCATAGCACCGCTTGTGGTCAGAAAATCGCGCCTTGGCGCCCGCTGTATATCCCAATTTGAACATGTCTGCTAGTCCCGGAAGAGAGATAAGATAGAGACGGCCAGGGTCTTTGTCCCGTTCCGAGAGGGGTTCGCGTGCTTTTTTTACCACTCTGCATGCCACGTCCTCGTCGGATCTCGCTGGTGTTTTGGACACGCGGAGCGTGAACCTTGTTGAGGATAGTGGGGTGGAACTGATCGACTCTTCCAAGCGTTTGGAAAGATATTCTTCTAGTTCTGAACGCAACCGGCATCTAATTTCGCGATTGTAAAGCTCCTTTTTCCACTGGCTCATGGCGTGGTCGGCATTTGGTTGGTGTCGACTTGGACATAGGCAGCTCTGGATGAATTGCGCGAGGACGGTATCGAATGCACCATCTTTGTCATGGAATACACGAATAGGGTCGTTGATGATAGCAAATAGTTGCGCAAAGGTTTCTTTGACAAGGTCGAGGCTACCTTTGACCTTATTGCCGCAGGGCATTGCATTGCCTTTGAGCTGCGCGCAGCTGAACGTAGATGCTGGTTTATATATGTTCTCCAGCAAGCCTGAGAGATAAATGAACGTGTTGACGGGGGTCTCCATGTAGGAGCTCATCATTCAAACTGTATAGGAAAAACAATCATAGAAGCCTAGAGGGCGGTTAATAAGTACTTTGAAGAGCGTGAAAAAAACACCTTGGGGCCATAGGCATCGTCCCTATTCCCCCTCTTTTCAGCTCATCTGAAATGAACTAGCTCATGGCCTGGGCGTATCTAGTGTATCAGGTAATGTAGAAATCGGTATAAGCCCCGTTGATTTCTTCGTCACCTTCCTATTTTTGTCCCGGGCGACAGGGGGATCTCAGGCTGTGCCTGAGATAGCTTCACGCAATACTACAATGATTGGAGAATCTCGCACGAGGTTGGGGACTTTCGGGCTTTCGGGGTCCTGTTAAGGGGAATCGCGTGCATTGGCGTCGTTCGTTGACAGGGATCCTCAGCCGTTCCAGTGAAGCTCCATTTCGAGACTTGGACCTAAGGCAAAACCAGATGGTGGGCAACTTCAAAGTCTCAGTTTATGATATGGCTCGTGAATCGACGTGGATGTGTGCCTGTCGCTATGTGTGCCAGCCGTTGATGTTGGAAGAGGACCTGTGGGGGCCGAAACTTGGACAGGTTCATGCCCGGCGCTAACAGCCCCAGCCTCAATTTCAGGGATCTTATAGAGCACTAAAACTACCTAGGCAGGTGATAGAAGTCCCCTGCTAGCTCTGATTGTCCCGGCTATCCCGGTTATTTTTGGTCCTATCTTCTCCGTTGGCAACAGGTTTGGATGCCTTTCACAACGTACTCCGTGCGCTGGAACGAGTTTATAGTACCATTTATAGTGTGCTGATTGCTGCTTGATACCAACATTACCCCACTGCTCATATTTTGATCTCCTCTTCCTTATCCAACCCCTATATGTAGACAATTGTGGAAGCCAAGAGTTTCTCAATAGTTCATAGTTATAGCTGAAATGACGCAAATCTCCCGATAAGCGATAAGAGCTCCTTCCTCCAACTCCAACTCCAACTTTTCCCTCTACGCAACACAGGATTCTAGGAAGTCACGGATATATAGGACAAAAGATGTCATCGTCGACTCCCCCCAAACCAAACCGACCCCGACTAATCCCAAACAAACGCCCACTCAAACCAACATCAACAACCAACCGGTATCCACGAGTCCTCAACCCCAGCGCAAACCCCGCAGAAACACGCCTGAAACAATCCTACCAAGAATACCTCCAAACAACAAAAGACAATCCAAATCCAAGTTCTACTCCAGCAACCGAAGAAGAAGACTTACCCCAGATACCCCGCATCGAAGTCCCCTTCTCGGCACCACAGCCCTTTCTCGATCCGCCGACTTGGGATGCTATGCTCAGGCTTCATCGTGAGAAGATAGCGGCGCAGTCGGTAGAGGACTCCAGGGGGGCAACATCACGGGACTCTGGTTCTGGTGTTGGTGCTAGTGCTGGTTCTGGAGAGGAATCAGCTGAGCGGCGGAGACAACGTGCAGAGCAGGAAATGGAGTATGGGTCTATGGCTATTCGGGGTCGGTCTAGTGTGAGAGGAAGGGGCAAGAGGGGACGTGGGAGGGGGAATATCTATTGGGGTGGGAGGTCTTGAGGTCCTTGTTCTGATGCTCCTTTTGGTTTGGGATGTTTTGATTTGCTGGCGTTATGGATATGTTGTTTGGTGTTTGATACCCCCTTGTTAGAGTTCGATTTGATATATGCTTGTACTTGTACTTGTGGCTCTTGGACAAGGCCTGGTTTGAAAGATGGCTGGTTATCCTCGTGGCTTGATGTAGAGGATCCAGGTATTTTTGGGCGAGTGTGCCATGATGCAGCTTTGCTCTGCTCGATCAGAAATCCTGCACATTTACAATGGATTGTTTCGCCTGTCCGATAATGGCCCATCTCCTATCTACTTCAGCGAAGATTACCAAAGATGAGACCATGGATACTCGGAGAGGTGAGACAATTCTGAAGCAAACCGCCCAGTGTCGCACAACCTTCGGATGCAGGGAGGGTATCTCGGACACGATGAACCCCTACTCGGAGAGAGATTGATGAACAAACCGAGTGAATAAAAGGATAGATACGTATGCTAAGCGTAAAAATAGATGCAATGAACTAATAGTACATTCAAACCCAACAAAGATATCAACAATAATCAATGCAGTTTAGAAGCAGTGGGTAACAGTAAGTTCATCATCATCATCATCACAAGTGTCGTGTTTCATAATCATCATAGATCTCATTTCAAACATAAATCTCCAGGCATGGCCATAAGATAAATTTCAAAGTTTCAAAACGGAAAAGGCAAATGACTCCCAGATGCATCATGATATCGTCAGGCTGGGAGCCAGGCATGAAAACGGGGCATAACAACAGAGGAAAAGAGAGGGGAAAAAAAGAGCATCATTCATTACCTCCCGGGGATCCAACTAGTAGCGCTGGATGCTACATAGAGAGGGCCGCCGATACTCTGCTTGAGAGTTTCTCTCCGGACAGCGCGTTTACGCTCATCACGGCGCTGGCGCAGACGTCGGAGCCGGTTGCGCATATTGCGCCAGGACATCGACTGGACACGCAGACCCCAGCGGGAGAGGACTCGGAAGCGTGATGGGTGCAGTGGCGATTCGGTGCGGAACATGCCTGGGGCGACTAAGCTACCGTTGCTGGTCATTCCATCGAAAAGGCGCCTCATTTCTGGGCTGCGCCGTGCGAAAGCGGGCGGGCCGTCGAAGATGATTCGCTGCTGGGGTAGACCGAGGGTGTTGTTCACTACCAAGGAGTCGTTTGGGTTCAGGGGCAGTTGACGGGTCGGTGAACCCGTTTTCTTGGGGGAATCGGATACGCCTTCCCAGAATGGGCGAGGTCGCCAGAAGGGGTACAGGCGACTGTCCATTTCTATTCCTGTTGTTCGGTTCTTTGCTGATTTCATGGTGAATGATCGTGCTAGGGTGTTGAAGGATTCGGACCGTGGGCGAGCGTTCCAGGTGCGACGTACTGAGCTCCATCGTCCATTGAGACCTTTGCTTTCATCCGCACCGTTGTCATCCTCTTGCAAGGGAAGCGGAGGAAGAGGTTTGGCGATTGGCGGCTTGGGTGGAGGGCGAGGGTTCTTCAACGGGGAGTCGACAGCCATCATTCCTGGCTGGGGTGGATTGTCTGGTGTGCGAATATTGATTGGGCCATTGGAGATTCCACACCCATGGAGAGGACGTCTGGACGACTGCATTCGGGGATCAACAAGAAGCAGAGATCGGTTGTTGTGTGCAAACAAGCTGACAGCTGTAGCCTCCTGGATTTCTATCGGCCCCGGTGAAGATGACGGTATCGATCCTTGGGTGAACGGCAACGAAGGGGGATGCAGGGTCATATCGTCAGCGGCTGCAAACTCATGCATGTTGGGAAGCTCGAGAAAATCGCTAGGGTCATAAGACAAGACGTTATGGCGAGGCGGAGACACTGGCTGCTGATCACGACGCTTTTGCATTTCAAAGTCCATGGCTAGATTGTGGCTTTGCAAACTGGCAGTGGTAAGAGATGTAGCGCGAGAATTGTTCCGACTCGTTGGCGCAGAAAGCGATGAGCTTCGGGGTGGGATGACAGGTCGCCCGATAGTACGACTTCTGGAATCAGTCGCGTGAGATTTCGTGGACACCGAGTCAGACATGGTACGTTTCTTCTGTCGGGTCATATCTACATGACCAGTTGAGGTAGTCGGGGGACGACGGCTCGATCGTTGAGAGCCCGGCTTGGAAGAAGCAAAGCTGTTGCGACCAGAGTTGAGGGATGAACGTCGCTCTGGTATGACCACCACCTTGATAGTTTCAATGTTGGGGTTGATTGCGCTGTTACTAGTTTTGGCCGAGAATGACCTCCCTGATGATGCGCTTCGACGGCCCTGCTCAGGAATGCGAGCGGCCTTGTGGACCAGACGATGTTGCGATTCAGGAAGGGACCCATAAGAGGTACGTTCCGAGTGGGTGATGGGGGAGCTGGCAGATCGCAAAGAGCTTCGCTTTTCAGTATGCCGAAGAATTCGCTGGGCTCGTTTGGGGGAGTCGATGATCATCGCCGAGACGGTGGATGTCGACGAGATGACTGACAAGGGACGGGCTACAGGATCGCCATGTTTGGTTGTACCTTCCGATGATGGCCAACCGATCTCTTCACGGAATCGCTCCATAGATGAAGTAGTCGTCAGTTCAGGTGCACCATGAACGCTATCCCGCAGCTTCTTCTCCCGCATCAAAGAGGCATCCAGGTGTTTCACATCCAATGCATTCCTGTCCAGGCTTGACTGATTGTTCAGTTGAGGATATTTCCGTGCAGATTTTCGCTTCCCAGCTGGTGTTGGAGACCCGTCCATCGTGTCCATGGTCCAATCTCCATCAAAAGACTCGAATCCAGTTACGTACTCAGTGTCGCTAGGCTGTTCAGAAACCAGCGGGGATTCTCTCGCGCTGGTGAAATATGAATGATAACTATTTGCGGCGGGTGGCTTAGATGGCTGCTTTCTTTGTCTGGGTGTCTGAGTCGTGGTCTGAGATGAGCGCACCGGGGTATCCATATCATCAGATGAAGAGATGTCCTCATTAGCCGTTTGGAACGAGTCGGCTCGCGATGATGAGGACACATGCACGAACTGGCTCAAGAGAGGTCGCTTATTCGCGTTTGTTCGAGGAGGAGTCACATCGGGGGTCGGAGGCTTCGAGGCGCGGCGGGGGGTCAACATCCCAGTTGTTGTAAGGTCGGACAGGGACGAATCCATCTTCCGGGGGCTTCGGTCGACGTCGTGGCCTGCATCGGGAGGTGTCAAGGGCGGCGCAGGCGTCGCGTTGAGTGTCCTATTCTGATCCGGCGAGACCGGTTGGATAACTTCAATACTGGGGATGGTTATGCCCCGCCGAGGAAGTGCCTTGTGAGACCTCAGTAGCGGCCGTTCGAGTGCTTGCGAATCCTCCGGTCCCGTCACTTCCATGCCCGGCATCTCTGGGACAGATGAAGATACAATCCACGGTCGCTTTGGCGGTGATTAGCCTTTAGATATGGATCATGACCTGGAATGTTTCAATAAGTCCGCAAGGGTCGCATTGCGCGAAAGCACTCTGCGGCCAATTATGCGACCAATGATGGAAGTTGATGGTTCTCAAACAGCGGCTTTGTTTCTGCACGATGCAAGGGAGTCGATCAGTCGAAGTTCGAGTCCGATAAGGACGATCAGTATGCTTTGTCAGTCGGTCTCGTTGTGAGACGGGGAGTGGAAGAGTGAAGATGGGCGCATATGCGTGTGTGGCTGGGCAGTCACGTCTTAAGTCTCTAGCCTCCCCTCCGATCAAAACTGGGTATGTGAAGGGAGCAATACACCAATAAGGAAGATCAAGTGCCAGAGGGGAGATATCGACCATTTCCTGTTGGCCCATGCACTCCACTACGCTCATCTTTAACACCTTTGACAGAGTACGGAGTACTTCGATCTTCGAGGCCATGTGGAGCATCTTTAAGTTAATCTGTTCCTGAGACACGAAGTGGCTTGCATATTTTTTCTCTCTTTTACATCCTCCTTACGGCATATTTGGGTCCTGCAGGTCTCCAACAGACTCACATCACATTCCACTCCTAGATTTGCCAATATTGCCAATATTGCTAGTACCGGACCCCTCCGCACGAATAGGAAGAGTCAATGAAACAACATAGAACAAACAATGTGAATCCGGATACAAGCATGTGGCGATGAGTGATGACGGTATATTCTCCACACAAGCCAGGATTACTTTTCATCATTCGGTTACGGAAACCGGCATGTTCGTGAGATCTGGGGTTATGATGTCGAGAGTAGGCATTGGCGAGGCTCTATCTACACTGTAGTATGCCACCCAGACGGTGGTGAAATAGACTAGGAAAGGTTCAATATATTACATTACAAAACCATCGTAATTTGAGAAGCAAAGGTGATATATCACACAAGAAGGAAGTAATATAAAAAAGAACTGGGAACTGGGAATACCAGTTTGGCGTGGCCAAGCCGCAACAACGATGACATCGCACGAAGATCGCACATCGTCATAGGCGTTGACTTCTCCCCCGCCAGATATCTGACCTCATTTCTCCCCCTTTTCCTTCTTGCTTTTTTTTACTTACCTTTTCTGATTTTTGAGGTGGAGACTCTTTTACCTCCTTTCTCTTCTTGAACCTGCCTAGACTGCCTTCTTCCCGTTTTTTCCCTGTCTGTGACACTGTCGCACATCCTTTCTACGACGACCCACGACCCGGCATTATGAGCACAATACAGAATATCAAGAACTTCATTAGGCATGGCAAGCAAGCCCGCCTAGTCACCCCTCACTCCGAGCCCACCACCGACGTTTCTACCGTTCATGCCGAGCAACAGCGGCAGCCATTAGGCCAATATTCGCCCGCCTTGGAAGCTTTTGGGCCCGAAGGCCGGGTCAATGCGCCCCAGAAGCAGGCTGATTCACAGGTCAGGCAAGATCGCTCTGCTGAGATTGAACGCTTGGTCGCAGAAGAAAATTTGAGTCGATCCAAAATGCCCAAATACCCGGGTCTGGATCGCTGGATCCTGGTGGAAAAGATGGGTGATGGCGCTTTCAGCAACGTCTACCGCGCTAAGGATACCACAACGGAATATGGCGAGGTGGCCATCAAAGTCGTCCGGAAATTCGAAATGAACAGCAATCAGGTAAGACACCAGTGTTTTTCCTTCTTTTCCTTGATTTCTTTCTTCACTACATGGTGCGCCATCTGTCCATGTAGAAAAAGCCGCCAATATGTTGTGTAGAACGATCCTCACTATCCTACCGTCAAAAAAGTCCCCAAGGCGGCCGAGGTGCGCAATTCCATCTCTCACGCTCTACCTGTTCGGTGGCAATTGTGACTCGCCTCTGGCAGCATGCCCCTGTTCACGTTCTTCCAGCGTTCCTCTATCTCCTGCTTCGTCGCTAACTCTCGTGTTCTCAGCGAGCAAATATCCTTAAGGAGGTTCAGATTATGCGCAACCTTGACCACCCTAATATCACCAAATTGATCGACTTCTCCGAATCACGACAATATTACTACATCGTCCTCGAGCTTTGCCCCGGCGGCGAATTATTCCATCAGATCGTGCGATTGACCTACTTCAGCGAGGATCTCAGTCGGCATGTTATCACCCAGGTCGCACAAGCAATTGAATATTTGCATGAGACATCAGGTGTCGTTCATCGGTTTGTTGGCCGCCAGCCCAATGACGTTGATCCCGAGCTAACACTTGCTAAAGTGACATCAAACCCGAAAATCTCCTGTTTTACCCGATTCCCTATGTCCCAACCAAAAACCCTAAGCCCAAGCAACCCGGCGATGAAGATAAAGAAGATGAGGGAGAGTTTATTCCTGGCCATGGCTCAGGTGGCATTGGCAAGATCAAGCTCGCAGATTTCGGTCTGTCCAAGGTGATCTGGGATAGCCAAACGATGACACCTTGCGGTACAGTTGGGTATACTGCTCCAGAGATCGTCAAGGATGAGCGCTATTCCAAGAGTGTGGATATGTGGGCCATGGGGTGTGTGCTCTACACTCTCCTATGCGGTTTCCCTCCATTCTACGACGAGAGTATCCAGGTCCTCACCGAGAAAGTCGCACGCGGCCAATACACCTTCCTGTCACCATGGTGGGATGGCATCTCCAAGTCAGCCCAGGACTTGATCTCTCACCTTCTCACCGTGGACCCCGAGAAGCGGTTCACCATTAAGGAATTCCTTGAGCACCCCTGGATCCGCGGCACAGACGAGGAAACCACCGCTGCCGCAGACGCACCCCCTTTGGCCACGCCCCTCCAAACCACCGAGAAGGGCCAACAATTCGACTCAATCAGCGCCGAGCACGGTCCCTACCAACCTGCAAGTGCCCGCTTCCTCGACCAGCCCTCCGTAACATCCGACCGCCGTATGGACTTCCGATCTCCCGGCGCATTCAACCTCCGCGAGGTCTTCGACGTTGGCTACGCAGTCCACAGACAAGAAGAAGAAGGCAAGCGTCGCGCCAATGTGCGCAACTCAAACCGCACCGGCACAGCTGGGTTCCAATCGGCCCTCGGCGCCCTCAACGAAGACTACGACGACGAACCAGAATACAGCCATCATCTAGGCGGCCAGCCCCCAGAAAAGGTAACCAAGGCCCAAGGCACCGGCGAGATGGCCGGCATGGAAGCCAAGCTGCGCTCCACAAACCTCAGCAACCAGAGCGGCGCCGCCCAAGCACGAGCTGCTCCCCATCAACAGAAGGCCCGCCAGGGCTACGGCATGCACGACGCTAACGTCGCCTCCGCGGCAAAGAGCACCCTCCGCAAGTCTCACCAACCATTCGAGCTCACCCTCGACGGCGCCACACTCCTCGAGAAGCGTGGTCGTCGTAATCAGCCGGTGTCATAGACGAACATACCAATCTCGAGGGCTTCGGTCTTATGTCAAAATGTCATCATAACTTTTCTAGCACTTGCTTATGAGCGATGTTCTCTACGGATCTCTTTTTTTGTCTTATTCTCTGGGATGACCCTATCTTCTCATGGCACTGTCTCTTTATCTTCATTCTTATTTTCCATTTGCTTTATCTGGTTGGAGCTGTTTGCGCGTTAAGGATCTTACCCGGCGAAGAATATCTGCATGCGTCTGTGGTCTCGAGTGGAAGATGGGGATGTGGGGTTTTCTTCGTTTTCTCTGAGTTGTGGTGCTTGTCCGGGCTGGAATGGAGTTTCTCTTTCCTATCGTTTCATAGGGTTTACATACTTGTTAAGGATTATCTTCTAAAGGCATCTTTCCTCGTATCATTCTTTGTCTGTTATCACTTGCTTTTCTGGCCCGTACTGATGCAGCAAGATTATGTCTCGCTTCTCTTATTTTCTTAGTTGGATATCTGTCGTTTGTTATCGGTTTTGCTGTTCTTGCTGCCTTCTGAGGTTTTACCGTCGTAATCAGTAGTAGATTAGACTTTTCAATCCCTGTACTTCAGCGTCTCCAGCCTTGCAAGTTTCCATCTTATGGTTCTTACCAAGTTTTCATCATTACGGTTATTACGTCACATCACTACAAAATCTTGGAATCTTGGGTCTTACAAGGGAAGTGATATTTGAATTTCTATTGGAATTCAATTTTGAAACTTGTTTGATCACATCAATTGCATTCATGGTACATATGTAAATAGTCATAGACTTGGAATCCGCAAATCGAATATACCATAATCATGGAACATATGTAAATGTAAGGTAGTAGTACATATTCACAAAAATCACAAAGTTGGTATCTAGTATTGGGAGAAATGTTCAACTGGAAGAAGGTCCCTTCCTTCGATCCGATGGTAGAGGACTGGAAGAAGTGCTGGCTTCAACACTCCGTCTGGCGCGGATCTTTCCTGGCAGAAAGCAGTATACACCTCTGGTGATCCATTAATCTCATTCTGATCGCAATGGAGGGAAGAGGGAAGTAAAATGTGTCTGATCTACTTTCCTCTTCCGGTTCTGTTGTATATTTCATTTTTGGCGTTTGCGTCTATTCTTTCGAACATTGGATGAATCACACTGGCTGCTGATGATCCTCACAGTGTCTGCTTACCCCGAGTCTCAATGGGGAGGAGACACATAGCAACGAACGAGGCCAGAATCAAAGCACCAGAGGCATAAATAGGCGAGTTAGGGTTTGCACTGCCAGCATAGATAGCGACAAGCGGAGCACAGAGACCAGCGATACGGTTCAAGCAGCTGGAGATACCAGTGCCGGTGCCACGGTTAGGAGCCGGGAAGGTCTCCGGGGTATAGGCGTACAGGACACCGTACATGATGTTCTGGAAGAAGGCCTCGAGACAACTGCACAGCAGCTGGATGCCGGAGTTGGTAGAGGCAGTGAAGCAGAACAGTAAGACGCCGGTGATGAGGGTAGCGATTGCCATTGTACCCTTACGACCGATGTACTTGATCTCGACAGTCCAGCAGGCCAGGATGGAGCCGGGGAGACCGACAATAGAGGTGATAGCGTAATTGCGGTAGGTAATGTAGTTGGAGTTGGCTTCGCCGCCGGATGTGGCGAGATACTGGGGCAGGAAGGCGTTGAAGAGAGGGTATCCCATGCCAATGGTGGCCCAACAGAACCAGAGGAGGGCGGTGTTGAAGCCCATGCGCTTGTTAGCGAAGAGAGGGCCGATGCGCTCCATGGAGAACTTGGAGAAGAAGCGGCCGATGATTTGACCGTAGCTTAACTTGGTCTTATCTTCCTGGCCCTCGGGGTAGCCACCGATCTCGTTGAGGATCTCGTTGGTCAACCAGGTCTGGGTGCCGTTTTTGTAGGCGATGCCATGGACGGAGGCGACGGCTTCTTCCTGGCGGCCACGAGATAGCAGGTACTTGGGAGACTCATACAGGTGGAAGAAGAAGAATCGTAGGATGAACATGACGAAGGTGATGGCGCCTAGGGTGAGCACCAAGTAGCGCCAGCCCATGTTCTTCTCCTTGGTGCAGCCCTCATAGCCCGCGCAGCTATAATTGGGAATGTAGGCCCAGGCAAGCAGGCTGCCAATCAGCTGGCCAACGGGCCACCAGACACTCAACATGGTCAACATGTTACCAGAGACGAAGGGCAAGAACTCCAGGAAAAGAGCACCGTCGACGGGCAGGTTACCACCCACACCAAGACCGAGACAAGCAAAAAGAGCACATGTTCTAAATTAATTAATTAGCGTAAATTCGGATGGATTTCTCATAGATCTTACCCAATCCAGGTAGGGCCACCACCCGCAGCTAGACCGAAGGCACCAGCAAGGAAGAGGGTAGTGTTGAAAGCAAGACGACGGCCAACAATATCAGAAGCAATGCCCCAGAATGAGGCACCAATGCAGAGACCCAAGAACAGGGCACAGGTCGTGAAACGCACCCATGTACTGGAGAGTCCGAATTCGTAAGAAATGGGTGTCAAAGTTAGGGCAACTCCCTACACATGATTAGTTTAGTCCACGTGACGTACAGTAATTATTTCTCACCTGAAGCCAGAGGCTAAACGATAGAATTTAGTAATCTGATTGCAGCAAAAGAAGGAAGAATGCTTACTTATCCGCAGTCCAACCGAAACCACAAAGAAAGAACAGCTGCCACTGATACCGGCCCATGCCAATATCCTGCAAAGCCCTGTTGATCACCTTCGCCTTGCCTATATCGAATCAGCCAAAACCCAAAAAACGCGTCACAGGAAACTTCGACTGGGGAGAAAATAGAGTACATGGGAGAAAAACATACGATCATAGGCCGAGTCATGAGTCGCAGTAGCAACATCAGATTCAATTTCTGCGCGAAGGGCTTCCAAAGTCAGAGTAGATCCAATTTGAGAGCCGACAGCGCCATTCTCCGAAGAAGACGCAAGGTCCAAGCTCTTGGTCTCCTTGTCGTCCTTCTCGGTGATGTTAGGGCTATGCGCCGGCGCAGGGGCACCAGCCAACGGGATAACAACACCCGGGAAGTTCTGGCGATCCTTTTTGAAAGGGTTAAATTTCTCGAGACCCATGATGATTGTATACAAATGGCGCTTTGGAGGGAAAACGGGTAAAATTGCCTGCGGGAGTTGCTGCTATCTGCCGAGTTGGTCGCGTGGTCTAGGTCGTTCGAGTTTCGCAGAGGGGTTTCGAGGCTAGCCGGTTAAGACGAGTCTACAGAGATGGGATGATGCAATTGGGTCTTATATTTAGATGCCGGGGCAGTTCTGTCGTGAGACCGAAGTTGGCGCAAGGACTGGTTCCGATGGATAATGTGGGCCAAGCGCTATGGATGCTGGAATTGTCGCAGTCGCAGTCGATGTATTGTTGCCGCCAGGGTGATGCAAGATCGCTTGCTACTGAAGTGCGGAATCGGATTGAAAGGAGTGCTTGGCCTTCGCTGTTGGAAACAGATATCTTTTGTCTTTCTCACAAGGATGAATGATCTGAGAGCATGTACCACAGATCAAATGATAGAATAAAGTGTAAGGCAAGCTTGGATAGCTGTACAAGAGGAGAGACGGGGGTTGAGGGATTCACAGAAGAAGAAAAAGAAGGAAGGAAGGTGGGATCTGCTACCTGCTGTATATAGTCATTTAAATTACCATATGCCCATATTAGGCCTAGTGCGGAAAGTGGGTGGAACTGTGGCATGCGTAACAATACGAGACTGGCGCGGAACTGGGGTACAATCGATATTCCACAGTTCAACGTGGACAACTTCCATGTAAGGACTAAGTTTCTTCGGCATACTTGCGGTAAATTTTGACGATAAAAAGTTGACTAAGTAATACATTAGAAAAGACTAGACGATAGTGGCTGACGGCACATCTTAGTGGCTACAGTATTAGCCTTTGGTGGCACGAGCCTCTCCCGGGTTGAGCGGGCCACCAAGGCAAAAACTACGTTCTCTTCAGCCTCAGTTTCTCTCTGGCTCTCTGGCTCAGCGATACCATGGAAATGCTCGAAATCCATTCGGAAACTCATTTGGGCAGTGAGAGGTATCGGCCGTGAGTCGGGTTTAACAAACATAAGGAAGGGCGCAAATGGTAGCACCAATGAATACCCATCAATATGGGCGACACCGATTTCCCATTGGTAGTCGTGATCCACTGGGAAAATTTTTGCAACAAGACCGCTACATGTAGGAGATCAAGGCCGGATGCGATGTGATCCACGTGCTTACAACGTCACCTCAGGCTGTATTTGGCATCTCTGTCACTGGATCTTCAATTATATCTTTGCAACCTTTTGCAGAATGACGACAATATAGCATACAAACATAAACCCTTGTAAACCCAAGCCCTAAAAGGAAGATCAAGCATGGAAGCTTTGAATACCCTGGAGCGCGCCAAAGCGCCTCGGGCTTGGCGGGGGCGTATGCCGCATTCGGAGGGGACCATGTTTTGCTCCCGTCCAATCACAGTCGATCATGTGGTTAAAATTACATTACCGGTAAGAGCATTCCTCCCCTCGTGGAGGTGGAGAGTCCTCGGCAATACCCAGTACAGCACGTATATATCTCCACTGAGACTGAACTTGGCATGGCCTGTATGATAGGAAAGGACGCAAAGTGGAAGATAATGCACTAGGGATATGCTTTACCTTCTGAATGGCTTCTTGTTTGTCGATGGCTAAAACAAATTCCTGTGTGGGAGCCTTGAATCTTGGCAGATTTCAATTGCGCAGGGGGTAAATCGCGTGAACTCGTACTAAGTACTACTAAGTACGCAATGTGAGGTTCGCGTGACCTATGCTTCAGCGTATTAGAGCGCTCTGTACCACTAAAACCGTCTGTTGATTGTGGTACAGTCGGAGATTCTATTGCCCTGGGGCTTTATCTCATATAGAGATCCACTCTGGGAATAGGCAGGGGATAGACTCAAACTTCTAGTCAGGAGACCTCCAAGGAGGAGATACTGATAATGTAGCTGGCACAAATCACATTTCACGATTACTATTGATCTCCGCGTTATTGCCGAGAGGGTAAACGTTATACTCAAAGCGGCAGGCCAGTCCGGGTGGCTGTGACATCACTCAACAATAGTTTGATCAATCACAACAGTAATTGAACATTTATGATGGGAAAGTCGGAAAGCAATCAATGATTCCCGAGGTAATACCGAATAGTCTACCCTTGATGCCAATATGTGGGAAGTCAATACATGTACCATATGGAGATAAGTTACCGTGGCAATTTCTGGGGTAATGCAATGATAACACCGATCGATCATCCCTTGATAAGTTGCGGTCTGTCTTGGAAATACAAGTCTGTATATGTATTTCATTTCTTGTTTGTATACATAACATGACATACTAGACCCCGTTCTATATATTCAATTCCCTCCTCAATCCACAGGTACATGCTCACACCTGCTCTATTTACTCCACACTTAGATCTCATCAGTACGTCTAAGCAGCCACTCAAGGTGTCGATAAGCCGCACGGGGCTGGTACTGCGGCTGCATATGACCAGACTGATAAGTCTCAACCCACATAAGACCACGCTCATAGTGTTGAACACCAATGATACCTTGAGGCCCATCTAGATCCGAAGCACCATTTTCAGCAAAGACATCAGCATACAGCAAATCCGGGATCTTGATGTCAATAGGCGTAGACGGCTTCTCCTGGAAACCAAGATGACCGTTCCAGGTCATGTTCTGGATAGCCATGAGCGTGCCGTTGGTGATGATGACCATATCGAAGTCGCCGTTACCAATTAGAACGCGGTTTGTGGCTTCGATGACCTGCGGTAGGACGTGCTCGATTGGGTTTGCGGAAATATCGCCTTCTTGTTCGGGGCCAGCGTTTCCGCCTACGAATACGGCTTCGGCGGAGCATTCGGCCCAGGTGACGTTGGGCGCGTGGAGGGCTGCTTTGACGTCTGCGCGGTCAAAGTAGACTGTTGATCCTGCTGCTTGGTAGACCAGGGAAGTGGGGAAGGCGAGGACGTCCCAGAGGAGGGGGCACATTTGGTTGATCTCATAGAGGTCGAAGCAAGGGTTGATGTGGAAGACTTCGTAGTAGACGAGGTCGAAGAGGTCACAGTCGGCATTTGTGGTATAGTTGAAAAACATGGGGGGTTGTGTTTCGGGTGGTGGGAAGGTGAGGTATTTGTCGATGAAATCCTCGTATCCGCAGGACTTGTGCTTTTTCTCGAGCTCTGCCATGAATGATTCGTTGAAGTTGAATAGGTTGGCGTTTGCCTGGACGAAGGGCACGACAGGAATCTCTTCTTGCACGTAGTCAAATTGTCCAATACATGGGTCGTATGCCAATGCACCTGGAAACTGTCAGACTAGTTTCAATACTTCGTCTCATCACCACTTACCGTCAAGGTCAAAGTACTCCTTGTCCTTCTCATCCAGCATCGCAGCCGAGATATAGGGCACATATCTTCCGGCATAACTCTCTCCAGTGACATAGATCTTGAAGTTTTTAATCCCGAAAAGCTTCTGGAAATTCTTGAAGAACTTGATAAAGTCCTGCGCAGTCTCCTCTTGGGAATCGGCGGTTGGGGTACCAATTGAGTATCCCGTTCCAACAGGTTGATCAACCCTTCACAATGTTAACAATCAATTTCTCAGTTCGATCCAAGTGAGATACAATACTCACCACAGCACATTGGTCAAGTTAACCCAAGCATACGGGTTCTCCACCGGCGCAAAAGTGCCCGGCTGCCACAAGAATCGACCAGTCTCTTGCAAGAAACTCTCCATGGAACTACATCCAGGACCACCGTTAAGCCAGATGGTGACTTCATCAACAGGCTCGTTGATTGTAGGCTGGAAGATGAAAAACAGCGCTCGAGACTCGTTATGTTTATCAATAGGCACCAAACCAGAGTACATCTCGCCGAGATCAAATGGAACATCGGGTAGGGAGTCCACCAAGTAAGCTATCAATCCATTAGCTCTTATCCTGGTGTTATAATGGGAGCAGCTTAACACCCACGTTTTGTATGGTTGCTCAGAAAGCGAAAGTCTTTCTTCGGGTGCGATTTCTCCTCGCTTCGAGCCTCAATGGCTCGTTTCGCCCTTTCCTGAGGCACGCGTGCCTTTTGTCCGAATTTACCATGCTTGGAAGCATCCACGAGCTCCGAGCCCAATGACAGGGCCAGGAGTGCGGATGTCACCACCGATTTGAGCAACATTCTGCTGGAGTCTGTATAAAGGACCCGAATCAGGAATCAAGGGTGGAGTGAGATGTTCGTTCGCTCATTTGAGTGAGGGGAAGCACAGCTATATAACCCCGAGACTGGTGGGAGTTGATTGGAAGATTGGAGAAATTACCTAGCTTCGGACTAACTGATGCTTCTTCTACGCCTCCACGGCCCCTGTCAATTGTGATTATCCACTGATATCAGTTTCGGTGGGGTCATTCCCCAACCCCCGGAAAAGGAAATTTGTCTGAGTCTGCTAGTCTGCTGCTATTATTGTTTTCAGCATAGAATCTTTCTTGTGGGATTGCTACCTCAACAACGCTGCTGTTGGAATGAATAATTTGTGCATGGTCATGGCTGCATCTGCGGCATTGAGGGGATGCGCACAGATGTGACGAGGGTCGGAGCAGCGACGGATTCCGGCTAGATCGACAGTTATCTTTTAATTTGGGATAGTAAAGCTTGTATATAAAGAGCAGGAGCAGCTTCTAATTGGCTTAATTGGTCCTTATCCCCTCACTAACCCGTCGGCTAAGCACTATGGCCTCCACATCCATCATGCAGTTCGACTTGTATGAGGTTGCCTGCCGGTGGCTTGAGACGACCGGCTTGCGGCGGATGTTTCTGTTTTCTTTGTTAAGATACTATGGTCTCACAGTGGTTATATCCGGGTATATTATCCATATACACGAAAGATGGCCGAATCATCTCGCCCCTGACTATCTTCATGGCTGGAGATGCGGGGAGCGGGAACGGCCGCGTCGCCCCAAAAAACAATCACAACGTGGGAGATGGTACCTGAATATGATTGTGCCTGCAGCTTCGGGGTTTAAGATACGACGCCAAGCTTTCTGCGAGTTGCTTGTTCGCATGCGATCGGCTAGATGTGAGGCTTGGTACACCGCAACTGAGACTGATAAGGCTCAGGGCCGTTTGCGGCAGTTGTGTTATCCGGGACTCCGCGTTCACCGAGTCGATGTAACTTGATGATAAGAGAATAGAGAAGCAGGTTATTGTGTTTTAATGACCAAAATAAAGGTGTCAAGACTATATTGTATAATGGGTGAAGAAAGAAAAACAAAAAGCAAAAAGAATGGACTCGCGGGGAATCGAACCCCGGACCACTCCCATGCTAAGGGAGTATTATACCACTAAACCACAAGCCCAGTTCGATGGATAAGGTTGGCATAACGTGATTAATGGTTCAGAAACACTATATTGGACAATTTCCGTCAACATCAAGATTATTTATTATGAACATCTGCGCGCAGACGTCTTTCTAGCATTTTTCGTAGGCTAAATCGTCTGGAATGGTATTGCAGTCATTTATTGATATTATATTCCGCTGTAGGGGAGAGACTCGATCGATCGAGTGGTTATATATATTTGTCCATTTAGGTGAAGCTGGTACATATAGTCACCAATTGCATATGATAGATGGTCCTGTTTGCCCACCTACTTACTGCATAATGATTTGAAGGATTTAGCCCAACACTACCGTGAAATGATGCATGATAGGTAGCTGGCTATCAGTGGCATATAGTAACATACTGACTATCTGTATAGCCCAGACCTAAGTATTTCCAGATATCTTGACCCAAGATGGCGTATCTAAATCTCCTAGGAAACCACAAGGTCAAATGATATACTTCACATGAGTCAATATCTCAGAATACGGTGAAAGGATCAGGATTATTGATCTGGGTATACAATGTCTTGGCTGTGCTGGACCTGCCAGATGCTGTTAGCTCCACTCCACTCCACGGCTGCCAATAAACTCGCTCTCCGATTTTTCTAACCACCTCAAAACGGACTAGAGACCCCGAGGATCCGCCCTAACACCAATGGGAATAATTCCGCGCAAAATTCTCCATTGGATTTGCATATGACTCCAAGTCTCGATTGCTAATATCGACCCCTCTTTACCCAACTTCTTCCCAGATCCCCCAGATTCACAGCTCTCAGACAAGTCATTTTCAACGCGGAGAAAACGTGGAGAATCAACCAACGGCCCTTTCTGTAGAATGCCCACCAATGTCAGGTCTGCCAATATCAACTCTGGCGACCATGGACCTGATATTTTGAACACTGCCCACCCAACTGAGACGGCATTCACAGAGAAGAGCTCTGTCAACGTGGATCAAGAAAAGACGAAGAATGAAGACACAGACTACGAAAAGCAAGTCCAACCCGACTTGACCAACCCTGCCCCAGAGCAAGAACCCACCCAAGATGAAGTCTACCGAACAGCATCTACAGTGGCCCCATCTCACAGGTCAGCCCGAAGAGACCCTGTTAGTCGAGTCACAACCGATGCAGAGGGCAACACCTACCCCGAGGGGGGTCTCCAAGCATGGCTGGTTGTGCTTGGTAGCTTCCTTGGCCTGTTTGGATCCCTCGGGCTGGTCAACACCATAGGCACATTCCAGGCCTATATCCAAACCCACCAGCTGAAAGAATACAGCGCCGGAAGTATTGGATGGATCTTTGGAATGTTCGCCTTCCTCACCTTCTTCTGCGGAGTGCAAGTCGGTCCCATTTTCGACGCACGTGGCCCACGCCTCCTCGTATTCGCAGGCTCCGTCTTTGAAATGGCCATGATCATTCTTGTTGGTTTCTGCACTGAATATTGGCACTTCATGCTGGTCATTGGTGTCCTGGGTGGAGTCGGAGCGTCTCTCATTTTCACCCCGGCCATCTCGGCGATCGGCCATTTCTTCTACGAGAAACGTGGAGTCGCAACTGGAATGGCTGCCACCGGTGGTTCTATCGGAGGTATTGCTTTTCCTTTGATTCTGGAAAGCCTCTTTCCCAAGATTGGCTGGGCATGGGCGACCCGAGTTGTTGCATTGATCTGCTTGATTGTACTGGGACTCGCAAACCTTCTCATCAGGTCTCGACTGCCCCAGAAGCCATTTTCCAAGGAGAACATTCTCCCGGATTTCCGCATCTTTCGCGATTCTCGATTCGCATTTACAACTGCCAGTGTCTTCTTCATCGAGTGGGGTCTCTTCGTGCCGATTAGTTATATTTCATCGTACGCCCTCGACCACGGTTTCTCAAGCCATTTCTCCTACCAAATTATCGCAATCCTGAACGCCGGTTCATTCTTTGGTCGGTGGCTCCCAGGTTTCTTTGCGGATTTCCTGGGTCGCTTCAACACTCTCATTGCAACCGTAGCGCTCTGCTTACTCTGCAATGCCTGTCTGTGGCTTCCCGCCGGGAGCAGTCTACCCCTACTGATTGTATACTCTGCGCTTTTCGGTTTCTCCAGTGGAAGCAACATCAGCTTGACGCCAGTCTGTGTCGGTCAACTCTGCAAGACTGAAAACTACGGCCGGTATTACGCAACTGCCTACACCATCGTGAGCTTCGGGTGAGTTCCTTTGTTATTTTGCTTCTGCTTGTGATTTCACGTAACTGACATACGTTTGCCACAGTACTCTCACCGGAATTCCCATCGCTGGTGAAATCTTGTCACGCTGCAATGGATCATACTGGGGTCTGATTACATTCACTATTGTCTGCTATGCTGCTGGCCTGGCATGTTGCACCGCCGTAAAGGTTATTCAGGTTGGCTGGCGTCACCCCCTCGCGATCTACTAATCCCGAACTTGGTATTCGAAATCGGATACAATATCCTACCTCGGTGTTCCAATATTGATAGCTGGTAACCCTGACACGATTCATGATTCACAAAATAAAAGGTTAGACACAAAAGTTGGGTTTTCTCAAGACCATTGCTTCATCATTTTGCTTCATTTTTGGTTCTTACAGCGATAACATGAACAGCTTGCATCCATAGCCAATATTTCAATAGCGTTTGTTCATTGAGTTATCTGTACATAGTTTCTCCTAATGTCTTTTATTTGTTTGCGATCCACTAAGCCAACATTATAAAATCGAAACCATAGACCGCTGCAATGTCTCCATAGAAATGATGAAATGATGAAATGAGATCACCCAATTTAGGGGTCTGGCGGACATCGCACCCCGCTCCAGGGCCATTTCAAGCGGATGACGATTCCGTACCGGACCAACCCGGTGAGCCCTACCTACGCACATCAGGGACGTCGTTATAATTGACCCCAACAGATGCAGCAAAGTAGACAAGACAAAGGAAACAGGTTCCTATGATACTAATTATTACCATTATTCATCTAGACTCAATCAAGCAATATGTAGACATGCAATACTTACGGTATGCGCCGACTTAGGGTTGGACCTGGCTAGGGCGCATAAGATATCCGCGGGAAGAACACCAACCGCTTCCCTGATCTAAATATCTAGTCACGATGATCGCGACAAGTACCTCACCAACCCATGGATTGAACACTGGGAATGAATTCCAATAGGACAACCGAGTTCCCCTCTCACCACGGTACCAACACACCGTCCCAAAGGAGAAAAACAAACAGCGACATCACCTCCAAATACTAGACCTGGCTTACTGATGACATCGAGCGTTCATCAGACCATCATTCATTTTCTTGGTCCCAATAAATACACGACGTGATGGCCACGTCTTCTTCCGCTGCTTCCCTACTCTACCTGAAATCTTTGCTTTTTCTCTCCTTCGTCTTGGATTGTTCTCCATTCTGCATCCAATTTGCTATATACCTTCACTTCATATATTGCGTTGGATCCCGACGTTGCGTTTGATATCGATATCTGTATCGGCCAAAATCAATCTTCAATTCAAAAGCGATCTGCTCTATCAATTGATTTTGCTGTCCCTGTCTCTGTCTCTATCCTTCTTTCCGTGCCTGTCCGGTTAGGCTAGCCCTTGCTCAATCATTCTGCACATACCTCGTTAGGTTACGTCCCAGTCATGTTTTCGAGAAATTGCCTACTGCTGCTGGCCTGTTTCTGGACGCTCCTCCAGAGTGTCGCGGCTGCTCCCGATGTCGCGCTGGAGCCTGGTCTTGAGGATAGCCACCGTCTGCAGGGGCGGGACCTGGAAGAGCGCAATAATCATCCCGGTCTTGAGAGCTCCTTGCTGTCGGTTCTAACCGCGGATATAGCGTCCTCGACCCAACACCGCAGTGGTGGCGGTACTACCACCACCGAGCAAGGCAGTAGTGGTAAACCGTCCGCTACCCCTACCACAGAGGGAGGTAGTACCTCGCCTACTTCCCCTGCAGGTGGAATCTCGCCAACTGGCACTGCCGGTACAGAAACTGGAACTGGCACCACTAGTCCTTCGACTGGTTCTCCGATTGGTCCCGCCATTGGTCCGTCCACTAGCACTGTCGAAACCTCCAACACTACCTCGACTGGCGGTCCTGGAACTTCCAATGTTCCCAGCACCAGCCCCTCGACTGGGGGACCAGAGAAATCCACTGGCCCCCACACTAGTCCTTCCACAGGCGGTGTTGGTCCCTCTACCGCTGCTATTCCCCAGACTAGCGGCAGAGTTGGGGCTTCTTCCAGTGGCTCAGAGACCTCGCCTGGTAAATCTACCTCTCCTGGAGGAGGTGGAGCCACTGGAACGCCTGCCACTCAGCCTTCCACTACTCAACCCTCTACCACCTCCCCTTCTGGTGGCGGTGGTACTGGAAGTGTAACTCCAAGCGGTGGTGGCCGCACTTCTCCCATTGTTGGTGGTGGAGGCGGCACTGAACGACCCAGTACTCCCACTTCTCCCACTAGCGGTGGTGGAGGTAGTACTGGACAACCCAGTACTCAAACTTCTCCCATTGGTGGTGGTGGTGGAGGCGGCACTGAACAGCCCAGTACTCACACGTCTCCTACTAGCGGTGGTGGAGGAGGTACTGGACAACCCAGTACTCAAACTTCTCCCATTAGTGGTGGTGGAGGAGGTACTGGACAACCCAGTACTCACACTTCTCCCACTGGCGGTGGTGGAGGTGGTACTGAACAGCCCAGTACCCAAACTTCTCCCATTGGTGGAGGTGGAGGTGGTACTGGACAACCCAGTACTCACACTTCTCCCACTAGTGGTGGTGGAGGGGTCACTGAACAGCCCAGCACTACTCACTCTTCTACCACTGGTCCTACGGGCGGTGGTGGAGGTGGCGGTCCTCCTCAGACTATAAATGGCGGCGGCGGCAGTAGTGCAAGTCCCTCCGGCCCTAAGGAGACTGTTGTTGTCCCTGTCGAGCCTGTGACTGTTACTTGCCCTCCTGCTGTTACTGTTACTGTCACTGCTGCTTCGTCTTCTGGTACTGGCTGCCCTTGCCCAGGTACTTCTGCTGCTGCTGCTGGTGCAAGCCCCGGCGGCGGCAGCAACCCAGGTGGTGGTGGTGGAGGTAACCCAGGCGGTGGTGGTGGTAATCCCGGTGGTGGTGGTGGTGGAAATCCAGGAGCTGGCGGAGGAGCTAGCCCGAGTGGAGGCGGAGGTGGTGGTAACCCAACAGGAGGTGGTGGTGGTGGAAATCCAGGAGCTGGTGGAGGAGCTAACCTCGGTGGTGGCGGAGGTGGTGGTAACCAAACAGGAGGTGGTAACCCGACAGGTGGTGGTGGAAGCATCACACCTGGAGGTGGCGGCGGTGGATCAACCACCACAGGCCGAGGCAGCTCAACAGTCCCTCCAAGCAACAGTGGCGGAGTCTTGACATCCACCAGAACCAGCTTCAGCACCAGAACCAGCTCCAGCTCCAGCTCCAGCTCCAGCTCCAGCCCCAGCTCCAGCTCCAGCCCCAGCCCCAGCTCCAGCACCAGCACCAGCACCAGGACCAGCACCAGCACCATCACGAGCACCAGCACCATCACCAGCACCTCGACTCCTTTCGTACCAACCAGCACCAGAGAGAGAACCAGCAGAACCACAAGCTCCTCTTCCGCGATTAGGACAACTGGCAGCACGTTGACAACCGCGCCTTCCAGGTCAGAGACCAAATCAGAGACTAGGTTCAGCACCAGTTCTTCCCAAGTTAAGCCAACTAAGCGAGCATTTGTGGCCCCTGATATTGTTCGACGAGCCCCCCTTGGAAACATCACGGCCCTCTTCAGCAACTCGACTATCTCGAATAGGACTACCACTGCGAACCTCACTGAGGCTGCGTCTGTGCCTGCCTTTTTGCCTCGCTTCCACCGTGGTCGTTTCAGGGCTTAGATTGCTTGGATTTCTGTATTAGAGTTGAAAAGTGGTTAATCCTTTTAATTTGTTGTTTAGATGAGAGGTTCGGCCTTGCTGACACTCGGTGATCTTAGAGGAGTTAGGGTGTTTGGAAGTAATGCAATGTGGCTTTTGATATTCTGTTCGACTATGTATTTGTTACATTAATCTTCCTCCTGGAAGAGGTAATCCTACTCCAGGTCACTGTCATAACCATCCGATGCAGAACGTCCAACGGTACCATCGTCATGAACGATGACGCGCTCCTTCTTCGGAATGTCCTTAAGGTTCTCACTGGAGACCATGATGGCTCGGCCTTCACTACAATTATTGGGCTAAGCTCCTTCTTTATTATGGCTACTATCCCCATGAGCTACTAGGGTAAGAAGTGTCGCTAGCTCACTCGGAGGCAGTATAAGACTCTTCTCCGGATCCGTGACGGTCCCCGTTTAGTTGGATGTCTAGGTTGTCATCGTCGTTGCTATTTATCTAGACAGGATTTTATTTTATTTCTCTGTTCATATGCATGTCAGTAATACCTATGTATTAATCAAAGCGTTTCCTTTCATGACGGCGTTCATCTAGACTTGGGCCCACTGCTCGAATTTAGCAAGGTTCTTTTTTTGTGCTCCCAATCTTACCCTTTTGCAGTCGCAATTTCCTACACTTATTAGTCATTAGGATTACCGGCTTTTTGAAGGAACATCCCCGTCATCGAACAAGTGTGGAGATAGGCCTTGGGTAAATTTTCCGAATGCCAGGTGTTGTCATCTAAGAAGAATTGGCTGGGCACGTCAGAGAAAAGAAAGCCTACGTACAGGCAAATACTTAGTTTATGTTCCCCTTGGGAGCTGATGAGCCATGGCATGGTTGCTCGCTCAATTGATCGCTCAGATGCTCATTCGAATATCCGTTTGAAACGCCAAGCCCCACAACTTTTGCACTTGGACTATATCGAATAACACCTACTCTTATTGAACTACACACAGATCCCCATAGACTTGGACTTCCATTTTCAAAATAGTTCTGCGTTGAGCTTAGTCTCAATACGCCACCCCGTATATGTGAGACCTACATCACACCACATATTGGTGGCGCAACCAGCGGTTAAGCGTTGTACATGTATCCTCTTTTATTGTGTCGACGGGGAAAAGATTTACGCTCAGTGGAGGAACATCCCCTTTCTTTAGCAAGTCCTTAGCAAGTCCGAATAGATCTTAGATAAAGTTATGTCATAACAGGGGGGCACATCTTCTTTTTGTGCATCTCGTGCTGCAAGATGTCGATAGCAGAAAATATATGTACTAACAGTGCCAGTATCATGCTAAAAGTCTACAATAGCCGACAATTCCCGTATGCACGTAAGCAGGACTCATATTTTATTTGCCTGCAATAGTACAATGTCGTATCGAATAAAAGAGCCGAGGTATAGACCAATAAGCTTCTATCTCTCCATGCTCAATCGTGATCTTTGGGCTTTATTGCAGATAGTGAATGCACACAATATCACACGAGACATGTAGACTTACTATGATTGATTGTCCTATACACTGTAATCCCGGGTCCAAGTAATGCCAAACATTCTAGCGAAGTGCATACCCCGCAATGACTTGCTTTGCAGAGATGCACGCATTTAGAATGAGACCCTTAAGAAAATATGTCATCAGCTTGGCTCTTGGACGACCACTATAAAAACAGCCTCTAAACCCGTTCCTGTATATATTCAGCACCAGGTTTTCTTTTCCTCAGGAGTTCATTTGATAACCAAAAATGCGTTTCTCATTGCTCTCTATCCTCGCTCTTGCGCCAGCCACATTTGCGCTAGTCCTCGATACGCCCATTATAAAATCGCGTCGGACTTGGGACCTGACATGGAGACTTGACACGGAGGATGTCGGCTTCTTTCTTACTCGAGACTTCAAAACATTCGACTTTATTGGTGTCGCTCCGGCTGAGCCAGAAAAGGCTACTGTTAAGGTACCAAGAGAGTTGCTTCGTCCAGGGTAAGAAAATAATACTTGAGCTTGCGTCATTGATTTAATAAGAATGTGATGCTGATCTGGTCTGTGTAGTGATGTTTGGCTGGTCGCATACACCAACGATGGTAGAGGCCCAATCGGATATAGTGAGAAGTTTACTCTGGAATAAGCACCGGCTTTATATACGGAGGTTGTTACGGATATGATTCCTTAGCCCTCATTGTCTGTCCAGCGTTGAACTTATGGGAAGTTCTAAAATATCTTATAAAACAACCGACCTCAAAAGAATCCAGGGTGTTCCCTAGCTATAAAACGTTCAGGAAAAAGCTAGTAAGCAAGCGCTAGGTAAAGGGAGCTATAAAAAGCCCCCTTTCATCAAGTTTAGATAATAGGCTAGTACAGCGCAGATTTAAGAAAGAAGATAAGTCGAAGCTTAGTGCTTAGCGGACGCAGTGAAAATAGCGGCTGGTTTAGCGGCCAAAGAATTAGAGGAAACACTTAAAAATGAGGATGATAATACATTATTGGCTAATAAGGCTATTGATAGGCTTTATTTCATGGATCCTAGACCTTATAGGCCTAGGAAATGAGCTAGAAATTGAAGAAATTGAAAATCTGCGTTATGGCTGAGAATTGCATTTTGGCAGAGGGACACAGCTACTTTACCGCCCACTCTCTATTTAATAAACCCGAACATAAACTCCCTTATTGTCCTGATTCTCCAGTGTCAAAGGAACTCGCAGCACCAAAGGAACTCGCTGATTCTCTATATCCGGGGCTAGCTCGATCGTAGGACTATTATTCACTACCACTATCAGGCGAATATTGGTTCTCTCGTTCCTAACAATCTGAATGATAGACTCTAAGACGTCTTATTGCTATAAAGAAAGCGACGTTGTCTTTATCATTTTACACTAGAAAGAGGAGTAGAGAACTAAACTTCGTTTTGTCACTCTCTTCGTCCCCTTTCAAAATATATAGCATAGTGTTTAACATTGCGAGACAAATATAATTTTTTTCCAATTTTGCTACAAGAACACGATTCGGCATTCGGAACACAAGCTTTGGCTTCGTCCCGAAGGAGGAAGCACTTGCATAGTCAATCCGTCATGTAGAAGATCTTTCAGTTCAAATCGCGAAGAAGAAGTCATCGGTAATCCATCTCCTTGCGAGATTATTTCCCATAAACCCATGGAGGGTAACAAGGATTAAGGAATTGGAAGTAAAGAGCCATGCGTAAGTTACAGGGGGTTTAAACAGATCACCCGAAATTTGTTAATATCGAAAGCTAAGAGACGTTTGTTATTGAAATTATTAACCAGGTACACTTTAAACTGTCACAGGATCGACAGGGCTCGCTACCTCAAGCCTTGTACTGCGCTGCCAAAGATACCATTAGAGGATCAAGAGAATCCAAGCAGCCTCTGAAGAGGGTGGTTTTATCGAGATGGCGAGGTATTCCACCACATTCCTATATTTCTCATCCCCTTAAATTCCTAGCATAAAAGTGAGGTAAAAAAGTCCACCGTAGAGGTATAAAAGATCAATCTCAGACTCTTGTAGTTGTTGGTTACACCATTATCATGTGAGGTGAATTTGATGTCGTGTCGTGGAAAGCTGCGAGCAATTTCAAGTCCCTTGGACCGAACTCCCCCGCTTGGAAGCTTAGAATGCTGGTACCGGGTCCGAGGGTCAATTGAGAACAGTTCAGACTTGACATGTGTCTTTTGGAGATAACTTCTTCTTCATAATCATTAGTCAATCTCGTATGGTCAATGTGCTTGTATGTGGGAAATGCCCGAACGTACAGATGACCATTGACTGATCGGATATCTGATAAGCGAACTGCAGCACGGGAAGGGTTAAATGATGTTTGTTCTTGATCAATCTCATGTCTTGTAAGACTTGAAAGGAAGTTGAATGTGTGAAAGCGTGACAGCATGAAAATGTGAAGGGGTGAAGAGGAGAAGACGAAAAGACATGAATATATAGGTCCGAAGTTGGGGAAACTTTCAAGACATTCCCTATGAGAAGCGCAGTATACAGTCGTGAACTGGTGTCTCTATTATACGTTTGTACAACTTGCAAGACATTCTACATCAATCAGAACACATCAATTTCATTTTAGGCAATGTGCAATAATAGTATGGGTCAATGCATACTCCTTCACATTTTGTATGTGCCACCCGCTATAAAGTGAAGAGCATGGACACTATTCGTAAGCATTCTCACTGGATCTCAATGGGCCTGCCACCGATCGGCCAAGGTGGCTAGGAAACCGAAAGAACGGCGCACTGGAGGATGGACACCCTTAGAAGCATTGATGTGGAAGAAGGGACCACTGAAGACGGACTGTGCAGAGAAATGGGAGGAAAGAGTTACGCTCCCACCCTGGGAGAGACGCGTCTCGTGTCTCATTGAACCCTCGGAGGCTGCATTGGTAAACCTTGACTTTATCTCCAACAAAAGAGGACACAGGAAGGAAGTGAGACCTTCTCAATGACATACACCGACGGCAGCGGCTTCGAGAGCCACATTGGTGCAGCTACCGTCAACATCCATGACGGTGATACCATTATCTCCTACCGCAGACAACTCGGCACGGAGAGCCAGTCCCGAAGACGCTAGGCACTCACTAATGCTTGCTAACACCGTCGAGGGTGGAGAGAACCTCGATGAGCTATTCAAATACACGGCGCCTAACTAGGCACTAAACAACGATAATCAGCAATCGAGGCTAAAGTGAGGATGTCGGAGAACGGGGTTTGATCTTGCTACAGCAGGAATTGGCCGGGAGCTTAAAGCGGAGGTGTTTACATAGGATGTGAGAAGAGAGAGGACTTGGAGAAGTGGACGGTGCATCCAAGCGCTCATTTTTGTATTCAATGCATTGCTGGCATTGCATTTCTCATTTGTATTGCGGGTTTTATGGGACTTGACTTACATGTAATAGGCTGGTGCTTCCACTCTTTGAGAACCAGCCTCACTTTTATACTGGAGCATGATCAGGCGTACGGGACATGGGTTCTTGCTTCAAATAGAAAGAAGCGCCTACATAGCCATTACGATACTAGTTAGGCTTCAACAGGTTAGTAGAACTTTGATTGATTGATTAACATTATTCGTAATCTAGGTGGCAGTAAAATTGCCTCCTCGGGAAATGATCGATATTCCAGACTGACACCGCAGGGCTATCAAGGGAAACAAGCAGCCTCCTAAGAGGGTCGTTTCAACGAGATATTCCCAACAGACACCGTAGGACCATCAAGAGAATCCAACAACCTCCGAAGTGGGTGGTTTCGTCAAGATCATCAAAATAGATATCTTCGCGCTGAGGGGATGGTGGAAGAATTTATTCAGTCGACGCCTGGGCAACTCCTGCGATTCTTGCTGCTTCCTTTTCTCTCCATCTCTTGTCGCGCTGTCGCTTCTTTTTGCTGTCATGGTTTCTTTTGTGTTTCTTTGGCTCTGCAAGTCCCTTTGGAGCTGCGGACTGTTCTGGAACGGCAGACTGCTTTGGCACAGTGAGTTCCTCTCGCACAGCGAGCTCCTTTGGCACTGCCAGTTTCTTCGGCAATAGGTGTACACCTGGCACGGGATGTCCCTCTGGCATGGGATGTCCCTCTGGCATGGGATGTCCCTCTGGCATGGGATGTCCCTCTGGCATGGGGTGTCCCTCTGGCATGGGGTGTCCCTCTGACACGGGTGGTCCCTCTGACACGGGTGGTCCCTCTGACACGGGTGGTCCCTCTGACACGGGTGGTCCCTCTGACACGGGTGGTCCCTCTTGCATGGGATGTCCCTTTGGTGCGGGTGGTCCCTTTAGTCCGAGGTATCTTTCTGATGCTGGGTTTCCCACCTCCCGCATATCATGGAAGAAGGGTACCACATCTTGGTAAAGCGCATAATCCTCTGACAGTAGAGAATTGAGAAGGTCAGAGGGGATATCCATACCCTCTGGCGCATCAAAAAAACGCTCGCTCCATGGGTAACAAATGACATCACGGAGTTGAACATACAACCCGAGCCGCAGCAGCAGTACCGAAATGAGGATCAGGGCAGAAATAGGATTAAAACTGCAGAAATAGAACAACGTTGTAATCCGTTCCATGGAAGGAAGATGCTTGGGGCTGAGTAGGTGTGGGGTACCACTCTTTTGCTGCTTGTCATGAGAGGAAAACATGCCCTGTGCCCAGCGAAAGAATCGCGCCAGAGGAGATCTAGAAGAAGGCATCGGGGACGAGACGAGAGGTGGCAGTGGGAGTGGTTCTGCTTGGGTGGGGTGGAAGCCGGTTTTTGTGCCGGAGTCGAAATTCCAGACCTTTGTTGGATGCATGGTCATATCAGCGGGGAAGTTGTATTCGGAGGTTACTCCATTGACCAGTACGTCCAAGGTCATCAACTCCATGGTAAGCTGAAAGGAGCCGCAGAGCCTCTTTGTGAGTGAGTTTCCTGGCTCAGTAAGCCCCGGAATAGCGAACCACTGGCTCCAGAGAGCCGTGACTGCAAACATTCCCACGAATGGGATAAGCATCTTGAGGAGCGGCAGATGGTATTGTTGTTCTGTGTCCAAGACGCGTTAACAACCTGATCTGCTGCGTCACAAATCCCATAAATGTTATGGCAAAGGCGGGATCGGATGGTTAGGATTGCACATACTGAAAAGTAAAAACGAAAACGGGAAGGCGGTCGTGGACCGGGAGTAGAGATACAGCGCCAAGGGGGACGTTGGATGAGGTGGTGGGACTTGGGGAAAAGAGGAAAGAGAAATAGAAAGAAGGGGGGAGAAGAGATGATATGAAAAAGACAAACACCAAGAAGACAGGCCAGGAAGGAACGATCGACCAAAATAAGAAGGAACGTTCTATCGTCTTACGTTCTTGCTTCTCTTTCCTATAACACATCCTCTCGGATACCTTTCTCCTCTTGCTTTATCCCTAAGTCCTACATTTTATCCAGTGTCCCTTTCTGCGCTGTTCTTCGGCTCTGTCTACAACCCCTCTACTTATGTTTTGTCCCTCTTCAGTATGAGCAGCTTCAGCCATTCCTTCCCTCCGGTACGCTTGAAGCGTAATAGCCGCCCCTCGAAGCAAAGAGGAAACGTGCCGGAAGTACTAGGATGAAGCTCTCTGGCAACCGCAGTCCCTGCCCTCTCCCCCCTTCAGTACGTTCGAAGCGTGCGAAGCGCCCGTCGCAGGCAACGAGAAGATGTATGGAAAAGCAGAAAAAGAAGAAACAAGTGGTCCAGCCACTCACCGAGTTATGGGAGCCTTTCGTTCAGGCCGCTTATTTGCTTATTTGCGTCGCCTCTGGTCCCAGCATCACTTGTGGGTTTGGCTCTTGGCCCTCGCAATTTTTAGTACGCGCTGGCAGAGTTCTGGTACTTCTCGACACCCTTGGCCAAGCAATCAGACGTGAGATCTTCTTGGAGAGAACACCTACGCCGAATATTGGGGTATGTCGTGGTTGTGTCTTGTTTGGAGTTTCCATCTGCTAACTGTTAGGGCTTCCGCAGGACCCGTGACCTCCGTCGTCCCCGAGCCTTTCCTTCATCCAATCGGGTCAAAGAACCAGCATCGATGCATCTTTGATGGATCGACATATGGTGTGAGATACGTGATTTTTTTTTTTGAGATGATGATTGGTTTTCCCGGGTGTGGTACGGGTTCATTGTTGTTTATGCGGACAGCATCCTACAGTACTACAAATCGGGTATTGGGTACTCTTTGGTTCTATCTTTTTCTTGGGTCCTGTCGCATACACTGGGTCAATGACAGCAAGCCGTTACAATTCATATGCACAGATTTCTTTCACGTCTTGTTTTCATCTGTGAAACGAGCCAAATAACAATGCTCCAACGAAGGTATAAAATTCAAGTGTGAAGCACACAATGCATAAATGACAGACAGGCGCTACATGACAATGCACTTCCCCCTCCGCTTCCTCCCTCGCTCCTTGATTGTATGTTCATTCCAATCCTGGATACGACGTCTCCATTCCTCGTTCTCGGGTGGTGGTAAGCTAGTAGGCTCCGTTGAAACCCGCCTACGGAACGAGCGCTGTCTCTGGGGTATCTCATGCTCATCATCTGCTACTGTCTCCTGCATATCACCATGCGGTTGTGGAATGTGCAGGAGGTTTGGGGACGACACAGAGTATGGGAAGTAGGCATCGCCAAGCGCGGATGCTCCCAGGTATGGAAGGGGCATTGGGTTTTCTTGGATGGTCTGTTCCGCTGGATGCACGGCAAACGTCGGCGGGGATTGAACGGCTGGGTGGTTATGTGCCAGGGACGCTGCTGCATCAGGTTGTGGGGTAGGCCCTTGGGTTGATGGCGGGATATCGTTGACGGACTGTTCCCGGGGAGCTGTGATTGTGGGGCTCTCGGATTGCTGGCTAAAGTAGAGATCTTCTCTGCCAATGGAGCTACCCCTGCGTCGGGGCCCAGTTATAGTGCCCAGTCTTTGCAGAATGGCGGATTGTGGGCGTGGGCGAGTTGATACAGTTGGCCGTGCAATGCGAGTGGTTTGTGCTCGTCCAGGATGATTGGCAGAGTCGTTGAGAGCCTGGGCATCTACCATGTTTCTCGGAAGAAGGGTCCTGAGTAGATCGTCTGGCAACGGTACCTCTGTTTCCTGTTTGTATGGGGGAGGAGGCGGTACCCAGTTATCGGCGTCGCTTTCATGGGGAACTTGTCGTCGACTGGGAGAGTTCCGATATCGTGGATCATATCGCCCGCGGGTTGATGCAGCTGCCGTAGCAGCGCGGTGGAGAACATCGCTCGAACGAGGTTGCGTGTTGTCATATGGAAGATCAAGTACATCGCCTCGAGATGTGTCAGTCGGCGAGGTAGGACTTGCAACACTGAATCGACGGAAATGAAACGGCACTGCCCGACTTTCCTGGGCAGCTACTAATCGCCGATGACTAGCGGATGCGAATGTTGTATCAGTATCTCCACGATGTAATCGAGTTCGCCTTCTTTCAAGTTCAACCTCGGTGTCCATAGAGGAGTCTGGTTCCATGAGGATTTTGGGTGCTGTTTCTCCGACTTCAAGATCCAGCTCGATCGTCTCACCATTCGTTGTGCACCGTTCAAAATCCAGGAGGAGCACCCGACCACCGTCAACCGGAATATCCTCTTCGCCAAATATCTGCGGACGCACACCACCCGGAGCAACTGCGACAAGTCTACGGCGATGACGTCTTGTCTCTGACGTTGAATCAGTCGCTCGTACCCAGTGAGCAGATGTAACTCCTTTCATGTCGGCGACGCGGCGTCCACGAATCAATATCTTGGGTTGTTGGATAATCTTCTGAAGCTGTGCGAGGTTGTCACGAGGTGGGCGGCCTCCGCAGTGATGAATGCCACCAACCTGGGTACCAGTGAGCTCATTTTGAGTACCTGTAGTTGAAGGAGTAAGGTCCAAACGACCAGGTACCCCGTATATCCACAAAGCAGAGTCTTGGAATCCCAAAGCAATAAGTTCTCCTGCATCATCCGTGGCTGGCCCCATACTTGGTCGCATCTCTCTTGTTTCGTCTGCGAAAAATGGACTGGCAAAATATACAACGCCCGCGTTGACGTCGTTCAGCCTTAGGGCTTTGAATGCTGCCAATTGGCTATCATAGCCTATTACCCAGTTTTCATCTGCGTCCTCATGACCAGCAATGAGGCAAGCGTGAGTGCATGCGCGTGTGATCTCAGGGAAGAGAATTTGTGTTGTCCACATTCGCATATGAAGCTCCTCAGGCGAGGCATCCGTTCCAGTCTCGGTATAGAAAGGTGCAGTGATGGTGACAACACCATCTCGCTCGCAATCAGTCGAAGATCCAAGGAGCATTGACCCATCAGGGGAGAACGAAAGTCCATCGACACGAAGGCAACGCACTGCGCGGCGATCGGTCGGCTTAGCATCCTCTCCCACCGCATAAACCTCGATACTATCTTCAAAGGCTAATGCTAGAACGCTCCCTGTTGGTGAAAATGCGATGTCCCTCGGAGCATCGTTCAGCGTGATAACTTGAATGTGCTTAGCTTCATCATCAGAAAGCTGGTATATATGAACTCTATGCGTGGAGGACAAAACAGCAATGAGAGAGCCATCGTCCCGAACTGTGGCACCCAATGGCCTTCTCCGAGTCTGTAGCTCATGCTTAACGGTGACTGGATCAGATGCCACATCCAATATCACAATGCGAGAGGAGCTGATACATAGGACTATTTGACCATTTGCGGAAAATGAAAATCGAAAGACTTCTCCTTGGGGGAAAGCAGTAGAGGAACTCATAGAACTTGAAATTAGTCTCACGAGAGTCTGCCGAGGCCGTAAAAACACGTCGTACGCATTCTGTCTGATCTCCTTAATAAAGAGGCGTTTGAGATCAGCGAGGCTCTCTGTCTCAGCCGTGGAATTGGCGCCATGAGTCCAAGAAAATGATGGACAGCGCGATAGGTGATGTGCATATAGTTCTGGGGTATCGGATGCATGCTTCCATTTTTGGCTTAGAAGAGCCAAGGATGCAAATGTATTAGCATCAGCGGCAAACAGGATGCTATCAAGCGGGTTAGAACATGTAGCACATACCCAAGCTACATGCTGGCATATGGGACTCGGTCTCAGCAGGTGAGAACTTACCGTTCGATCACATTGGCTGGGAGCCGATCAAATAACGCGTGCGAGTCGGGCGGTGCACCAGAGTGTTGCAACTCAGGGGAGCCTTCGGGCAAGGAGGCCTCCATGGTCACCACTACCTACTAAATCGGCGCGTAGTGGGCATTGAGAAGTCGATACTGTCCGAAGTTTATGTGGCTGTGCCCCATGAGGCAATGCGGGACGCCAGCGTTACAGCAATGAATTGATGCCGATCTAGATAAAAATAGCCTTGTTGCCTGAGGCCAGTAATTGATTATGTCAGGTATTACATTAGCATAATGAGTCAGCACCCCACATGCCCCGTGCAGTTTAGCTTCGATAAGGAAAAGATGAGATTTCTCCGGATTTTGACGACTGGGGCTGATCATTGTGTTCCAAGATGTGCTGCGCATAGCCCTGACTCATCTCTGGCCACTTCCATAGCCATTGACACTTTCAAATCCAATACTCGCCTCCCTTCTATGGCGCATTCGGCCGTGTGCTCGTACCCCTCACCCAGCCCAACCGCTAATCGGCCGACTCCGAAAACACCCCGGACCAGATCTTTTGTCTCCAAACCGCCATCTTTTGTTGCACTGTACTACCTGCCGGCATATACGCTCTTTCACTTGGGCGCGCATCATGTCGCCAGCAACGGTTCAAGTCAATTCCTCCTCTAAACTCCCATCCCCCGGATTCAACGCCGGCGCTCGACCATATCGATCTCACAAGGTCCGCGCCTGTGACCTGTGTCGCAAGCGCAAATCGCGATGCACCGTTGATATCCCCGGTCAATCGTGCCTTCTGTGTCGCGTGCAGGGGGCCGACTGCCACTATCAAGAAGAAGCTAATGCGGATGTTTCCTTGTTGAATGCACCGGATACAAAACCGTGGCAAGGGCCTCAAGTTTCAGATGCTCTTCCGGGACAGAAGCGCAAGCGCAGTCCCGATGGACCAACGCACCCGACTCAGAATATCCCGGCCCGTCAACCAATCAACGGGCCCAGTCCTCATGGAACGACGTCGTCGGGTGGTCGCCGAGGAAGCGATTCGCGGCGCAAAGACTTGGATGATCCTCAGAATGAGTCTGTTCTTATTGTTGGACCTATGGTTGCAGAAGATGCACAAGTAATTGAGAAGCATATGCCCCCGGAGCGGGCCAGTCAATCGGAAGAACCCAAGAGTCACCCATACAACATCTACTCGAGCGACCCACGGAAGCCAGTTCTCTACACCACAATTTCACGGCGGAGGAAGGGCATGCGGGTCGGAACTCCTCCCGGCGAGAATCAAAAGGAAGTATTGGAACAAATCCTAGGACCGTTCAAACACGATCTAGTGAGACTGTATGTTCATGATGTCTACCCTGAATATACACTTAATGCTAACTTGATTTTCTTCGTGGTAGCTTCATTGACCGCTTCAATGTTTCATTCCCCATATTTGACGGTGAATCATTTTGGGAGTCCTACATTGCCGAAGATCTACACGACCCTCCCGCTGCGCTAGTATGCCAGGTCTATTCGATGTCCCTGGTATATTGGCAACATACCCCCAAACTAGCCTGCCACCCGAAACCTGATGTTCGGTATGCGGTGAACATGACCGTCGCCGCATTACATGAGGACTTCTCAGCCCCCGGCTTATCAACTATCAGCGCCGCGCTTATCGACCTGACAGGACGACCCATCTTCTCGATGACCGGAAACGCCGTCAGTTGTGGCCGGATGCTGTCTTTGGCAAACTGTCTTGGCTTGAATCGCGATCCTAGCAATTGGAAACTTTCCCAGGCAGAGAAGGACCAGAGGATTCGTCTTTGGTGGGGAGTAGTCATTCACGATCGTTGGTAAGTTTCTAAGGCACATCTCAATCCGTGTGCACGTATCTAACATCTTAAAGGGGAAGTTTTGGTCATGGTGTACCGCCTCAGATTTCCAAGAACCAATACGATGTGCCTTTACCGACTGTGGATGTTATAGTCCCATCACACGTCCGCTCCACAGAGCGCGTGAGAGCAGCGCATTGCCACATCTATCTTTGCCGATTGACGGAGACCTTGGGCGAGCTATTACCACTGGTCTATGGCTTGCAACATAAGCCAGCGCGCGAGACATCTAAGAAGCTGAGACAGATCCGGACAGATCTCGATATGTGGGAAGACTCATTGCCAACCTGGTTGAGAGGGCCAGCAGTGCATCCTGGGGAGCGTATCTACGGAGCAAGCAGTTTACAACTTGCTTTCTTGGCTGTCAAAATGCTTGTCAGCCGCGTTGAGCTGAATGTAAGCAAGACAACAAAATCCCCCTAAGAACTCATTTCTAACAAAGTAGCAGGAGGTCAACAATGCTGAAACAGATAACCCGGAGGCCCGCCGTTATTTCCAGACAGAATGCAGAAGGTCTGCAGAGGAAATTGTTGGGTTCATGACCTCACTGCGAACAGATAACTTCAAAGAGTTCTGGTTACCTTGTATGTTGCAACCCTGTCACAGTTCATTGCCTCCAGATTTCTAACAATTACTACAGACAGTGCCTTCCACCTCACATCGACAGCCACTTTATTGGTTCGCTGTGCATTCGAAACCACCGACAGCGAGGTTGCACGATCATGTCTCGCCAATGTCGAGACCCTGCGCACAGTCTTGCGTCGCGTACGGGAAGAAGAAGACTGGGATGTAGCAGACATGTGTCTCGACCACTGCGAACGCATCATGCACCGACTTCCCGGAACTGGCGCTACAATGGATCAAGCCTTCACGAACAGCATGGCAGATAATGGGCTGGTCAACCCAGCCGCAATTTCACTGCCAGAGACACAAACAAACAACGACATCGTCGACGATATGATGTCGATCTCTAATACCTTCGGAACAATGGATGGTTTCCCCTTCGATATGACAGGAATCTGGGATGTCTCCGTTTTCCAAGATGTGAATCTGACGTGATATTCGGGGCTGACATCAGATTGGGAAATTTGACACAACCATTGCACATGTACTTGTAGAGATTGTTTCTGGCTTGTTTTTATTTTATTTTATATCTATATATACCCTGGGACCCAGAGTGAGCCCAACCAGCAGAAGGAATGCAACATTATCAATCTCAGTCTTTTCTCATATTAAAACTTCTGACCAATATTTTGTACATCGTGCCAAGAAACAGACAGAATCGCTATTTTACAGTCGTTCCAAAAAAAAGTATGCTCAGAACGAACCCCATGAACCATCTAATGACCTGCTCCTTGCCCGTAAATAAGAAGTAAAAGGAAGAAGATACAGAAGAAGATGGAGAGTGGGAGATGATGGAAGCTAGATGCCTCACGTGGGAAGAGGTGGCTTGCGCCGATTACTGCTCCTTAGTGCCAGCACCGAACATGCCAGCGAAAGAGCCCTTCATGCTCTGCATCTGCTCCTGACGGGCCTTCTCCTCTTCAGCAGCCATCTCAGCCAGCCACTTCTCACCGTTCAAACGGATCTCAGCCTCGACCATCTCGTAGTTCTTCTGGCCACGCTCGCGGATCTGATCCCAGAGCATCTTGCCCTGAGCCAGACCCTCCGAGGGGGTCGTCTCGCCGTCCAGGGTGCGGGCGGACTTCAGGCCAAGTGCGGAGGCGAAGTTGCCCAGGCCGCGGTTAGGCTTCTTCTTCCGCTCTTCTGCGAGCTCCTTCTCGAAGCGCTCGCGCATCGCCTTCTCACGCTTGGCGAACTCTGCCGGGATGGCGCTGCCGTCAAATGACTTCAGCACGGTACGCACGTCCTCGACACCCATGCCGGCGAGGTACTCCAGGAAGGGGATCAGGGCGACCAGCTCCTTATCCTTCGGGTCACCGGTCCACTTGTCTAGGATGATGGCGTTCTCGGGTTGGTAGCGGGCGTGTTCCTCCTTTGTGTCGAGGAGAATCACCTTGGAAAGGTCACGGTTGAGGTAGGCAAGATCCTTGAAAGAGTCAGCACTGCATCTTACCTAGAGAGGCTATTCGGCTTACCTTGATATATTCTCCATCCTTGTAGCGGGTAGCCTCACGGAACAGAGGCCAGCGGATGATACGGTAAGGGTCTAGCTTGCGGAGGACCTGGTCGGCCATCATGCTGGGCACACTGGTGAAAAGGACGAGTTCGTAGTACTGGTTCAGGTAACGGAGGAAGTAGTCGACGCCAGGGCGCTTGGCAACGCGCCATCCATGCTCCCGGCTCCACTCGCTGTGAACCAGAAGATCCTCCAAACTGAGCACCAGGGTGTAGGGCTGACGCATCTCGGGGTCCTCATCCGGAAGAAGCTTGGGGAAAGCAGGGTCCTTGTAGTAGCTGGTGAGATCGCTCATACGAGCCTTGATACGGTTGTACCAGAGACCCAGGCCCCATCCTGATGGGGTTTCGGGGTGAACGCGCTCCTCTTCTTCCGTCTCCCAGTTGCGGCCCAGGTAGCCCATTCCTGCGACACCGGCAAGCAGCATCGCGGCGTACATTATGTTGGCCATGCGGGCCTTGCGGCGGTCGAGGGATGTCTCATAGCCGCCCTTGGGGATGTCACCACCACCTTTGCCTTCCTCGCTGTACTCTTCTGACTGGGTAGGGTCTTCTGTAAGGTTCAATGGGCCCTTCTTCATGCGACCTTCGAGTTCAGCAGCCAGGGTCGATGGGATACCTTGTGTGAGATCGGGGAGAGGCTTCTGGGATGTCTGTTCGGGTTCGGGCTAAAGGGACGATAGTCAGAGGGGTGTTCTTGACATGTGTTTGGATGCAATTGTCATCTCACAGTGCCGGATGATTCGGCGGCCTTGGGCTCAGCCTTTGTGTCGAACTCGGGCTGCTCGGCAGCAAACTCCTTAGGTTCCGGGGCCGGGGCCTGGGGTGTCTTCTTCGCTTTTGATGACTTCACCCGTTGCTGGATACCCGGGGAAAGCTTGTAGGCGGCATATGGAGAGGACCGCGCCGACAGGGCTGATGCCCGGACGGCAGATGCGAGAACGTTTGGCCTCGTCAGAGGCAGAACGGCGCGACTGAGCATTGTGGAGGTGGGAGACAACAAGTGTAGTAGGTGTAATCGAAGCAGTTTGCCGTTAAAAGTCGGCGCGATTCGGTACGGCAGCGGACACGACCCCCTTGCGCACTTTGCTTATATCGATCGCCGCCGCCTCGCGATTTCTCTTTTTCTTTTTCTCTATTAGAAAGTTCACCCAGACCTAATTTGACCTATCAAGCACATTCTCTCTGCATGCCGGGTTGAATGAGCTGGGGAGACAAACGAAGATATTCTTCTATCCCACTTACCAAGAGCGCAGCAAAGGTTTTCTCCAGTGAAGCTGCGCTCCGATTGTGGGACACAATCCTTTTGAACATTTTTGTCTTTTTTGTCATTTTTGCTCAACTTGCCTACCATAAAAGAATGGGATGAAATATGAACTCCAAATCTAGACCTGTCGCATAGAATATACGCATCCGCCATGGGGTTGAAGAAGAAGCAGCTCCAGTTCGAGGAGGAAATACTCTCAGATATCGAGGCTGAGCCAGATCTTCCTCCTCGTCTACGGTCATTTCCTCTGTTCGAGCTGCCCTCCGAGATCCGCCTACGCATCTACCATTTCGTCCTATTCACGCCAACTCGGAAGAGTGCATTACAGCGCACTGGCAACGTCGGAGCCTCCGCGAAGAAGAGCAAGCCATTGTCGCCATCCTCACAACGTGTTGCCCTATTTCTCGTCTCCCGGAAAGTTCACGATGAAGCCACACACTACTTCTACTCGACGCAGACGTTCCGAGTATTTCCAGTCCAGGATTTCTTGAAGATGCCCACACTCCGCGCCTTGCCTCGTCGCCACCGCCCTTCCATCACAACCATCGAGCTGATTGTGGGATCAAGCTGGACTGCGCCACCGCGGAGCTGGATCGTGAATCAGGGATTAGGGTTACACGACATGGAGCTTGCACGCACGCTCAAGGTGTTCGTGCAGTGTGACCCGTCCCACCCTGTGTTCGAGGGCTTCCGCATCTCCAAGGATTTCTATACAGACTTCTGCGGGCAACTTCTGCAGAAGATACTGGAACGGCTACCTGGTTTGGTCCAGGTTGAATTCGATGCGTGGCCCTCCGTGGAGAAGAATGGGCCTTTGATGGCGCGCTTGCTTGCGGAAACTCGGCATGCGCAGAAGAAGGTCCTCTGGGGCCCTGAGAGAGGATGGACGGATTACGATGATCATCATAAGAAACACGACAATAATGACGCAGATGCTGCCTTTGATGCACTCCGTACTCACCCTCCTGAGGCCATTGAGGGCTTGGCCAACTCTCTTCAAACTGTCACTTTGAAATCATGATAGTCTGATGAATTAGTGGGGATTGTCTACATCACATATTAGCTTACGACTCTTTTTATATACATTGCGTGGCGCGCATAGATTAAATAGAACGGCACAACTGACTATATTCCTTGGCTTAATGATGGAAGAATTACAGTAGTACAACATGACAGAAAGAAGTTCCACCTAGTATCAAAAACTATCTACTTGGAGCATTTAAGTGGATTTCGTTCATTGATGGTCTACATAGTGTGCTAGGTCATATGGCATGCAATTCGTACATATAAACCCATGCAGTTAGTCCTTCAAGGAAACCAAGATATCGTAATTAGAGCGTTTCTGTAGCATTGGTCCACTTTCTAATCCTTTAGAGATCTTCGTCCACTTCCATGACAGCACCGTTACTGTTGTCTTTGGACGATGATTGCCGGGCCACGGAAGCTTCCTTGTCAATCATCTGCCTCGAGACGGCGACAATGTTATCTTCGATCAACTGTTGACTCACGTCCTCGATGTCTAGAAAGCGTTAGTTATTTGGTCACAGTAGTTATGACACGGGGACTTACGCTTCTTGGGGTCGAGCTTGCCGACATATCTCGTCTTCAGCTGATCCTTACTCAGCTCGGTCTCTTCCTTGATGCGCTTCTCATAGCCCTCCGCAAGGAGAACAAGCTGCTTCATGCGCTCCACATTGTGCTGACCCTCCTCGTGGAAGTCACTCATGTCCAAGGCCTCGGTCCATACGTGCTTGTGGAGGTTCATCAACATGTTCTCCTCCAATCCTGTCTTGCGGTAATCGATCGCAATGCTGTAGTAGTGGCGGTTGAGACCGTGAATGAGAGCCTGAATCGAAGGCTTGTTGAGGTGACCCAAGTTGGATGTGGTCTGGCGGGGCTCCTGGCCCATGACCACGGTTTGAGGCTGGATGAGACGGAACGCATCAATGACGACCTTACCCTTCACTGACTGGATGGGATCGACGACAACGGCAACGGCACGAGGTGTGAGCTGTTCGAAGGATTGCTGAGTGTTGATATCGACCGAGGAGAGCCAGCAGCCGAAACCAGGATGCGAGTGGTACCAGCCAACAACAGTTTCTGGCCTGTGCAGGTATTAAATTAGCGCCGTATAATCCAATGATTGGTGTTGATAACTTACCGTCCCGTTTGCCGGAGCATCTCCATCATCTTGGTCTGGAACACAGGGTCCACGGCCTCAACACTGACACCAGTACCGCTCTGGGGCATGGCAAAAACATCCACAACCCGAACTGTGTACTCATCTACGAACTCGCCTAGCATCAGACCCATGACTTCCATTGGAACACCTGCGCGGCCGTGTCGTAGCATCTTGAGCAGAGCCAGGGAAGAGATGTGGACAGTTTCGGAGTTATCAATCAGGTTCGGTGTGTCCTAGAATAAAACCATTAGTACCGCGTGATTTAAGTGCATTGAGGGTAAAGCTGATTCTGCGCCAATGATGCGGCCCAACAAGGAGCTTCAATAGATAGACACTTAGCGAGATCGGGGTAATCGTCTGACTTACACCACCCGGGGCACCACCACCCATGCCCATGCCCTGGGCAGCCTGGAGCATCCGGTTAAGCCGATCCATGATTTCTAGGTAAGTCCGGACAAGACTTGATGAAACGAGAGGACAAGAGGTAGCTTCCTAGTTGGAAGCTCCGGGGCGGTCGAGTTTCTTCGGCGACTTGAACTGGTAAAAGACTCTTTGGGGGGCGACTCTAAAATAGAGCTAGTGAAGACTAGACGGATGTTGCAATATTCACCAGAAGCCAGAAGATAGAAAAGTGTCGGAGACGTGTCGATGATGAGCAAGCAGTGGTAGCTTTGCCTGACGAAGGCGGTGAGGGGTTCTCTCGGCTTTGGCTCCTTCCCACGCCGTGATTCTCTCTGTCTCTCCCCATCACTTGCCGCGTTCGACTATGACAGAATTGGCTTACCTTTGTGTTTAGTCCTGCTGTCTACTATTCACCTTGTTCCGGTGACTGGGTGCCGTTTTGCAATCTGCTCTCTTGGGAGTATCTCCGCATTGCGCCTTCAATTCTTCTAACCGCATACTTCCTACTTTCGTACCCCATTCTCCAAATCCTGCATTTCTCGAAACCCGCCTCTCAACTCTCTGATTATTTCTCGGTCATCTTGCGACATGGCTGCGGAACCTATCTCCAATGGCCTCCTCGGGTCCAAGAACAAGAAGGTCGCCTACTTCTACGACTCTGATGTGGGCAACTATGCCTACGTTTCGGGCCACCCCATGAAGCCCCATCGCATTCGTATGACACACAGCCTGGTTATGAACTATGGTCTCTACAAGAAGATGGAGATCTACGTGAGTCTTACCTTTTATTCTACTTAAAGTCCTATCCTTGCTAACGCGCAAATATCTCAGCGCGCCAAACCTGCGTCAAAGTATGAAATGACCCAATTCCACACCGACGAGTACATCGATTTCCTCTCCAAGGTTACGCCAGACAACATGGATCAATTTTCAAAAGAACAAAGCCGGTACAACGTGGGTGACGATTGCCCCGTCTTCGACGGTCTGTTTGAGTTCTGCGGAATTAGCGCTGGAGGCAGTATGGAAGGTGCTGCACGACTGAACCGCAACAAGTGCGATGTTGCTGTTAACTGGGCTGGTGGTCTGCACCACGCCAAGAAGAGTGAAGCAAGTGGCTTCTGTTACGTCAATGGTAAGATGTTTGAAGTTAATATGCCTTTGTGTTTGGACTAACACCCGGCAGATATTGTTCTCGGAATTCTTGAGCTGCTGCGTTTCAAGCAGCGTGTTCTTTATGTCGATATTGATGTTCACCACGGCGATGGCGTCGAAGAGGCCTTCTACACGACTGATCGTGTCATGACGGTTTCTTTCCACAAGTACGGCGAGTACTTCCCGGGTACCGGTGAGCTCCGCGATATCGGTGTCGGCCAGGGCAAGCATTATGCAGTCAACTTCCCTCTTCGCGATGGTATCAATGACACCTCGTACAAGAGCATCTTTGAGCCTGTCATTAAGAGTGTTATGGAGTGGTACCGCCCGGAGGCAGTGGTGCTGCAGTGCGGTGGTGACAGTCTCTCCGGTGATCGTCTGGGCTGCTTCAACCTGAGTATGCGTGGACATGCCAACTGTGTTAACTTCATCAAGAGCTTTGATCTACCAACCTTGATTCTTGGCGGCGGTGGATACACCATGCGTAACGTGGCACGAACATGGGCTTATGAGACAGGTATTCTGGTTGGAGAAGGTCTTGAATCGGAGCTACCCTACAACGATTATTACGAGGTAAGAGAAATTTTCCTGTTGTGGACGAGTTGATGCTAACCAAGCTTAGTACTTTGCACCTGATTATGAGCTTGATGTCCGGCCCTCCAATATGGACAATGCGAACACCAAAGAATATCTCGATAAGATTCGCAATCAGGTCGTTGAAAATCTCAAGCGCACGGCATTTGCTCCTTCAGTTCAGATGACAGATGTGCCACGGAACCCGATCTTGGACGGTATGGACGACGAGGCCGATGACGTTATGGATGACCTTGATGAAGATGAGAACAAAGACAAGCGGTATACGCAACGACGTTTTGATCAATACACCGAGAAGGCTGGTGAGCTGAGCGACAGCGAGGACGAAGAGGAGAACGCTGCCAACGGCGTTCGTCGTCAGCCAGGTGCCATTCGCCGCCGCAACCAAGTCAACTACCGTAACCTTGAGCCGGACTCCGGACTAGACAGTGGCATGGCCACCCCTCAAGACGCCTCGTCTGCAGCCGAAGGTGAAATGGATTCCACGCTTGATGCGCAGATGGCTGATGTTCCCCGAACGGAGCCCGAGGCGACTTCCACTGCCCCTCAAGCAGAGGATACTCCTGCGACTGATGCTGATCGTATGATGTTAGAGACTGAGGAACAAGGAGCCTCAACTACATCCCAGCTCCAGTCCCCTGCGCTTAATGACGAAGATACAATGATGGAAGATGCTGTCGCCGGACCTACTGCCTCAGAGCAGGCACCAGTTGAGGGTGATGGTAAGAAGACCGAGGAAACTTCTCCCGCTCAGGGCTCCGCTCCTTCCCCTACCCGAATTCAATCTCCTCCAAGGCATGCTGCCGAGCCTACCAGTGAGAAGGCCGAGGCGCCCTCAGCAGAGGCTTCTGCGCCCGCTGCGGACACCAACGCTACCAAGGAGGAGAAACCAGCATCTACCGAAGATCTCAAGAAAGAGGAGTAATAAGCTGTGATACAAGATGACAATATCGGATCTGGCGCAACGGACAATGGCAGAAGGTGTTATCGGTTTACAGCGTACTCGCATCTTGCTTGACACTGGGGGCATCATCACTCGTGGCGGAATGGCAATCGGGTTGAATTGGATTGAGAATCTCACATCACACGTCTTCATGGAAAGTGTTGACTTTGTTTAGCAGGCTGCTTCTACAAGGGCTGCTCAACTTTGAGAAGGAATTGTTTTATCTTGATCGTTCCCCGTGTCTGTTTTTTATTTTATTTTCCCCTGGCTTTTATGATTGCAATATGACGAGTGAAATATTCCCAAACAGTCGCCATGCTCATAGTAGAGTACAGTAGCTCTAAGTTACAAAGGGGATAAAGATGTCATTGGTGCCTGAGGCCGAAAGACGGTGGTTTCCGCTAGCCCAAATGGGGTTAGCATTAGGGCACGGCTATGGAGCCATCCCACCAATAAAACAGCAGCGCCAAGATTTTACGCACTTTGCCCACTAAGCGAGAAAGCACACCTCCAGTTTGGAACCTCGTCGTCCGGAACTCTCGACCTCTTGTCGCCAACCCTTTTCACCCAACTTCGTCCCCGTGATACCTAGCCATCATGTCTAAGAGAGGGTGAGTTTACCAGCAACTTCATTCCTTGATCCATTCGATTCCGAACGACACAAGCCTGCGGGGAAGATCGAAAATTTGTTGAGCATCCACCTTGTGTCGAGAGGATAGAATGGCGCCAGGATTGGAAACGAACACGGCAGAAAAGAACGGTCTTGCTAACGGTTGAATAGTCGTGGCGGTGCCGCCGGCAACAAGCTGAAGATGACTCTCGGTCTGCCCTGGTACGTCTTCAAATTTCTTATCGTCTAGTGTATCTCGCATGCGCTTCCATGTCCGCCGGATCCCACAGTCGTCTCGTCGATCAATATGTCTCGAATACAACCAGCATCGACAGAAACCAGAGACCGGCGGACATCGAGGAAACCAAAAAAAATGGAACTCTATCCCACAGTTTCCATTCAGCATGGGGAACACGGCACAACAATAATGGAAGAGAAACAGAACACTAACGGATCCCTTTTCGTCGAATAGTGGCGCCGTGATGAACTGCTGCGACAACTCCGGTGCTCGCAACTTGTACATCATCTCCGTCAAGGGTATCGGTGCCCGCCTGAACCGTCTCCCCGCCGCCGGTGTTGGTGACATGGTCATGGCCACCGTCAAGAAGGGAAAGCCCGAGCTCCGTAAGAAGGTTATGCCCGCTGTCGTTGTCCGCCAGAGCAAGCCCTGGCGCCGCCCCGACGGTATCTACCTGTACTTCGAGGACAACGCAGGTGTTATCGTCAACGCCAAGGGTGAGATGAAGGGTTCCGCCATCACCGGTCCCGTCGGAAAGGAGGCTGCTGAGCTTTGGCCCGTACGTTCACACCCATTTATCTGCTGCTTGGAACTGGATCTTATTTATATCCGTTACCTTGTCATGCACCATTCCTTTCCATCAGACCATCAAGCTAACCTATCTCACAGCGTATTGCCTCCAACTCCGGTGTCGTCATGTAAAGAGAGCAAAAGCCGAATTTTAAAGAAAAAGAACGATACCAAACCTCAAATCTGTTCGGGACCTGGAACGCGGTGCATATGAGACCATAGGATTAAAATGGGATAGTGGACTGGTGGTGTCCATTTTGACGACGAAATCCAACTGTGTTTATTTTCAAGCCGGTTTTATTCCTTCCATCTTCGTGTTTTCTCCCTCCCCCTCTCTCCCTTTACTGGCGACCTCGGAAGTATTACTTTTGAAAAAATCATATCACTTTTTCAATTGCCTAGTCTTCCTTTGCGCATCTTTATCTTTATTCGAGAGACGTCGGCTGCTTGACAATCTTGGCTTAGAGAGAGACCGGCTTGTTGCTTGGTTTTTTTGGTCCTTTGTGTGTGGTTGTTTTCGTTGTTCTTGGGATCGAGCAGATTTATGAACTCTGATATGACTACCAAAATGGCGATGTACATGTCCTGTCGTAGATTGTAGATATGGACGTATTGTAGTTTGCACTTGGCTTGCCATGACCTGGTCTGTCAACATTTACTATGTGTGACTTGCCCTAACTTATATTACACAGGTTTTGCAAATACATGTTGGACAAGCCTAGATGCAACACGATATATATCCACGATGAAGTATATTTTGTTCCATGGGTCTAATAGTGATATTGATACAGTAAACCAAAACATATCTACAAGCTCACCAACCAACTATTTCTTCTGTCCACCTGTTTTCGACTCTTCCAACTGTACATTTGAAGACTCCTGCGGACGTAGCTTCTGCTCCTTCCTGTCAGATTGCGAACGAGCATCTATTCTCGCTCCATCATTACCAGATGCAACAAATCCAAGTAGGAACCAAACCAGCGTGACACCAAGCGTCACAAGCACAAGAACATGGACAGCCCACCAAATATGCTGTACCCCGGCAGGACACATAGTGATCTCGTAGCTCCACTCGCCAACAGCCTGATCATACCACGCCGAGAGAAGACCGGCATTACCGCCAAATTCACCCATCATCGAGCGAAGAGTCACCTCCCGAATAGAAGGACTGTTGATCTGCTGGTTCTCCTCGAAGCGTTTGGCATCCCACTTCCAAACCCGAGAAGGACTCTTGGTTCTCTGATCCTCCTCTTTCTTCTCTTGGTCATCACCTACTTCCTTAGAAGTACGATTGACATAATGAACAGCATCACAGCCAGTGTGATCATGTCCTGTAAGAATAAGCCCATTCCGACCTTGTCCACCGACAGGTGCACGATCATCGCCACTCATTCCAAAGATTCCCTGCAGGATACCGCCAGCGCTGAGTGTATCACTGATATGGTTCTGCTCCTTGAGGCCGCTTTCACGCCAGCGGGGGACACCATCCGGGCCGTCATCATCTTCAGACTCGTGGAACGAGAAGTAAGGACCGTCAGTGCAGATGCCATCTGGTTTATGGAGAGGCAAATGCGTCAGAAGGAGTGTAAACGCTGAGCGGTCCTCAACTGGCGCAAGCCGGTGGGCAATCAGCTCGTTCAGATAAGCGTAAGTCCGGTCTTGAACAACTGAAGAGAGCGCGGGAGTATCGAACATGAGAGAATTGAGGTTGATCAGATGCAGAGTAGGCGTAACAACCGATTCCCGCGCAGAAGAGGAGGAACCCTCTCCAGCGGAGACTGATACATTCACAGGAAAATGTTCAAAACGGACATCCCAATTCGCACGACCAAACACACGCTCGAAACGTTCCATGCGCGCCTCGTCGATATCACCCGCATAGCCAATATCATGATTACCAGCAATGTTAATAATCCGCCTCGCCCAAGCCGGGTCCGCATCCACACCTAGCAATTCTACCGGCGGCGCAGCTTTATCCTTACTACCCGCACCAACAGCACCAGTCCGCGTGAGGTTATCGTCCACGCGCTCTCCGCCATGGAACACACGATTCCAATACCGGTATCCGCGCCAAGCGAACTCCTCATTCGAAATCCATTGGCTGCCCACCAGATCGCCGAGGACTGTTGTGTGTGTTGGGCGCGTCCACCAGAATAGCGTGCGGTAGATGTGCGCAAGGTAGAAGTCGTTCCCGAAGAGGTCGAGGCGTTTCAGGGCGGATTTGAAGGCGCGTGGGATATCTTCTGTTGCTAGTTCGTGCAGGCTGGTTGTTATGTTTGAAAGGACGGTTTCGTTTAGGAGGGCTTGTGCAAATGGGGTTTTGGGGGTGGTTGTGGTTGCATTGCTGATTGCTTCTTGGACGGCGCGCCAGTGGGTTTGTATGCGTGGGTATAGTTCATATTCTGGGAATGGGAGGGAGGTGTCGCCTTCTAACTGGGGGTCTGCGAGGACTAGGAGTCTGAAGATTGCCGGTTCGGTGGTTGGGTCCGGGGTTGAGGGTGAGATGCCGAGGTGTTGGAGGAAGGTGTTTAGAACGGCATTTTGGTGGAATTGTCTTATTGATGACTTTGGTTCCGATTCGGAGGCGTGAGATCTTGGTAAAGGAAAGGCGCAGCCGTTGAAGACTGGGTAGAAATAGAGGTAAACAGTGGCGGTGACTGTGAGTGGGAGGAGAATCGCAAGTGTGCGCGACAGCAGCCACCGGAGGGACATGGGGAGTTTTATTAAAATGACAGTAAAGGATAATAATGTTATAAAGACATATACAGCATTGTGGACAATGGACAGGGGGTTGGAGAGGAAAGGAGAAGGTAACAAATTGAAGTGACATGGCTGATCGATAACGATAACGCGACACTATAAAACAATGCAAGGGCCGAAGATCTTCAAAAGATATTTCAGAGCAGCATTGAGGGATTCAATATTTGATAATATCGCATTCTCTAGAAAATACCTGAAACATGCGTGATCAACATCCTTATATCTCCCAGTATACTTCTCAGCCCGGCGGCGCAAAATCACCTAGAAAGAGACTATAGGACCGAAAATGATACTATTAGGGTAATATATCTACAAAATACGTAATTAGGGCAAGGGAGACGCTCATTACCAAGCCAGCACAAACTCAACTTCGTATCCATAAGCAAATCAATCGTATAATCGCACATCCCTCGTGGCCAAAGTACCCGCAAGGGAAAGTGACCCGAGTCAAAGAAGAGGAAGAAGTCTGAGCGAGGGGTATATCACATCGAACGCCAGCAAAAGGGAAACGTAAAGCGAGAAATGACAAAGCAGAGCATCAAGGGGGTAGGATAGGTTAGGTAAATAGCAAGAAATAGCTGTCAAATGACATAAATGCAAGAAAGATCACAAAGAAAATAGAATCGAGTAGAAACGTATTCACTTGGATTCCGCCTTGGTCAGGGGATCGGGGAGCAAGGGAGAACCTAGGTCTCCAAGGCGATCCAGTGTGGGTTTATCAGTGCCGTTCTGATCAGGCTCGTCCAGGCTGACCTTGGCGTCTTCGAACGAGTTAGCAGGGGAGGACTGGGCGTTGGACAGGTTGAGGCCATCGATCTGTAGGCCAGTCTCTTCCTCTTCCTCGTCGATTGTTTGCTCTGCTTTGGCTTTAGAGGAAGCGGACATCAGCTCTGGCGGCCGCTGGTTCATGGCTTGGGCTTGTTTCAGACTGATGGTCTTTTGCTTGTTGGTGCTTTCCACGGCCTGGCCCAGATCACGCTCGATGGTTGCTTTCATCAGGGCAGCCATCCACAGGCGACCTTGCTGGACATTGTCGACTTGGAAATAGTGGGTGGCGGGCTTCGTGAACTGCACGGTGCGCGAGTTGTTTGTCTTGGGGGGCACGAGTTTAAAGAAGAAGGGTCCACTGCCGTCCTTGTTGGTGAGGGACTGAATTACCGAGGGGGAGATGAGCTTCGTGCCATTGGTGCCGTCTTCAGCGGTGTTGCTGGCATTGGCGTTGGCAGGCATTGCGGTTGAGCCGGTGATAGTCGCATGCAGGGCAATTATAGGGTCTTGGTCCGCTCGGAGGACGCGGTGGGCGGTGATGTCAATCAAGCCTCTTTCCTCGGTATCGTCCTCGGAATAATAGTAGGACAAGCGACGACCACGGAGGACAAACAGACGGGGCTTCCAAGTCGTCATCAAGTTGGAAGATCGCTTCTTCATCCATCCACTATATTCGCAGCCATCCATCTGCTCCTCTGGGGTCTTCTTCTCAAGACCGCGAGTATAGGCGCTGGTTTCTTTCTTGGACTTGACGGTCCGAGGGCGAATTTGGAATCCGTTGGGGTCAGTCACCTTGCCAGACCCATCTGTGCTATGCCGTTCCGAGCTCTTCGACGTCGCCGATGGAGTCGTGGATCCGGTGCGCGCGGAAGTGGGGTCGTATTCGCGCGGCGAAACAGGCGCAGAGGTGTCAATTTTCTTTCCAACAACATCGGAGATAGCACGAAGGCCCATTGCCCGCCGGAACTTGGGGCCGGCATTCTTCAATGGTTGGAACTGAGATGTAGAGGAGCGAGCACTACCGTCGGAATCAGTCTTGCTCCGAGGGGCAAAGTTGGCGAAGAATCCGCCTGTCTTGCTTTCAGTAGCTGGAGACTGGGAGCTAGTTCCACTTCCCGAGACACGAGTGCTCAAGCTTCGCAGTCGACTCTTCGGTGGCGTGCCATGGTAAGCCTGAGCAGCAGGGGAAACATGCTTTGCTGCGTCGCGGATTGAATCAGCACTGCCAACACGAGAGTGGCGCTTTCCGGCGGTTTTGACCCGATACGGTTCGTCAGCATAGCTCGACTTTCGTGAATGGCTCACGCTGCCATTGGTAGAACTGCGTTTTTGTAGAACGCGACGATTCCGGCGGCTGTCAACTTCGGTCCCCGAGAAGTAACCCCGATCAAAGTCATCAATCTGATCAGGGGTGGTGGTGTAAGAATTGGTGTACGAGCCCGAGTCGGTAGTCAGTGGTCCTCGAAAGCCTGAAGTACCCAAGGATGTTCCTGGACGAGCGGGCATTGTCTGCGAACCGGAATTGAGAGTCCAAGCACGGTCAAACGAGGGCTTCTTTTGATGATGACCACTGAAACCATCGGGCATGCCACGATGGGTGGCGTCGATGGACGAATGACGACGCGTATGATTAAGGTCACGAATTGACGCAGCAGAAATTCTCCTCGGGGAGTCATGGCTGTATGGAGGAGTCATAGGCGAGCTATTATTGCTCGCCAGTCGTGGGTGCTGTGTCGGAGCAGAGGCCCGGGGATGTTGATACCCTGAGCCGTGCTTTTCTGACAGCGTTGGAATCCGGGGGAGAAGTGGGCCAGTGTGTCCCGCGCGAGACAACGTGCGCTCCTCCGGAGGGCCCGAGATGCTCGAGACGGAGCCTCTTTGGCTATGCTGTTGACCAAAGCCCTTAATATCCTCTTGGAAGGCTTTGATCTTGTGCCATGTTTTCAGGCGTTTGCCCATGACACCAAACTCGAATTCCTTCATAAAAATGAAATCCTGATCCATGTCAAGAAGAACATCTCCGGTGATTTCCTGCTCTTCAAAGATATCACAGTGGTTGGAATCAATACCGAGCGCACGCAAGTGTCTGGCAGTCTCCGCTTGACTCCATTTCCGCACTTGCTGCTCACTGGGAAGGTTCCTCTCTTCATCATCAGTCTCCTGTCCATTGATATAAGAAGCCCGATGATCAAGATGGCTGCTATACTCGCTTCCTGAATCATTGATGGGTTTGTGGTCTTGAGTCGACACACTATGGCGCGGGGTGTTCATATCCGTAATGTGTTCATCGATGACGCTCAACGTCTCATTCATCACTGGGCTTTCTTCCCCATTCACGTGATTGCCGATAGGGCTGCGGAACGCTTGTTGGATGTCGGCTGCCAGGCTGGGCCGAGGCAGCGGAGATGACGCGGATCGTTGTTGGGTGGGAGAATCAAGTTGCGGCGATTGCATATCGGCGGTGCTCACATGTCGTGAGGCTTGAGGAGTGGACTGCCCACTCCCCATTGAGGCGAATGATGAATCTGTCGCGCTCGCAAATTCCAATTGCGCCGGTGATTCTAAAAGCACGGGCGATTCGGCCAGGCTCTTTCTAGTAGTGCACGCTTTGGTGAAGTCTTTCGCGCATGTTAGCTTTCGCTTCTCCACGATTCACGCTCAATTATGCACATACTGGCTGGAAAAAGACCTGTTTTCCCCGTGCTCAGATTTTTGCCCAGGTACCACGCATCGCCAAACTCGTCGTCCAACTCCACCAATTCAATCCGATCACGCGGTGCCATGACCAGTTCATCTTCTCCCCGTCCATTGAAGCCATCTATATCCGAGAGTTAGCGCGCCCCTCTGAGGCAAGCGAGAGACTGGGCGCGTGCGCGCCGTCGTCGCACAAGCGTCACTTACGAATGACTTCCAGCATATCACCGGGGCTCAGGCCCCGGGGTGGTCCCATAGTAACCATTTCTTGATGGTTGTCGATTCTCCGATCGCGCAAGTGAGCTCGGAAGATAAGGCGAGGCGAGATTAAGATCGAATGTCGCAAAACGGGCGCGAGCGCCCTCGCGGGAAAACAGATGAGATACCGAGAACAGACGTGGAATCTTAGAGCAATGTGGGAAAGGGGAGAGAATGTTGAGGTCGAGGAATCTAACGCATTCGGGGATTAGGTTATTAAACGCTGGCGGGGCTCGGGGGGCACGAACCTCGATGCTTGCTCGACGCTCGCTCGATGCCGATGCTCGAGGCCTTGGATCTATCAGACCAAAATAATCTAAGAATTCAATCCAATGGAAAGGGGACACAAACAGAAGTATGAAAAGGAGAGAAAAAGAAGAGGCGAAAATGAAGTGACGTGTGCGGTCGTCAAAGAGTCTGGACGCTTAAATTCATCCACGGCTGAAGGTGGCACAAGTAAGATACGAGTTAAGTCGTTGTCTACCCTGTAATTGAAGTAGTTAACGTTAGTTTAATTAATAGTTACAGTATACAGTTTTAAGGTACAAGTAAGATTGCCACTTCATTGTATATGCATCGGCTTAGTTGTCTGTTCTCGTCACGATGAATCCGGCCATTCCCTCCCTCATAACTGCATGAAGTACTAAGTAAAGTACTAATGCTACTATCTGCCCAAATTACTTGCAAATGTGCGACAAACAAATAACTTACCAAGTTCGCAGTTAAGTTACGAGTCACTACTTTCTTAATCAACAATGAACTTAGTAACGCCCTTGGATCCCATCCAAGGTTAGTTCACAAGTACCAGGGTAGCTGCGTCTTAACGGTAATTTCGTAATCTTTGTTCCTCTTCCGCTTCACACACTGCAAGGATATATCACCGGCGCTTAAGTCTTTGTTGCCGGAGCAAACAACGGTCCTGTATAAGAGATCTCCCCTCCTACAAATATCCAACGATGGTAAATCATGTCGCCAAAAACTCACCGAGCGCACGCTCCTCGTGCTGACAACATCGGACAATCCAACACGACCGCGAGTTTGTTCTTGGGGGGCGTGCGGAGGAATTGGATGGGCCCGGAGGGCTCGGGTCAGATACGCGCGCGACAACCTTCCAACGTTGGTTTCCCTACAGGCTCTCAGCCTCCACGTGCCGAGCCCTTGATGTCCCCTGCTACGGGTGACACCCTGCCTTTCCCCCATTCCTCCGGATTCACGGCTGTCAACGCAAAGAAACCCGATCCACCACGAGTGACAGCTTTCCCTTCGCCGGTGCCAAGTACAAATTCTCACCCCAGCCCAGTCGGCTCCGATGCGATCGTACATCCCCCCACTGGACAACAGACACAGCGTGGAAATGAGGAACACATGGCAGCGACCCTGCCTCCGGTAGGAATCTCCCGGCCTCAATCTAGAACTCAGAATCCGGTGGTGGGAGCCCAGCGTGCTGCAAACCCGCATGGCACACCGACGACGGGACCAGGTTCTGATGGACAGCGTGGGAGTGCGCAACGCACGCCCTCAACCCTACTCTCGGACGGATACTTCCCGCCCAGATCTCAGAGTCCTTTGGTGGAAGCTCAGCGGGATATAAACCCGCATGGTACACAAACTACGGGGTCCGGTGCTAACAGGCAGCGTGGAAATGAGGAGCAAGATATCTCGGCCCTACCTCCGAACGGATCTGCCCAAGACCAGTCCACAACCCAGAGTCCTTTGGTGGGAGCCCAGCGTGATACAAATCCCCAAGCCACACAGCAACCATCAGGGCCATCTCCCGGCGGGCAACCGCAAGATGCTGGACCATCCCCTGTAAACCCCGTTCCAGACGACGGACAGTGGGGATTCTGGTCGACACAATTGGACACTCTGGTATCTGAGTTGAACCAGAAAAAAGTGCTCACTGCGGACGTAGGTCTACCTCGAGTTGATCTACTGCGCCAAGCTATCCAAAAGAAAGACACTTTTTATCTGGCGGTGCATCAGTTGTTCTGCCGATCTAGCATTGATCCGACGACCCTAGATTTTCTTGGAGCACCTGAGGCAGGAATTCGCATGCTCGCACGTCTTCTAGAAGACAATGAAAAGATGGATTATGCAGTGACCTTCGGGTTTTCCCATTTCCCGGCGTCTCCTCAGACCTTGATCTCACAGCCGTGGTACTACAAGGCAGTCGCTAAGGTTCCACTATTCTTAAAGCGTCTAGCAGGTGAATGGGAGAGTATATATACCCAGGCCCTTCGTCCACCCCTGTTGGATGAGCTCCGGACAAAGTTCACAGTCGACTCCCCGGTCTTGATGGCGGTGATGTTCATGTGTATTTCGCGGGGACTCTATGAAGAGCAATATATCAAAAAGCTCTTGCAGTTGTTCTGGGATGACTGGGCATCATACACGGGGCTTCTAGACGGTCGGGTTACCGAGACGAGCAGGCGGACCCTCCGTCAACACTTGACTCGGGAGTATCTCAAGTTTCCCAAACTCCATGCACCGTCTCAGTCACCCCAGGTAGCCCAGGTAGCCCAGTCTCAGTCACCCCAGGTAGCTCAGTCGCCTCAGGTAGTTCAGTCACCTCGGGTAGTCCAGTCACCTCAGGTAGTCCAGTCGCCTCAGGTAGCTCAATCGCCTCAGATAGCTCGTTCACCACAGGTGACACAGGCAACGCAGGTTTATTACCCTAATCCCCCACACCCTAGACTTCTGGGTCAGACAATGCCACAAACTGTGCCGGTCTCATCACCCTACGTTGGATATCCGGCCTCTAGCCAACCACCGGCGAGCTCAGCTGGTGCGGCTGAGTACTATCATTCTGCCTCAAATTCCTCCCAAGTGCAGTCTAATCCATCGACTGGTTACTTGTATCCGCAAGGGTGGCAGCCCCAGCTTCATGAAATACAGATGCAGGCAGCGCGTCGTGGACAACTGCACCCATCTCAAATGCCTCATGCAATGACACAGGGAATGGGAGCTTTTGCACAAACCCCAGTCCAGATACCTCGAGCTCCCGTCCCTTCGACACACCCCTCGCCTCTTTCTTTCAGTGCTGCACCCTCACAACCATTCAGATCTTCCATCACTATCAATTCTGCCCACCCTCAGATTGCATCGCAACCCCACCGTCAAAAACACAGACAACTTCCCTTGCCGTCTGCACCTATCACACCAGCTCAGTCGCTTCAACGGGATCCTTCGATCTCTTACTTTCTCCCAGCACCTGATTATAGAGCGCCGATGACGGTTAATCCAAATCCAATGCGGCTCGGCTTACATCAGGCGGATCTTCGCGATCCCATCAAAAAGCTGCTGATCAAGGGAACAGATGGACAGGATATCGAAACTAACTTGTCTTGCTACCTTGCCGGTTTCGCTATACCGCCGACCATCATTAGTCCTCAGATGCCGATGTACGAGTGGAAATTCTACTTTAAGGACTCGTTCTGCCAAACATTTCCACACATGGCTCCACAAAACCCAGGGCAACGTCCCGTTTGGACCTACAGGCCTGGTTGTAACACTCTTCGGTTGCGGTCCATCCGCCTTCCTGGCAACCCCACCTCCGCTGCAGAGCAATGGCCTAACGAAAGCACTTATTGGCCCAGCGTTCTCTACATTCACGTCAACGACCAAGAAATGTTCGTACGTCGAAAAGTCCACAACGGAAAAGATCTGCCCCTAGATATCACGGCGAACATTCGCCCAGGCCGAAACACCGTCAAGATCACCCTGCTTCTGGGACAAGACGAGTGCAAGAGTTCAAGATATGCCATAGGCGTGGAAATACTGACCATCAGTGATTTCGAGCGAATCAAAAGCATGGCACAGCCCATCCCAGCCGCAGACTCTCGGGCACTCATCCAAAAGCGACTCACTCCAACATCAGACGACGACGAGGTGGCCGTGGTAACCGACAACCTGACAATCAGCCTTGTGGACCCCTTTATGGCCCGCATATTCGATATCCCAGCCCGGTCCCGAAACTGCACTCACTTCGACTGCTTCGACCTCGACACCTTTATCAAAACCAGAATGTTCAAATCTGACGAGAAACCCATGATCGAGAATTGGCGCTGTCCCACCTGCAAGAAAGATGCTCGTCCGCAGTTTCTCGTCATCGACCAGTTCCTCGCTGACGTGCACGCCAGTCTCGCCCGCACCAATCGACTCGACCGCGCCCAGGCAATCCAATTCAAGGCCGATGGTTCGTGGACGTTGAGGGAAGTCTCTGACGAGCCTTCTTCTCCAGCTGACCGGGCCCATCTCGCGACGAAGCGCAAGGCTGATTCTATGGATAACCCCCAAGCCCAGGGGGGACCACGTCCCAAGATTGGAGTCAGTCCGCCTGCGACCCAGGCTTCTGTGATGCAGGATCATACCGTCATCGAACTGGACTAAGTGGATGCTGCTATTTGGTCCATTGCCAGGTCACTCGCCCTTCGTTTATCTCCTTGCACCTATCATTTCCTGCAAGACAGATACATAGAGTCACCTCATATGTTACCCTGTCTTACCTACCCACCCCACTTTATGCTTCCCACGCCTTTCAGCTTTTATTGCATGCACTCACTTGAAAAGAAAGATACCCTTTTATCGCATGTTCTTTCCAATGCATTTTCTCATTACTGGCGTTCAGAGACCGGGTGTTATAGCTAGCTCCCAAGTTTCCTGCTTCCTACTTTTTCCTCTTTTCAGGGCGTGCAGATGCAACCCTTTGCACATAAGAGTTTCTCTTCTTGCAGAATTTAATCAGAACATTCTTAGCTTGCCTAAAACCTTTCTACCAACATCGTAACCTATATACATCTACTTGATAAGGCCCATAGACATGAAAGGTCCATAGTCATTCAACGAAGACATTCTTCGCTCGACATTGCATTATACATAAAGTGTATTATATTGGGCATTTAGATAGTATACCAAAAGTACCCAGGAGAAAGAAAGGAGGAACACTACTTCCTAACTCTCCTCACATGACTAACGAGGTTCTCAATAACGCCCTCGAAAGCCTCCTTTTCGCCGACGAGCCCATCCCGCCGCTTGAGCCAGTGCTCCAACACCGAACTGGCCCGCTGCGTGGCTTGCTCCAATTCCTTAACATGCGATTCCAACTCTAAGTCAGTAAGACCGCTAAGCGCGGCATCTGTGGTCGCGCAGAGCCGCCGAACAGCCGAAAGGTCCATGTCAGGCGGCGGTGGTGCACCGCGGCGGGATGTAGATGTAGGTTTCTGGCGCGAGGGGGCTTGCCCTTTTTCGGCATTATCGGCTGTGCCATCGCCTTCTTTTCCGGGTTGGCTGGTTGATCGGGCGGCTGGGCTCTTTGCGCCTGAGCCTTCGAGGTCGATGGAGGGGAGGATGAGCTTTTTCTGTTTGGAGGCTGGGAGGATCTCGTCTAGATCGACGGGCACGCCTAAGGATACGAGGAATAGGCGGCGGATGCGAGATTTCACCCAGTTTTGGGGTTGGAGGGGGGGTGGGGCCACGAGCTGTGACCATAGTGAGAGGGAGCGCTCGGTGCTGAAGATTGCTGCTGAGTCTGGGATTGATTCGACGGGTGGGAGAGTGCTTAGGTCTTGAGTGGCGGGGAGGAGGTTGTCTAGGGTTCCCTGGAGGGAGGTGAGGAGGTCGGATGTGGATTTGATGGTGTCGAAATCGATGAGAGGGGGCTGACGTGGTTGCAAGGGTTAGTCGGGAGCGTGAATGGTGTTGGGCTTAAGCACGTACAACTGTTGGGAGGGAGGGAGGCTGGGTTGTTGCTGTTCCGTCGGTGGGAGCTGCTTCAGCGTCCTCAGCGCTGGGCTCTTGGAAGCCGTCGTCAAAGTCTCCAAAATCATCATCTCCCATGTCATCCTGCTCTTCTACAAATTCATCAAAGTCGTCCGCTCCTTGCTCTGGTTCTCCAAAATCGTCGTCATCTATATCATCCTGCGGTAAAGGGTCGTGGCTCGCAGAGACGGTTTCTGTTGATGTCGAGGCATCTGGGACCGTTTCTACCGAATCCGGTAATGGGTCACTTGGTGAGCTCTGGTGAGCTTGTGGATGGGTGTCTTTCTCGGCAGGCACTGAGTCCACTCGCTCTAGTCGTGTCTCGGGAATTTCTGATACAATTGTATCGGTCTCAGGGGGCGTAGGGTCAATTGCTGGCGGCGTTGGGTTGTCCTTAGAGTCGGATGCCTTCATTACGACGTCGGGCACAGCATCCGCAAGCCGCTTTTCATGTGCTGATGTGCCAGGCACTTCACCATGGCTGGCCTCTTCTGGGTCCACCTTCTCAACCACCGTCCGCGGGATGGGCGACCCTCCTGGGGTTAAGGCTCGGTCCTCAACTGACCCCGCGGGTGAATGGTTTGAGCTAGTTTCACCCTCTGGAACGACTTCAATTTCGTCGGGAACTGCATCCTGCTCCCTCTTTTCGAACGCTGATGTGCCGGGAACCTCGCCATGTTGGGCGCTGCTGTCGACCCTCTCGACTCGTGTCCGTGGGACAGGGGAAGTGCGACCGGATTGTGGGCTTGACTGGTACTGAGGCTGGCCTTCACTGGCATCTGAGAAATGTTCGTCGCCGCTTTCTGAAGCTGCTGGAGGAGATTGTTAGTTAAATGTCACCAGATACTCGAAGCGTACTCAAGGACCTACTGTTGTCCTCAGCTCCTGGATCTTGCAATTCAGTAGTCTTGCTGGGCGGCTCTAGATGCACATTGGACGAATCGGACGGCCCCTCCGACATTATTGCTGCTGGATTCAGGGTATGAACATGAAAGAAGGGGCACACGGGAGAAGAAAATAGTTGAAATGCAATGCACAGTGCGTAGCGTGAGTGACGACGTCGTTTCCCTGTGATCGATGCGAGTCCAGAACACATCCGCCTCAGGCACACTTGTAATTTGTGGCCTGCTTTCTCAGGCAGAAAGCAAACCTTTGGTGCCTCATTTTTCAGGCGGCAGCTCCCGCGCGTGCTGCCAAACTCCTTCGATTATTATTGCTGCACCTTGGTCTCATTGTCTCGCCTTTCTTCAACCAACCCGAGTCCTATTGTCAAACTCCATTCAATTAAGAGATTGTTTCTCTTTTCTTGGATCTTTTGATCCTTTCTGCAGGATCCCCAACCCCTGCTTTTTGTCGCTGGCGCTCTCTTCGTCCAGCTTTTTCCCATCAACCCAAGTTCCTCCATTACCCTGGTCGCGCCAACCCAACACCATGTCTTTCTCCTTCGGCGGCACACCCTCCAGCGGCACGCCCAGCGGCACACCCAGCGGAGGCCTCTTCGGATCCGGCGGCAATGCTTTCGGTGCCAACAAGAATACCACAACATCCGGAACGACTAACAGCCTCTTCGGGAACGTTGGAGCTCCGGCCAGCGGTACTTCGTCGCCCTCTATGTTTGGAGGAGGCTCAGCCGCAGGCTCGGGCAATACAATGTTCGGTGGAGGCGCTTCTAATGCAGGTGCTTCCAATGCGACCCCCGGTGCTAGCTCCGGCTTCAGCTTCGGCGGTGCGCCCAGCACCCAGACTAACTCATTGTTCGGTGGCGGCGGCAGCCAAACTCCCAACAAGACTACAGAATCGACTACACCCGGTCAGACTTCCACCAGCGGACTGTTTGGTGGCGGCGGCGCTGGTGGTGGAAAGAGCATGTTTGGAAACGCTGCCTCTGCGACACCTACCCCCGCCAGCGGTTCCTTGTTCGGAAACAATTCTACCACTCCTGCGGGCCCCCCACCGGGATCCAAAGCACCCACTAGCCTATTTGGAGCTGGCGCTTCCACCACACCCTCCGCCGCTACGCCCTCGTCGACGACACCCACTACATCACAGCCGTCTTCTGGTCTCTTCGGAGCGGGAGCTCCCGCTGCGTCTGGTGCTGCGAAGCCATTGTTCGGAGGAGGAGCCCCTGCTGCCGCACCCAGCAGTAACCTTTTCGGTGGTGGAAATCAAGACAAACCGGCCGCGTCAACCACTCCCGCTCCTGCGGAGAGCACCCCCAAGCCGCCACTGTTTGGAGCTGCGGCAACTGCGCAGGGCAGCCAACAGTCGACTCCTTCTCTGTTTGGCAACAATGCGTCTACTGCCGCTGGCGCATCTACTCCGAAGCCTGCATTCAGCCTCGGTGGTGCGGCTCCTTCCACCACAAGTGCTGCTACCCAGCCCTCCCTAGGAGCCCCCGCTTCCTCGACTGCTACTCCTCAGAAGTCTCTTTTCCCTGCTCTAGGTGGTGCCACATCCACTGCTGCGCCTTCAACTACCCCGGCCGCGGCTCCCTCTGGGTCCTTGTTCTCAGGCCTTGGCAAGACAACTGCCTCGACTACTCCAGGTACTGCTGCTACAACCGCTGCGCCTGCTACATCTACTGCACAGCCTGCTGCTCCTTCCGGTGGACTATTCGGCCAGGCCGCCTCCACCCCCTCGACCAAACCAGCCGCACCTCTCGGCGGTACCACGACCACCGCCCCAGCTCCTGCTTCGACCGCAACTGCCGCCTCAGGCGCCACTGCTACAGCGACCGGTGTCTCTGCCCTTGGTCAGTCTACGGCTGGCCCCGCTCCCCCAGCTCAGTCACGTCTGAAGAACAAGACTATGGATGAGATCATTACCCGATGGGCCACAGACCTTACCAAGTACCAGAAGGACTTCCGCGAACAGGCCGAGAAGGTTTCTGAATGGGATCGTCTGCTAGTAGAGAATGGTACTAAAGTTCAGAAGCTGTACGGTAGCACTGTTGACGCGGACCGGGCCACCCAGGAAGTTGAGCGCCAACTGGCATCTGTAGAAGGACAACAGGATGAGCTCAGCGCATGGTTGGACCGATATGAGCGTGAAGTGGATGAGATGGTTTCCAAGCAAGTGGGCCCTGGAGAGTCCCTGCAAGGACCCGATCAGGAACGTGAGAAGACGTGAGTACCGGCCTTTTGATGAAATCTTTACTGCAAGATTCCTTTGACTAACATGACCGACAGATACAAACTGGCTGAGAAGCTCTCGGATCGCCTGGACGAGATGGGCAAGGACCTTACCAGCATGATCGAGGAGGTGAATGGCGCTTCGGCAACATTGAGCAAGACCAACAAGGCAGACGAGCCTGTAAGTTAAGACTTGATACATTTCTTCTGCGATACCTACTAACACAGCTCTATAGATCTCCCAGATCGTCCGTATCCTCAACTCGCATCTGTCCCAGCTCCAGGTCATCGACCAAGGCACTTCGGACCTGCAGGCCAAGGTTGCTGCAGCTCACCAAGCAGGCCAGTCGATCTCTGCCCGTCTCGGATACGGGTACGCCAGCCCTGGCATGGGCAATGGCCACGCCGCTGATGACTTCTATCGCTCCTACATGGGTCGGCGGTAGAGGGCGGTTGATGTTTTTCTAATGATTTGAACTCGGAGTTATCGGCTACTTGGCACCTCAATGTGCTTTAAGGAATGTACTCTTGCAGTCAGGGAATGCTAATAGTCGGCCACAATAAACTGTTTGCATGCGCTTCTGATAATTGATTTTTTTTCCTTGTGAAATCAGGACTTGGATCCCTCAACTAACGTATGGCACGACCTTTCCACATGTAGTTACTTTTGTTCATCTTGCCGAAGGTAAGGATTGATCAATGCTTAGATACCTGCCACGTATGTCTTCCCTCATGAGTTGGATGCTGCACCCAAGAGAATGTTGTGAATCTCGCTGCTCATTTTCGGCCATAGGCCCGTCGGCCATCGGTGGTTCGTCCACCCCATCTTCAGATCAATCGGAGTATTATTTTGATTGTTCATGATATGCGGGTCAGCACCGGCAGCTAGCAACTGCTTAACAAATTCCGGTACTGGCATGCTGGCACCTATATGTAGAGGCGTATCACCATTCATATCCTGGGGCTGTACATCAGCACCCCGTTCCAACAAAAGTCTAGCCGTTTCCGCACAATAACTGCCCGGTAGACAGTGAAGCGGCGTACGCCCGCGATTGTCTCTTGGTGCCGGATCAATACCGTAGTTGAGTAGGATCTTGCATAGAGCCGCCTTATCCTTCTTCATTGCACAGTGCAAGGGCGTCATTCCACGGAGGTTTTTCGGCTCTGGGTCTGCTCCTCGTGCTAGCAGGAGTGTGGTGATTCGAAGCAGTTCCTCAATTCGATCAACCCGAGTCTCCCAGATCGTGGCTAGGTGTAACGGTCTGCTCCCGTTTATTGACTGTGCTTCTATGTTTGCGCCTTTGTCGAGTAGGAACAGGGTTGTTTGTTTGTGGCCGTTGGAGCAGGCAATATGGAGTGGTGTGTAGCCGTAGGAATCTTTCGCTTCGATCGATGCTCCCTTTTCCAGTAGCATCTTGGCGATTTGGACTTTGTTTTTGCGGGCTGCTAGATGTAGTAGTGTCCCTTTGTTGTTTCGGTCCTTGTGGTTGGTCTCAGCGCCGTTTTCTATCAGGCATAGTGCCACTTCCAATGAGCCAGATGCACATGCCACGTGTAGTGGAGTCTCTGCGAGATAGTTCTCAGCTTCGATGTTTGCGCCTTTGGCGATGAGGATCCGGGTCACTGCCTCGTGGTTCCTTGGAGAGAACTTGGCGGCAAGATGCAACAACGACTGTCCGTTCTTGTCCTTTGTGTTTGGATGAACCCCATTCTCGATCAGGAGTTTGACCACTTTTGGGTGGTTGTGGAGGATAGCCCATTCAATCGGGGTTCGGCTGATAACAACTCCTCCTCTTTCCTCAGAGTGAGGATTTGCTCCAAGGGAAATCAGATAAGCTGCAATCTTGGCATGGCCGTAGTTTGCTGCATTGAGCAAGGCTTGACTCGAGTACCCAAGTTGGATCTGGGCTCCTTGTCGGATGGATTCTTTGACTGATTCTAGCACTCCGCGGGCTGCTGCCCATTCAAGTGCGTATCCTTCGTGGTATTTGACGTTGTGCGCGTAGAGAAATGGATTAAATAGGCTGTAGAAGTGACGATTTGTCTGGACCAGCGCGTTGATGTCTTTCTGGGAGTCCAGGGGTTCTGCTATGGTGAGCAGAATCTCGTTTGGTAGGTCAAGGAGAGGCATGGCGGGGTAACCTTGGAATCACCAGAGGGTGTAGCCCCGATAGCATTGATGTGCCAATTTGCGCATGGGCGAGTCGGGAGAGATGAAGAAGGAAGGAAGATTGTATAGGAAAGAGCTCCAAATGTAGGTGTGGGCCTTGATATGTGGAGCAGTCAACAACTATCCACCGCCGCCTTGTCACTTCGGAATGAGCTTATTTCACTCTGAGATATTGCACCACGGGATGATATGCGATACTTGACATCTGGACTAGGTTCATGTATATTGAGGCCTACATGATTATACGCACTCTGATGTGCATATTCCTACGGCGTCTACGACTATAATCCTCGAGAACTGTCAAGCTGTTATCAGACCAGCTCGATATCATTCCCATACGCAGGAATGCCCTCGAGGCTACAGGGACACAAATCACGGATCTCATACACAGTGCAAAATTCAATAGAGAAACCCCGGAAATTGATGGCAGAGAGATGCTTTACCGAGGCATAGGCGCTAGTAATGAAAAACGGAGCTCTATCCAGCAAGCAAACCCGGATGGCTTGGAGTGGAGATGGTATTATACACTGAGCTTAGTGTAGCTATTCATAAATGCAGAATGCATAGAGGATGAGTCTATTGGCGGCTCAGACCATCACTAAATGAAAACGGGTCAGTTATGTCATTTATATTGCATTGTCAAGTCCAGCGAGCTGGTGAAATGACAGAGAATCCTCTCGAGGATATAGAAGAGTGCACTCACATGTGGGTCTCGAGCTCATCGAGGTGCTTGCGCTGTTCAGTAATCTTCTTCTTGAGTGCAGCAAGCCTGACAGCACGATTAGCTCATCTTCTTGGTTCGACGGTCCAACGGTAAGACTTACTTCTCCAACTCCTTCTCGCGGATGTAAAGGCTCTCCTGAGCGGCCTCGCGGCGGGTGAATGCGTCACTGGCAGAGCAAAGATGTTAGCGATGATCATTGCGAGTATGATGTCATCAACCTGCAGCAAGACCGACATGCTGGGCTAGCAACTGAAACCCAGGCCAGACTGCCACAGGAAGACCTCGGATATGTATCTTGCTTACCCAGAAGTGGCACCAGTACCGGAACGAGGGGCGCCAGTGTCACCCTCACCCATCCGAGGGACAGCGGCGGAGAATGAGCGGGTCATAACTGCCCGGTTGGCAGTGACGGCAGGGCGGACAATGAATTGACGGAGCATCTTGATGGAATAGTACGGTTTGAAAGAGAGAGAAGGTTGAAAGGGGAAAGTTTACAAAGGTACAAGAGGAGCAGGTCAGGCAAGCAGCCATGACATAACATGCCAAGAAACGTCATGTGAGTGAATTATGTCAGATCAAAATTATGTCAGCAAGTCATGTGAACAAAAATTTCTGTTTCCGGCGCAGAGGAGATGCGATAAGTAGATGAGCTCTCATTCGACTTGTAAACTACGAGATCATGAGAGACTCTGCAGATGACCTGCTAAGCCTGCCTCTTGTCTAGACCGGGTCCCCCCCAAAAAAGTAGCAAAAAAACGGTAGACACGGGAGTCAACATGGAACTAGCGGCTGGTCTGCCTTGGATGGTTCTCTAATAAGGCGCAAGTAAGGAACCCCGGGCGATTGGCGCGGAATGGGAGATGACGATGTTGGCCCACCGAACCACATAGAAGATGAGGAGGAGAGAGAGTGTGTGCGTAGGAGGTACACGAAGTACCAGTACAAAGTTGGAAGAGAAATGAGAATTAATTAGAGTAAATGATCAGTACTCCGTAGTCTGTTCCTTTCAATAGAAGCCGAAGAAGTGGGTTGTTCAGGCGTAAATCCCAACAACACCGCCTTCTGTGTTTCCCCCCCTCCTTCTCCTCTCCCCTTCTCTCTCTTCAACTCCCTTCCATCCCCCATCCATCTATCTCCTTTTCCACCTTTTTCTCTTTAAACAAGGTGAGTGTTCTCTGTGTCTATCTCCTGATACTTCCATTCCCACGTCACACATCATTCTTTCCCCCCCTCACACACACACATCACGAATCTGGTTTCAAGGCTCGAAAAGACAACCTCCCCCTCTTCCCTCCAAAATATCTTTGAGGTCAAGTCCGGTCGATGGAATCGCGTCACGATATTACGGTGGAAACTACATGTCTTCGTTGCCTTGTTTACCCGCTGAACCGGTGCCGCGACCGCTTTCCTGCGATACCCAACTACGCAGGGGAACCAAGGCAGTGTGGCCACTGAGCTATCACCAACGATCGTCATGATCTGCCATCACGCATTTTCGTCCCAATGACTTGACCATCCTCTACATGATATTCTTGGAAAAATTACACCTGGACCCCTCGATGCTTGAGGGGTTATTGTCTACCCCTCCCGACCGCCTTGCTTGCACTGCTCTCGATGGCGTGATTTGATACCTTCTATCTCGAAAATCGCGGCAACTCAAGAAATTTAGTTGAAAAATAGCTAACCTGGTCTAATCCCTGCAGAAAACACATTTTCATCATGGGTCACGAAGACGCTGTCTACCTCGCCAAGCTCGCTGAGCAGGCTGAGCGCTATGAAGGTTGGTTGATCAACCCCAGAATCTCAGTCATATCCGCTGACCATGCGACACAGAGATGGTCGAGAACATGAAGGTCGTTGCCTCGGCCGACGTTGAGCTCACCGTCGAGGAGCGGAATCTCCTGTCCGTCGCTTACAAGAACGTCATCGGTGCCCGCCGTGCTTCCTGGAGAATCGTCACCTCGATCGAGCAGAAGGAGGAGTCCAAGGGCAACGAGTCCCAGGTCACTCTGATTAAGGAGTACCGCCAGAAGATCGAGGCCGAGCTTGCCAAGATCTGCGATGACATCCTCGAGGTTCTCGATGAGCACCTCATCAAGTCCGCCCAGAGCGGCGAGTCGAAGGTCTTCTACCACAAGATGAAGGGTGACTACCACCGTTACCTTGCCGAGTTCGCCATTGGCGAGCGCCGCAAGGGTGCCGCCGACTACTCTCTGGAGGCCTACAAGGCCGCCACTGAGATCGCCCAGACTGACCTCGCCCCTACCCACCCCATCCGTCTCGGCCTCGCCCTTAACTTCTCCGTCTTCTACTACGAGATCCTCAACTCTCCCGACCAGGCTTGCCACCTCGCTAAGCTCGCCTTCGACGATGCTATTGCTGGTACGTCTCGACATATTTCCTCGAAGCGTCCATGATTCAGAACTAACATTTGTCTGCAGAGCTCGACACCCTGAGCGAGGAGAGCTACAAGGACTCCACCCTCATCATGCAGCTCCTCCGTGATAACCTGGTACGTACTACGCTCTGCATGGATGAAGTACAAATACTGACCAGTCTTTCTAGACTCTCTGGACCTCGTCCGAGGCTGAGCCCGCTGCCGACAGCGCCGCCCCTGCCGAGAAGAAGGAGGAAGCCCCGGCCACCGAGGGTGAGAAGCCCGCCGAGTAAATGAGTAACACCTAAAAAGATCTTGTTGAAGGACTCACGTCCTCAGGACGGATGGGACAACCGAGAGAGAGAGCGCGCGACGGGTCTCCCAGTGCAAGGACATAGAGTGGAGACGAGGAGAAAAGGACCGTGAGATGTATTGACATGAGTTGGCTTGCTCTCCTGCCAGGGCTCGCAAGAGCCTGCTAGAGAAATAACCGTTCTTTGATGTTGGTACTCTCTGGTCCATTTCACTTCGATCCTCTACTTACCTTGTGCCTCCTTTGCTTTTGGCCCGGTGCTTGTGTTCTCTGCCTGGGGATATCTATCTGTCTCCTCTTTTTCGTTTTTCATTCTCCTTGTTATTTTGTCTACTTTGCCTCTTAACTACCCAAAGAGTCCCTTGCGCGCACTCTCACAGCACCCCAACACATACACAGGACACCACAGAAGTTTTTATTAAATCAGTTCCTTATCAGGACTTCCACGATGATGTATCTTGCTGATTTCCGACTTGGCTTTCTTCCTTTTCCTTATTTATCTCCCGTACTCTGTGCCATATGGCGTTTGATTCTCGCTAGACGTGGGTTCGAAGATAAATTCGTATATTGACCTTATCACTTGCTTTGATTGAGTAAATGTAGTCGAAGCATGTAAACAGTAGACCCTTAGCAAGGTACAACAAGAGTCATAAATGATGTGTATACGGTGTATAGAGTGCCACTGATGAAGCGTTGGACAGTCTCTACACGAAACTGAGTCTCGAAGCGAGTAATCATCTTTTTCACTGGTTTGACACCACCTCAAAAAGAGAAAATTTTTGCCGTTCATTCCTTCTGCGGCTTACTCATATTCACACCTTTGGCTCTATTACTAGACCTGAATGACTCGCATAGTAGGTCTAACTGTTCTCAAGCTATGTGTAACTCCTCTCAAAACACCTTGGTTTTAGCAAGCCGATTGAATCCATCGTTCAAACTCGCTTAGGGTCTAGATTGAGCTGTTAACGTTCAAGACGTATAAGCTATTGAGTAAGATATGTATATCTCTCCCGGGTCTCCATCTTTCAATCTTGATCATTAGCTGTAACTTCTTGAGTTCATTTCAACCGGAGATCAACGATGGCCCTATCTGGAAGCTGGAGGTCTGGTCTTGCCGGTGCGTCATGATGTTTGGGTCAATATCACAAGCAATGAGCATCTATATTATGCCTCCGGTTATGATTTGCATGAAAGTATGTTTATATAGTTGAAATGAAACGGGACAACAGTTAGCATATGTTATATTCATTGACTGAACTTGGATAAGCCAACCGTTGAAAATGTCAAAAGCAGCCAGCCGCGGGTTTACGTTGATTATCGTAGTAGAACATAGCACTACCCGTGCAGTTCATTTAAGAATATGCAAGTACTCCATCATTGGACCTCCCAAGACGACCGGGAAGCCACGAGATAGTGCTCTTAGGGCTATATAACGATCATGTGATTGTTGGAATGGAGTCTCACTCTTATATGAATGAGTACCTTTGCAGTCGTCTCATCTCTCATATCAAACTACGAAGATCTGCCGAATCTCGAAAAATAAGTCCCAGATCTGTGGTGAGCATCTCCCCTCTAACCGTCGCGCAATCACATCGACCAGTTTCGTAACCCGGTCTCTCAGGAACCATTTTCCCTGAAGTGGCCGTAGAAGAATGGCATAGTAGCCCAAATGTAGCAAGGCACTCGGACGATTCTGTTTCAATAGAACCAGGTACTCAGGCAAGACGCGCATTGGCCAAGAATTGAGAGAATCCCAAAAGCTTTGACCAAGTTTAGAATGATGCCTTTGGAGCGCTGGGCACTGGATCGGTGGGTGTGGAATAGCCCGAGGAAGAAAAGCTAGTACAGCAGCTTAGAGTATAGTATCGATCACCCATGTCGAAGTAACTCTGGTCATCCAGCAAAGTTATAAGGGGGGTTCCTTCCATGGTAGAGACCTGGGCTTCCTCTAATTTGGCCCAGGCGGCAGTTTCACTGCCGACAATAGAAATCACCGGACGGCTGTGGTTGGGGTTGTCGGCAGCCTGCTGATTGAGCATGGGCAACTAAGGAGAGCTGTGCTCAGCCAGTTGATCTGAACAGTTGTTTCGTGAGAGGTAGACCGGTTCACGTTAAAGTTGAAGTTGGCAACACCGGTGTTGAGAAGAGCAAAGTCGATCTGAATGTTGGACCCTTAAGGCGTTTGACAAGGGCAATCATACTAGCATAGATATTCAGATCCAATTCCCAGACCTCGACCACTAGGATCTTGCTGAAGCGGGAAACGAGGCTAGGAGGGAGCTCTGCGCAGCTTCGCCGTTGGAGGCTTTGCGGACGGCCAAAATAAGATGGCAGCAGCAGAAACCTCAGGAGAAGCGTTTGAGGAATCGGATGAGGCGTCTGAGGCGGCAGCGGCGGCGGCAGCAGCAGCAGCGGTAGATGAGGCAGCAGAAACCACAACGAAGGCGACCTTAGTAGAGGCACTAGCTGAACAGTCAGAGGCCTCAGTAGCGACGTTGCAAGAGGCGTCAACGGAGGCAGTGGTAGCGGCGGCAGTGGAAGTAGAAGCAGTAGAGGCGGCGGTGGTAGCAGCAACAGTAGCAGATGAGGTAGACGAAGCAGACACAGCAGCAGAAGAAGCAACATCTCCAAGACTCAAACAAGCAATGCTCATCTTCTTGGTGCTGGACCTAGAAGCAGAATCATCAATAGCCTGCGACAATCCTAAGTCATACTAACATAAGGCCAGCAAACACGGCCATCAGACATAGTGACCATATTACTAGCAACAGGAACATCCCCACTGGAAATCGGCTCGCCAACCTTCGCACCAATGGAATCAACCTGCTGGAAGAAAGTACCAACAAAAGTACCCCGACAACCCATAGCAATGAAATCACAGTAGGGTTGGAGATCTCCTCCTAAGAAACAACAGCATTAGCACTGCCAAAGGTAGCAGCATAAGCATTAGAGCAATCATTCGATCCACTCGTCACCCAGTTAGCCTGGCTATCACCATCCTCAGTGCCAACAACGGAAGTAGCCTGCGCACCAACCTTGGTATACATATCCGAGAACACGAGATAGCAACAATGCGACCATTAATCCGGTTCTGCACGCTCGTATATCTAGTTCCCATCCACTCAATCTCAGTCACATCCGTATCGCCCATAGCCTCGCCACCAGCACCGTTGGTGGTATTCTCAGGGTGTCAGTAATGACACCTGCCTGGAGTATGTATGTACAGGTGCCTAAACTGTGGTTGCGCCTTGGTATGACACCTACGCATTATTTGCGTTTCCCCTCTCCATGGGGTACAGCCATATCTTTCTTTCTTTTTTATCGGCCTATGGCCTCTTGTAGATGCAGTAAACAATATATCCACGTAGATCCTAGTAGAAGAACCGTTTCTATCAGAGCGATCAATAACTTTAAACATAAACGTTTTTACATGCAAAGGCTATGAGACCCCTATAGCCCCACAAAGTAGGTTATCGTCGTTCATTGGGCTAAATGGTTAACTTACCTGGGCAGCTACCTAGATGGGTATAATAAAACGCTCCTGCATACTGATTCCTCAAGAATACTTTGCGTATCACCCTCTCATCGATCGTCCGCAATATATGCCTCACCCATAAACCATCTCAATATCCAGTCAACGTACTTAGCTCCCGGTGTATGTGTATTCCAGCAATTTAATCTAGACGTGATCTTCCCACGCAACTTAGTGCCAGATGTCAAGCCCAGAATTGCGCTTGAAAACGAAAGCGGGCACGCGCAAAGAATCGGTGAAGAAGTCGCTCGGGTCCGACTGGCGATCTCCTGCGCGAATGCAAACGGTCATATTGCCCAGGCTCTTCAGATCGCATTGACCCCGTCCGTGTGGTTTTGGTACCCTCCACGACCAATGTAGAGTAGATAATCTGCCCTGGATTGAGTTATCGGGATGAGATTGAGGGGGAAGGGGAGGGGGTGAACACGCTGTCGTCTAATATATTGCATATGTATCCTTGGCCTTGTTGGGTCCGAGATGATCACTTTGATAAACTGATCCAATCGCCCAGATGTAATATAATGTAATGTACTATAGTGGATAACGTTACTGCATGTCAAGTCAAGCACGCACTCCGCGCATTACGATTTGTCTTGTTTTAATACCTCGTATTAAGTCAATTTGATGGGATCATCAGTAGTTGGGAATGTTTCGGGATCCCCCTTTTATTTTCACGTTCAGGTTCATCGACCCAATCAATATATACGGGGGATCTACGTGTCCGGCTATGGCTGGTTCAAAAATAAGGCGATAAACGAAAAGAGATCTACAAGGAAGACGGTTTGATCTGAAATAGTTTCCATTTGCTGCCATGGTTGAAACCACAATGCTACCAGCCATGCGGGCTCGATAAAAAGGGGTATGAATGAGATGAGGACTTTGAAAAATAGAAAAAGAAAAAAAAAGAGAAAAAAAAGGGTAAAAGGGGAAACTTGAGACATGCACGCTCGTGGGTATAGCAAGTGCAAAGTGCAAGTGAAAGAAGTAAAAAATAGAGGGGCAATAAAGAGATGACGGGAGTCGACATCTCTGTCTCCCCGTATTGGAGAGACAAGAAAGTAATCGGTGGGGATAGTCAGTCCAGCGGAAAGAGGTCGAGGTCGAGAGGTCGAGAGGCAGGGAGAAGAATAGTCGGAGAGAAACGAAAGGAAGAAAAGAAGAATGACAAAACGCAGATGTACAGAGAACCCCCCGAAAACCGAAAGGGCATATGAGAGGTAAAAATAAGAAGACAAGTGGACTGCTCCGAAGGACCCCTAAGATGCTTTCCACTTTCCACGCCGTCCTGTTGTGACCATTACCGTCACCATGCAAATGCAACCATGACGAGAAAACATTTCCAGTGCGGCTTCAGCAAGAGTCATTCAATCAAATCGAGTCTAGTCCCAGTCCCCGAAACGCCCAATGTGCTATGCATCGAAAGACAAAAAAAAAAAAGAAAAAAGAAAACAAACGAAGGATAAAAAAAGTACAAGTGAAACATGGTTCACAAAGCCGCCGCGAGAGAAAACGAACACCGAGTAAGAGAAGTGACGAACGAGGAAGCCCAATAATATCGACAAGGGATGAAGAGAGGCAGGTGGCCACACTGGAGAACGTCGCACACCGCGTTGAGGATGATGCAAGAAGAACGGAAACACCAAGATTGCCAAGGTTCAGGTGGCGGACCACTTGACGAACACCAAGGCATGCAATGATGTCACGAATGATCCCTTGAACCCCCTTGAGTAGATAGATCCGAATTCAGCCTCATCGATCCAGCGGTTCGATCCCGGTTGAACAGGGGGCTGTGGAGACGATGATGGCGTTGTGGCGTTCAACTCGAAAATGTGATTTTCTTTTTTTTTTTGGAATTTTGCGGGTGGCCGAACCAGTCGGGTGGATATGTGTGAGAAAGTGGCGATCGTAAGACGTCCCTGGATAACTGCTGACCTCCCATTTCGGAGAGAGGGAAGACATTCGTGTTGCCAGAGACCTCAACCCTGTCGTTGTTGATACCGTAACATGCTGACCTGGACATGTAACATGGAGCGACCAGTCGGATGTGCGAGAAGAGAAATATGGAAGGATTTCTTCGTAATGGGCAAGTGAAGATAAATCGGAACTCGGTAGAATCGGTCGGGCGCACTTTTGAGGAAACCCCCCTGTCGCAAAACCCCCAGTTTGATGTTCACGGAATGGGATCTTCGACCATCTTGCGACATTCTGCCCATCGGGGGATGGCCCATTTACTTTTGCGCTTTGCGGGCCTTCGTACTGCGGGTCATTTCGCTCTTGGTCATGTTGCGGGTGAGACCACCGATGTAGTCTTGTAGGATTTTGTTCTCGTTTTCCAACTTGTCGTGGTCCGATTTCACTGCGTCGATACGCTCGGCGAGAGCCTGGAGGGATGACTGAAGGGCCTTGGCTTGTCTATTTTCCCCAAGAATTAGCCACTGCAAAACTCAGATCATAGTTTCCTCCCAAACTGCTTGTAAAACTCACTCTTGTAGAGTTTGACGGGCCTCTTTGCCCAAGCGTTCTAAATCGGCGGAATTCCGTCGGGGACTCATGGCGCGGGCGTCGTCTGGGGGGAACTCCTCCTCCTCAATTTCGATTTCGGGGTGATCCCGAGGGACAAGGATAGAAGCACTGGGTTTTCGGCTCGCCATTCGGGGGCGTTCTGATCGGCCTCGACGCTCTGTTTCTGCGTCGGATATGGAAGATGATGAAGAAAGGGATGACATATGCATGCGGCCACCGTCGTTTGGGTGCGGCAAGGTATCAACAGGAGAGGCTTCAGTCATCGCTGTATCTGAGGCCATAAGGGTTACTGCTCGCGACACACAGGATCAAAAAGACGTCCAGGGTGGCGGTGTAATGAAGATTCCACGATTGGGTCAGGGTTTTAAAGGGCCCGGAGGAAAAGCGGAGGCTGATGAAAACGACCACGGTCTACCCCTAGCGATGTACCCCAGACGAGAAATCTGTGTTACGCTTGAGGTAGCTACCGGGGTCGGTGGAAAGTCGAAAGGAGAGAGAGATGGTAATTTTCCTGGTAAAGACGACCGGGGTCGACTTGAAGGGAGCTGGTCGAGATGAGTAAAATTCAATTCAGGGCGAAATGGGCGGGACCGGGAGAGTTGAAAGGGGGGAGACGAAAGAGAGTAGGGTATAGTAGGGTAAGTCGAGGTTCTAAGAGATGTAGAGGAGGTGAAGAGCTTTGGGGNGAGGGAAAGGAAGAGAGGGTCGGTATCGGTGTTACGGCATGGAAGGGTACATCTGAGTGACTTGTTGGTCGGTGCGGCGGATGCGGTACACGATAGTACCTAGGGAGTCTCCGGGTGGGAACTTGTCTATCTTAGCACCTTTTCAGTAGGTGGAAAGTATTCCCTTGGTAATGATCATCATTTCTCTTCTCTATTCCTTTCTCTTAGCCTCTCAGGTTCCATGTCTCTAAGAAAGTGGGGGAGGCGCGTGGCAGCCACATATTAAATTATTACTCGGTGAAGGCAAAGTTCTTTCTCTTTCCCCTTAGTAGGTACTTGGTACACCGCCATCCGCTCTATTTATTGGTTAGGTCAAGTATTGGTACCTTATCCACAGCGCCGTTGACTACCCTTAACCGAGTAATTATAGATTTAAGGAGGTTTTTCCAGGGGGTGGATAGTATGCAATGTCGATCGAGCCTCAACAAGCCAAAATGACGCCATGCCAGTCCTGGTTCTCATTCACGCGGAACATAAGAGTCTGCATAAAACCCCGTACTGAAGTGGTGAACATCTTTCGACTCAACTTCCTCCCCTCTTCCAGGGCTCCTTGGAGATCCTTTTCTAAGCAAGTCCAAATCACGTTTATCTGCGGTGTACAGAGTATAGCCGCTCCCACCGCGAAAATGGCAATCATAGGTGAAAAATGACAATCAGAGGTGAACAGAACACTTCATTGTGGAAGAGGAAAAAAGACAGTCTCCGCACAGGTTTGTAATCTCCCGCACCGCAACCACTCAACACTCCTCTTAGCCCACCAATGTGCGCCCAACGCTTGGGCTTCAGACGATCCATTCCCGCGGGGGTTTGACATCCCTTATTATTCGATGGATCGCTAGCCGAGGTGGAAATGGAGATAGGCGCCGATCATGAAAACCTTGAGATTGATCTGTTCTCTCCTAGTCTCATGAGGACGAGTGTGGTATATAGTTTCAGTCCACCCTAAATTTTTAACTTCGCTCCGTTCCCGGCAGGATCAATCAGAACTGCCGATATGCCACTACGGGGAAATGCAGCAGTGTTCCGCTACACGAGCCATGACGGCATATAGAAAATCGGAGGGTCAAGGTATTAGGAAGTTAGATATCGGAGATGGATCTCCACAAGAGATAATATCAAACCAGATTCGTTCCTGGATTCCGAGAGTCAGATGACTAGACGCTCAGGCCAGAGTGTGTAACTATACAAGAGTATATGTTCACCGAATTTGGGCCGCTACACTAAATGTTAGGCCCGTGTTCAATACATGTCTTCCTAAAGACAACGCGGCAAGTGAGACATCCACGAATGCCTACGTGTAGCTATTGCTTTGTCTATGAGACACAAAGCATCCCCTCGACATGTAAACGTCAATGGCTTACTAGCATACATTTTCAATACGGGAGTGGGGGGTTTTCATCCATTTTGACCCCCTATAACTGGTTGCCCTCCCGTCTTTTCTTTGCTGTTGGCGCCAATCGTAGCACCGAGAATTCGGTGTCCTCTGCTGTGCAATTTGAAACTGTGCCAATCACTATTCCATTTTCGAACAATACCCCGAACAAGACTCTGTTTCGAAGTACGGGTCCGAGGCGCCGTACTTTGAAGTTTTCAACGGCCCCCGGGGCGACAGGATGAATAAAGTACATAAAAGTGTTTCAACGCCGTCTCTAGGCTCCACTCAGGTACACAGGATAATACATGTAGTTTACGAGCCATCGAATACAGTACAGAAGACGAGTTGACTCAGAACAGAAGCGAGCACAGCATAAAGAACTTTCCGAATAGGGAAAGAGTCGTTGACGCTGTGCACACAGTGGACCTTTTCTGGGGCTCTCTCCGGAGAGAGACATGAGGTTATCTTAGCTCAGCCTCAAAATGTCTTGGAACATCTCCCGTCTAACCCACAGTCTCACACAAATATACTACATCTTCACTTATAGTGTCCCTCTTGGCAGATCCAAGAAATTCCTGTTTTCGCCTTCCCTTTTCCGGTTTTGTGGGGGTCTAGCTCTCTCGAGATGGTGATCCGTTCTGTCTACCAATCATCCGGGGAGAAAGAGATCCAAGGCAGATGCGGTGTGCGTGAATGTACTGTATATGTAGGCGCATGTAATTTAAGTTAAAGCCAGGTTTTCTTACAAGGCTGAGAGGCACGTTCATGCGTTGCCGTTTCTCTCGGCTTTCTGATTGATAACACAGACATGCATGCTTCTTGTTGCAAAACGTATACCTGGCTCCGAGACATCTCCGGATTAGAGTAACAGAGTGATACATTTTTGTTTACTTTTTTTTATTACGGGTAGAGTTCTAACAAGACAATGTCAAACTTGAATGGATATGATACCGATTTCAAACCCGAAACCTGGAGACTCTGCAGACTGTACAAAAAGAACCCCAAAAGAAGCACCTTTCAATGAGAGTAAGAACCTATCTACCACCAAAACGCCAATCATTCAGTTTTATTCATAGAGCACCGCATGATTGCCATTGGTACAAGGCTCTTAACACTGCGATACCGCCAGACTGTGTTTCAACCGTACGGCCACGGCCACGATCATTGTAATCCTTCGGCCTGAAGCCCGCAGCCGAGGGCTCAGAGTCACCAAAGTTGCGGTAGTCAATAGCATCAACGGGGATGATACTGCTACCCACGATACCATCCGCCTCAAGCTGACGATACGGACGACCCCACCAGGAACCGAACTTGCCATCGCTGTCCCGAGTCATCAAAGCAGCCTGCGCATTGTGCTCGATCCAGCTACCGTAGGCGCGACAGCGTTCCAAATGCCATTGATAGATCTCGTCCCAGCTATCCTCTGCTGAGTGACTGCCAATCATGGCGTCTGCCAGAAATCGTTCTTCTTGTGGCTGCAAAGGCCGACAGAACTCTGCAAGATGATGGAAGAAGATTCCTTTGAAGGTTTGCCCGTCCTGGGAACAGTAGCCGCCGGAATCGCATGCGTCTTCTAGTACGCCTCCGCGGCCGAGTCCCTTCCACTGCTGGCTGGAGATATACGGCCAGCCGGTGGCTTGCTGCACCTTGTGGACTAGCTCGTGGCCGTCAATCAGATACTCTTGCGAGTTGGTGGCTAGCCAGAGTCCTCTCAGCCCGCTGAGGATGACTCCTTGGTTGTAGGTGTAGACCATAGTGTTGAGTTCATCGCACTTGCCCGAGCCTGGTTTCTGTGAGCTTTGGTAACCACTGATATGGAAGCCATCAGCGTAGAGCTGGCCGGGGCCGGTCATGTTCGAGTTATTGAGCCACTTGTACCCGTCGACTGCGGCCTTGAGATGGGCAGCGCTGTGTGGGTTCTTCCGTGTTGTATGGGTGCCTTGTGAGTCGGCGAGGAACGGCGAGTCGATGGGGTCTCCTGGGAAGTATAGGTACATCCCGATGCTTGCGGAGATGAACAGCTCGTTCGTGATGGCGTTCTTGTATGGCATCAGGTATGGGCTCCAGATCATGCCGCCGTCACAAAGGGTCTTGTCCCAGCCCGCTGAGGCAAGCTCGTAGAATAATCGTGCTCTGTGTGCTGCAGAGTCACGGAACTGGGTGCCATACCATGGCTGTCCAGAACTCGCGTTAGACGAGGTATAGTGTAAATCTGAATGGAGGTCTTGGAACTTAATATTTTCCAACCATCCCAGTACAACCCAGAGCATGTCATCGTAAGCCTGGTTCCTCAGACTGAAGGCATTCTCGCCGAAGTAGAAAGCGGACGTATGGCTGAAGTATCGACTGACGGTATTCTCAAGCGTGGAGTGTGACAATCCTTGCAGCTCATCCGTCTCAGGGATATCAAGCGGTCCAGAGCTTAGAGATGACAGCGCCGCTGAAACTTGTGTTCCCAGGACCGCGGCAGTCCAATCGATGCTGGTAGGCCACGTGCCCTGCCATAACACAAAGTATTTGTCTTGCATAACACGCAGTGCATCGATGAGATCCCGTAATGTTTCGAGAATTGGTTCGTGGCTTGACTCTTCCGGAGCCGATTCAGTATCTCCCAAGACTGTCTCCACAAAAGAGTCGTCAAGGGCACTGGAACCCCGATTGAAGGTCGATAATGATTCTCTCAAAACATCTTGCGGCGGATACGCCAGCGCATTGACCCCAGCCGAGAATGACAGGAAGCACAGTGTAATGATACAGTATAGAGACCGTGGTAGCCTCAAAGGGCTAGAGGAAGTGTGTTGGGGAGCCATTCTGTCTCAGGAAAGTGATCCTGCCAGAACCAGATCCCCAGACACCAGGTAATAGAGCCGTGCTATGCGTATATAAGGAGAGAGTTCGCAATGGCGTGAAAAAGAGGAAGAGCGCAGGATAGGCTCATGCGGGGAAAACGGGCCAGGGTTCGGCCTTAGTCACCGGACCCGCTTCCTTGCCCCAACCTCTATCCATGAACTTGGTCCTACATGTGTTGGTAAGGCCAGGGCTTCCGATTACTTGGTGAGTCTAAAGCTAATTTGCATTATTACATTGGCTGGAGTATGGCGCCACATGGCTGTCGCGTGATCCACCTGCAAGGCATCGGATACGAAGTCAAGCGACTAAGGGCTACACTACAAATGGAGAACCAGCGAATCGCATTCTGTTCGGTTACAGAATGACCCTCAAGATCAACAAGGGTGATGAAAAGTCACTTGCAATGAAAGGCGTCCTGCATAACGTACATTACTGAAAGGTTGGGCTAAGGAGCCAAGATGGTCTTCGCTAATTTGATAGTTCAACTTTCAATTTTATCGAAATTGCCTTTTATTTCTGAATCGAGGTCAGCATGGTTTCGTGACGGGTCAAGACTGGGATCCCATACCATTACGGCAATCTATCGCGGCGCCGGCGTATACCTCTATGCGGATGTGTCCCATGGCACATCTCAATCAGCGTGAACCGGAGAGGTCCAAAGAGGGGTAACACCCGCGAAGACCAGATGATCCATTCATCAAGGGAGATATTCAGGGGAACTGGTGGGAAGAGGTTCGAGGTAACAGCGCAGCAGTGGAAAAAGAAAAGGCGAGAATAAACGTGAAAGCCCCAGGTATCAAATGAAAGGTCACAAGCAATGCACCTCCGTCAAATTTCATCCTTCATGTCCATTAAAGAGCTTATTCCCGGTCACCGGCGGCTTCAGGGCTGCGACTGCGGTTGGGGCTTCGGCTGCGATTCCGGCCACCCCGGCCCTTGGATGCTCCATTCTTGCCCTTGCCAGATGGGGGCGGACGAACAAATGCGTAGTCAACATGAATGGTCTGGTCGAGGAGCTTGGTGTCGTTCAGGTTCTGAATAGCGTCGCTGGCTTCGGGGAGGGTTGAGTATTCAATCAATGCGTAGCCCTTGTAGACAGTTAGGTTAGTTCAAGATTCAGAATGGATCGTCACAAGAAATCAACACTCAGAAAACAAGACCCTGAGAGTCTGTCTCAAGTTGATTGTCCCATTGGGCCAAGTAGGAGCGCACCTTGGCATAACCCGTCCGGCGGTCGAGGTTCAAGCTGAAGTTTTTAATCTCTCCGTACTCCGCGAATAGATCGGTGACGTCCTCTTCTGATGCTTCCTCATGGATGTTGGATACAATGATGATCCATCCTTCAATACTGCGCACAGCGACCGCGTTTTCCTGTGTCCGCGGCTCAAAGCTGCCAGATTGCTCGGGTGCGTCGTCTTGTGCGACAGGAGGATCGACTTCCATTTCGTTCGACATATTGTGTGGTGCTGAGTATACCTTCGATGCGACGGTGGTGGTGGGGTATTGAGAAGGTTAACTTCGCCGTTGGTAGTGTTCAATGAGTCCGAGTCTGGATCGCAGTCTTGGTTAGGCAAGCCTCACCTTCAAGCTCGCGATCACATGACCAGGACTACCCTGCTAAGTTCCAGCAAGTGCATACTATTATTTCCTAAGCTTACTATCTTGCCTTATTTATCCTAGGCACTCAATTACTCTACTTCTCTTGCGACACAAATTGCTAGTTCAAGCATATTGCGCAACTTGATCGGTTAGCGAGAGCTACTAAGACGAAGGCTTTGGTCCAAATGAATTTGTATTTCTGAAGAAGCACCAGCAAAGTAGATGAGTTCTAAGGGAGATTTTCTAACTAGAGCGGAGATTGTATTCATCCCATTTGTTGTAGGTTCGTCGGTGCGAACAATGAAAGGCGTGCCCTTGCGCAGAGGCTTCGACCCATAAGACCAGAAAAAACAAAAAAAAAAAAAGAAAAGAAAAGAAAGACACATGAACGGTTAAAATACAAGGTTGTTAGTTAAGCAAAAAGAGAACTCCAGATCCGTGTTGAGCAAGGCCAATAACAGTCCGCTCCATTGCCATGAAATGCAGACCGCTTAACGACGGTTGTTGTTGCGCATGCCGAGGATCTGGACCATGCGAACGAAAATGTTAATGAAGTCCAGCTCAAGGCTGACACTCTCGTTGACAACGTCGCGCTTGATCAGGCCGCGCTCAGCAAGGCGGGCGTGGTGCAGAATCTTTTGGACGTCATACAGGGTGAAGCCACCGAAGACGGCAAGACCACCGTAGAGCCAGAGACGTTCAGACCACATCAAAGTGCGAGCAGCAGTGGCTGGGAGAACCATGGGGGCGAGTCCGGAGAGAGCAACGATGGCAACACCAGCAAGAAGAGGACCACCGAGGTAAAGGTACTTCTCCTGCTTGGCGGTGGCACCGACGAAGGCGATGGAGCCCATCATACCAACAGTGTAAAGACCGGCACGAGCGAGGATGGCGGGGTGCATGAACATCAACGGGGAGAGAAGAGCAGCCTGGGTGAGGTTGAACAGGGTCCAGCAGCCATACTTCACGACGTAGCTATCTCAAGTGTTAGTTTGTATGTCACTTGCTGGATCACTCGCGGGACTGAAAGAAAAGGGTTCAAAACTTACTTATCAGGGGAGGTGTAGAAAGTTCCGTACATGGAGCCGATGCTGCCGACGAGACCGACACCCATAACGAGCCAAGGGTTCATAGCCATGAGACGATAAGACCAGCCGCTCATGTGAAGAGCGCGAGCAGCAACACCAATGATACCAACACCGAGACCAGTATGCATGAAGGTTTCGTTCAGGAAGCTACGCTCGTAAGCGGGCATGCCGCCGTCCTCTCTCGTCTCACGGTTAAAAATGAAGTTGGTCGCCAAGATGGTACCACCGACAATGGCGCCGCCATAAATCAGCTTCTGCGTCATGTTGCCACCCTGAGCAGTGTTGTAGCTCTGCTGCATGTAGGTACGGCGGAATGCATTCCGGAAGGACGAGCGGGACTTGGCGAAGATCGAGGACGAAGCTCCTTGAGGCTTAGGTGCCTGGGGCTTGAGAGGGGAGTTGTGGATGAATCGAGCGGTGTTCGAGGCCTTGGGGAGCTGGCGAAGAGCCGATGATACGGCGAACGGCCGCCGTAAGAAGAAAGCCATGGTTGCGGTGTGATAATCGAGATGTGAAGAGGGGAGATTTAAGTACCGGCTTGACGGGTGATATCAGCGTGATTCGTGATTACTCATGCTTAAGTCCGGAATCCGGAAAATTCCAGAATAGTCAGGTGACTCACAGATGGGATTTGATATTCTTAGCACTTGAACTCGCCTCGGTTTATCAGATCGGTTTACTCTACGTCATTTATTCTGACTTCTCAGTCATGGCTTCGAACTTGGAGACTATCAATGTGCCGCATTTACCGTCTCTGCCGGTGCATGTTGCTCTATATCGCGATGTTCAAAATGCTGCCTTCTTGAAAGGACAGCTTCTTGCTGGCAATGCAGAATTCGAATATGCTCTGATTGATGCAAGCATGGTATGTGAGGATATGTCTTCTTGAAATTAGACCATTGGACTCCAAAATGTATGTTTCATGTCCTGAAATTGACACCCCACATTAGGTTCTTTCAAGGGCACATGCCACTGCTGCTGTGTTCAGAGCCGTCAATGACTATATGCACAATCGACTGAAGTCTCGCAACGTGCATTCCGAAATTGTATTCTCGTTCAACTCTACCAATAATGTGTGTATAGAGAGGCGGTGCAATTTGTCACGGAGCTAACACGGAGTTAGATTGCCGAGTCATTCCGCAGATTCGGCATTGCCGATTCAACCAAAGACCTCTTGGTAGTCAAAGTCTCTGTCTCGCCAGAGATAACACATGAGTCTGTCGCCGCCCATCTTGGCGCCTCAGTTCAAGGGACTTCTGTACCTTTCGATGATAAGACACTTTCTGAAGTCTCCGATGTCAGCAAAATCAAGAAAGTGTACAAGTTGGGAGCTTTGCCTTCACCACCCAAGGCAATAGATCAATCCAATGGCACAAATGATGAATTGAAGCAACGACTTGAAAATGCCTTACTGGCAGCAATTGCCCTGAGGGGATCATGAGATATTGGTCGTAGCCACAGCACTCACCGATCCCGAAATGCCTCGGACTCGAAATCAGCGCAAGTCCACCTTTGCTAATGCATTTTCGAATGCTAAAATGGTGAGACTGCTACGCTCTTGGGCCATTTCACACCTCGAGAGTGTGAAAATTCGACTGACAAAATATCCGTCATTGATCGCAAGGAACAATCCTGGTTTATTTCAGGATAACACCACAGTCTTTCAACTGTGTTGAGAACATGAATATCTCTATCGAGATAATTACACGTATTAACGATGAATTGAATGAATCATACCCTCAATGCATGTGTTTGTCTCCCCGAACATGGACTATACTTCGGCGATTCCGCCCAATTCGTAAAATCATGTAAAGCCGTAAGAAATATAGTTTTGAAGGATATACCAGCTCTCATCTTTGATTAGCAATGCTTTTGAAGTATAAGTATACACTGTTAGTCTCTCGAATGCCGTTCGTTGCCCTGTTTAACTATGAACTCAACCTAAAACTGTAATCCTGCAACTTTGCCAAGACCGCGGTCTCGTCACATCAAATTCATCTTCAATCTCCAAACAATACCTCCACGAGCATATCCACCTTGCACACAAATCTTACGCCCTGTCTTATTGGGCATGCGTATTGCATATAAAATGCGTCTGACATGAGACTAGCTGGACGCGCGACTTGTCAATATCACACAAGCAAACATTGAGGAACGCGACTCGCCACAATGACTACCGCAGCAGATGTGATCGTCTTGTCGTCCTCTCCGAACCCTCCGCGATCACCAGAATTAGCTAGGCATGATCGCAGCCCGGCATGTCACGCCTTGCCACCAGATGCAACGCCACCGCCGGTACCTTCGCCTTCTGGGTTGTTCCAACCGCACACGCGTTCTCGATTCTTTCCCACCCCAATTGCCAGCGACCAGTGCCCGACATACGCGCCGAAAACAAAGAAGAGCTTGACCAAGAAAGCCTCCGATGATCAAAGCGCATCAGACAAGCCTGGACGAAAGACGAAGAAAGTAGCAAATAAGCTAGCACCAGTTGCGCCCAGCAGTCCACAGCTTGACTCCGTGGGCCGAATGGATAATGCGACAAAACTTGGCAAGGGCAAACCCCGGAAAACTGCCAAGATCAAGGACCAGGGCAATATGAAACTGGCTGGGAAGGTTACAAAGACAAGCACCGGAGAGGAGGCAAAGGAACCGACTAAGGCTGGCAAGAAGATGACTGCTACAAAACAGTTACCTTCAACTGATTCAGGGGAGACTCCTGTACCCATGAATGCTTTGGGTAAAGATGAGCAATTGCACCTGGACGAGGCAACGAGAAGAAGAATGGATTGGACCCCACCCAGGGAGACTGCCTGCGAAAATGTCACTCTGGTCGGTGCTTCCGGAGAGCAGGAGAAAGACTGTGAGCCAAACGCCATGGGTGGGTTTGGCAAGCTGCTATCCGATTATAGTTTCTCTGGATCAGCTCCAAATCCCCGCGAGCTTCCCCAGAATGCAAACAGCGGACCAACAAAACGTCGACGTATAGAGTTGGAGCACCCCCAAATTCAACAGCTACTCAATGGCAAGTCCTACAGCTTGAATGATTACACATCTACAGACGACTCGGCTTCAGGGAAGTCAAAGAGGGCAACCAAGGGCAAACCTAAGAAATTTACAACGCTCACGGCTCGAATGACTGCGCAGTATGCACAAAATAACGAACAAGAGGAGGAAGAACCGGTCATGGATTGCGTTCCAGGCATTAGGGCCGCAAAAAACAGGCGAGGAAAAGCGAAAGAAACGGATAACGATTGTCCTTTCACCATTCTTTCTCCGGAAGCTGCTGTCGAGTTTATGAACGATCAAAATCTTGTATTCGGCACCTGCAGTCAGTTGGAAAGAGAGGATTCACCGCAGACCTTGCGGGAAATGCAACAAGCTATCCGTGCTTCTGAGAGTCTTTCATACCAAGTAGGGACATGCGATTCTGTCCATGCTCATAACAGCAGAGCAGCACGAGAACCTCCTATCCGATCTGTCTCAAGGATAACAGGCACTAAAAACCTATGGAATGTTGGATCCAGAGACATAGAGGGCTCTTTGGTTCAGTCTGGAAAGTTGAATGTGGTTGACCTGACTGATCGCCCTGAACTTTCCACAAGTCATGACCAAATGGCCAAACCAGCACTGAAACCCCTTGACAAGAATTGGTTTGAGCTTGACTATGCGGACATTGATTCACCACCTGAAAAAAAGAAACCACTGAGGAAAAGCTCGAGCTCAAACGTCCAGTCTCAGGTTTCAGCAATTGCAACGCCAGTCAAGAGAACTAAGGCTGCTCCAGTGGAACCGGCCATCTCGCAGCAAACTGATCCACAGGCACCTCAAATGCCGCAATATGCTGGGTTTACAGATGCTGAGTTGTCTAAACAAATTGCTAGATTTGGTTTCAAGTCGGTCAGGGGACGCAAGAAGATGATCGATCTCCTTCAGCAATGCTGGGAGTCCAAGCATGGCGGCGCTGCCACTGGTAGTCAGCCAGCTGCCCAGACAGAACAACCGAAAACATCGGCCTCTGCACAGAGCTACGATCCGAAGCCTGCCTTCGATTCGAAATCCAAGGCAAAGACAAAGCCCAAATCGGTAACTTCTACTATCAAAGAAACTTCACTGGAGACCGCAAAATCAGCTCCTGCTTCACGCATCGTTTCCCAGAAAAGTCCGCAGAAAAGCTCAAAGATCAAACCTACCACTGGATCCTCTGCATCATTCATTGACGTGGAAGAAATCCAAGACTCAGAAGAGGAAATCACACCATCTCCAAGTCAAGTACAAAGTCACTACGCCAACATCTATTCAAAGTCCAGAACGGGCAGTCAAACTCGCGAGCACACCCTCGACATCGTCATTAAAACCCCACCTGCAAGCCCAAAAAAAGGCAAACTTACTTCCAAGGTTTCAGTCACAAAGACCCGCACAACTGATCCCTCTGCGCGAGTCAGCCTGGCAGACATATCTGCCCAGATTACCAAAGCTGTTCGAGCTCAGCCTCGGCTCTCACCATTGTCATCAGCTCTGGGCAGCCGCAGTCGGTCAACATGGCATGAGAAGATCCTCATGTATGATCCTATCATCTTGGAGGATTTCACAGCGTGGCTTAATGTTGAAGGGCTTGGGCTTGTCGGTGAAGATCGAGAGATTGGGACTGCATGTGTCAGGGAGTGGTGTGAGAGTAAGGGGGTATGTTGCTGCTGGAAAAAGAATGCAAGCTGGTAGAGGGGTGGTGGCTAGCATGATCCGGAGTTCTTGTACTTTTATAATAAATTTTGGATACCCAGGGAACACATTGGGTTTGTATAGCATTTACACAACTATTTTGCTTCTTTTTTCATCTATTCTCTGCCAACAAAGTATCATTTCCAGGAAAACATCTATGTATCACGACAAAACATCCCCGCGACAACCTCCAATCCTTCCATTCTTAAACACACACATTGCATGGGATAGGAAGACCAAATAAAAACAGGCACACGATGGATATGGCAAGCTAAACCCCAAAAATCAAAAATGCCACAACACGTAGCACGATCACAGAAGATGCATCAGATCAGCCTCTGGATTGCTAAGAACAAACCCCGCCTAGCAAACCAGTCAGTATTAGAAAAGACATGCAAGAAGAAGAAGAAAGTGGAAGAAAATAGAGGACTCAGAAAAGAAGAAACTGAAAAAGAAGGCCGCGATAGTCCATCGTGGATATAAACAAACAAAACAACGACATACCTCATAGGTATCAAGAGACGACTTGTACATGTTGATCCGACTCTTGAGTTCCGCATGGGAATCCCGCAGCAACTCGTTCTCTTGCTGCAGCCTCGTAACTTCCCGCTTCAGGTTATCCGCCTGGCCATTGAGTCTTTCGATAACGAGGCGCATCCGCCCGGCTTCACCACGCACGTATGTTTCTCCGGTCACGCGGTCAGTGACTTTGCAGGAGAGGTTCTGGGAGATGCAAGAGGCACAGCCGCTGTGGTCGGGTGTGCATCGCATCTTCTTGGCCTAGATTTTTATTATATAGATTAGTATGCTATTTTGGGTAATCAGGAAGGTTGGTAGATATACCTTGCACCTATCACAGGCTTGGCCAATACGGCTGTTGGACTTCTTCACCTTGTCACGCATTTGAGCGGACCAGTCTGGCTCGGGGTCGTTGCGGCCGCGGCGAGTCTTCTTCTTTTTTGGGGCTGTGTTCTCGCTTGGGGTAATGGCGGTTTCGTTGGCAAAGGACTCATTCATTGTAGTATCGCTACTAGGGACATCACTAGTAGGGCTATCGCTGGTAAAGACGTCGTTGGTAGGGATTTCGCCAGTAGAGGCATCAACGGTAGAGACATCGTTGGTAGGGACATCGGTAGGGACATCATGGATAGAGATATCTCCGACAGTACCATCACTAGGGGAAGCCTCGCTAAAGGAAGCCTCGCTGGTAGGGTTCTCAGTGATGGGAAGTTCGTTGAAAGTATCCATTTCCTCGATGTTTGCTTTTGGTAGATGGAAAGTAACAGTAAACCGGCGTCCGATCTCGTCTTTTTATGCGGAAGAGTCCAAATTTGACTTGGATGTCTGTTTGGAAACGTGTGAAGGTCTTTCTTTCAACTCGTAGGCTTGTTCCGGGGATGTGTGGTCAGGTTTCTGGTCATCTGGTAATTCTATTGTTATTGATGTCTACCGGGACACCTATCTAAATGACAACGCCTTTGTTGCAAGATGATCTCTCTTTGTTTGCGTTTCTGGCTTCGCCGCCACAAAGGATCGCCCAGTCATCAAGTCATTGTTTTGCATTTCCACTCCTTTTTGTTACGACTTGTTTTGGTTTTTCAGTCAGGGTCTAGGGGATCAAGGACAGAGCGATTGTTGTATATTTACAGCTTCTTATTCTTTCGAAACTGATTTACTGGACTATCTTGTATCTTACTGTTGACTGGTTTGAAAACCGTCTTAGAGTTTACATTACTGTTTCCTTTCCTTTGTTTTGTGAACTTTTTTAGCGTCTACCTCTAGCCATGTCATTAGATATCATTTGAGTAATCAAGCTATTTATTCTGCGCCAACATATATAAGAACCTTACTTAACAATCGCCTAGCTTCTAGTCTTGGCTCCTACATCAGAGACGACATACAAAATGTGTTTACTATTCTTTACCAAATATATGGCCTGCAACTGCGTTCTTCCGGGGCGAGTCGAACAGTGCATCGAATACGGACAACCAATTTTCAGGCGAACTGCCTGTTCAGGACTAGCAACAGGTTTACTCAACGTCACCGGGGTTGAGCTACAGGAAACTCGACTTGAGAAGAAAGACGGACTTTGTCATAAGTGTTCGTTCAGGATGCGCGATGAGATGTGGATTCTTCTTAATAAATGGGATGAGGATTCCCTGCGAAAGGAGGTAGAGGCAAAAGAAATGGAAGCTTGAAAGATGGACACGTAAGATGCGTAAGAGGCATCGAAGAGAGGCATAAAAATGACGAGAGAGATTTGCCCTTCTCTGTGGACGTGGCAGCCGCGCAGCGGGACGTCAGAGCAGACAGTCATATCCGCCAAGCAGAGCGGTTGAGGATGGTCTGCGGAGATAACCCGCTAATTGACCTGGTATTGCAAACGAGGTTGACAGTGAAGCACAAGAGGATGATGCGCCGTCCCACCGTAAGTGCAAGCTGCGCTAGACGCAATAGCAGGCAGCCCAACGAGGAGAGACCATTGACGCGCTTAACCTACCCAACAAGTTTGACGCGAGCAAAGATGTGGTCTAAGCCATGGCAGATAGCCCGCAGAAGGAGGAGATAACCAGAGGACAGATAGGGGACGGTCATGGACATTAGGTCCGTCAGGAAGACAGCTGAATGTGATCATCTTTCTTGTTCTAGCTTCAGTCTACTATGTAGCCCTTATAGAAGAAGCCAAAAGAGAGAGGCCAAAATAGGACGAAAATAATACATGAAATAGCGTACTCTTAAGGCTTTCGTGTAGAAACCATCTAATACTTTATCAGTGGCACTGTATGACTTACATACTTCTATACATATTTATGCACAGAAAGTACCATTTCCTGCAAGGGCCTCTAGAGCTGCGATGACGGCTAATAAATAACCCCACAACTTGATCGACGTCTCATGTACTCGAAGATAAAGTATCCAGTGCGTGTATATAAACAGAGGTGTGCGTGGAGAGTACATGAAACACGCTAGTTACGTAGGCCGAGGAAGCCAAGTGCAGTGAAGCTGGTACTGCCACGCCATCTCAGCCAAACACGCCCCCCTGAAACAGTTGCTCGAGCAACGCAAAGACAACACACACATCAACAAATGAAATCGTTGCAAGGAGACTCTCGGAGAATACTGCATCCTATACCCCATACATCTTTAGGGATCTCCCTTTAGATCCACACATTCTTCTCGATATTCCTTATCGCAGCTTCCCCCGGCCTTTTGTAAGGTGTCAACTGCTCTGACGCGGCCCTCAACTTCGCGACTTGGGGGTTAAATACGACCTTCACCATGGCTGCCTCCGACGGCGCTTCCTCAATCAGCGTTGCAGTCCGAGTTCGTCCCTTTACGATTAGGGAGGCAGCACAAATCACCAGATCTGATGATGGGCCCCTGTTCCTCGGTGACGGGTCCCTGGCGGGTGCACCAGCACCAAAGCTTAACCAGAAGGGAATCCGCTCCATCGTGAAGGTCATCGACGACCGATGCTTGTGAGTATTGATCCTCATCTGGTATTGGGTTTAGTAAGTTGACTGGACTAGGGTATTTGACCCCCCAGAGGACAATCCTGTCCAGAAGTTCTCCAGGAGCGTGGTGCCCAATGGCAAGCGCGTCAAGGACCAAACATTCGCCTTCGATCGCATCTTCGACCAGAATGCTTCTCAGGGGGAGGTGTACGAGTCGACCACACGCAGCCTTCTCGACAACGTACTCGACGGATATAATGCGACGGTGTTTGCATACGGTGCAACGGGGTGTGGAAAGACCCATACAATCACTGGAACTGCCCAGCAGCCCGGTATCATCTTCCTCACCATGCAAGAGCTGTTTGAGCGAATTAACGAGCGTTCGAGCGAAAAGTCGACTGAAATTACCCTTTCCTACCTCGAAATCTACAACGAAACAATTCGCGACTTGCTTGTCCCCACTGGAAGCAGTGGTAAGGGAGGGTTGATGCTACGTGAAGACTCCCAGCAGTCAGTCTCCGTCGCTGGCCTGTCAAGCCACCACCCGCAAAGTGTGGAGCAAGTCATGGATATGATCATGCGAGGCAACGAGTGCCGTACCATGTCGCCCACCGAAGCGAATGCCACCTCATCCCGATCGCATGCCGTTCTCCAAATCAACATCGCCCAGAAAGATCGGAATGCCGATGTCAATGAACCCCACACGATGGCCACTCTCAGCATCATTGATTTGGCTGGAAGCGAGCGTGCTAGCGCCACAAAGAACAGAGGCGAGCGGTTGTTTGAGGGTGCCAACATCAACAAGTCTCTGTTGGCCCTGGGCAGCTGCATCAATGCCCTGTGCGATCCTCGGAAGCGCAACCACATTCCCTACCGAAACTCTAAGCTCACTCGTCTCCTTAAGTTTGCTCTTGGTGGAAACTGTAAGACTGTTATGATTGTCTGCGTCAGCCCTTCGAGTCAACACTTCGATGAGACACAGAATACTCTTCGATATGCCAACCGAGCAAAGAACATCCAGACCAAGGTCACTCGGAATGTCTTTAACGTCAATCGGCACGTCAAGGACTTCTTGGTCAAGATTGACGAGCAAATGAACATGATTAACGAGCTTAAAGCGCAGGCAAAAGACCACGAGAAGGTCGCTTTCGCGAAGTTCCGCAAGCAGAACGAAAAGAAAGATGCTGTTTTGCGTGAGGGCGTCGCCCGAATCCGTAATGCATATGAGCATACACTGCTCGAGCGGCAGGAAAAGACCAATAACATGCTAAAATTACGACAAATCAGCCGCAGAATCGGCATTCTATCATCTTGGATCGCAGCCTTTGACAATGTCTGCGCAACGCGCGAGGACCAGGAGGGATTGTCCAACTTGTATGCCGTTCGCAAGTCTGCGCAGGGTATCCTCGTTGAGCTGGAAGGCAGCAGACACCATTACAACCAGCGATTATCGAAGAGCAACTGGGATCGTGCAGTAAACTCAGCCGTTGAAAATGCCGCCAAGCAACTCCAGGAGTTTGATACTACCGACAACAGTGACTTTGCCAACCTGAACCGAGAAGCAGAGCTACTGAGGTCTAATGCAGAGCGCGAGGCATTGTCAGCCGTGGTGGAACAAGACAAAGCCGGGGAGGCCTCTGCTGTACAGCTTCTTTTGCAAGCACAGTTTGAGATTATGAGCTCGATCGAGGAGATCATGCAGCTAAATGCAAGCGAAGCCATCAAAAAGGGACGGACGATCCTTATGAAGATGATGGAGGATTGCACCAACACCGCATCAAACCTTGTCAAACCAGATGGAGGCATGCCCGGTATCCCGAACGTCAGCTCCGCCAGGCCAGCAAGTCCCACAAAGCCAAAGAAGAGATTCAGTTTGGTCAGCCTGCCGCCTATATCGAACGCCAACCCTCCAGTCACATTCGCCGCTGTTGCTCCAACGTCACCAACCAAAGCCTCTCCCCGTCGTCGCAAGGTTGCACCTGGCCGGAAGAGCGTCAGCTTCACGCCGAAGAAGACTCAGTCAAAGCCCGCGAAACGATCTGTCCGCTGGAAGGACGACGAGCAAGATGGTGCTCTGACTGAGTTCCAAAAGAGCCCTAAGAAGGTTGAGTCTGACTTTGTCGATGGACCTAGCTGGGGGGAGCCATCCTTGCCTCCTCGGTCAGGATCTCCTATTCCGCGGGATATCCCGAGAGTAGCTAGCCCGGCGCTCTCTGTATCTCCCGTCTCCGACGAGCCTGCTGAACCCGCTGAGCCGACATTGAACGTCCAAAAGAACAACAGCCGCTTCAAAGCAGGATTCCTGTCCAAGAGGGCTGGTAGCTCACCATTGGCGCCCCCGCCTTCATCCACTCTCCCTCTCACAGGCAGGGAGAACTCTCCACTCCGTGACATCGAGGGAAGCAGTTTCATGAACCGGAGCCCGATGGAGCGCCCATCCCGCATTGCAGTCCGCAGTCCCAGCGGAAACTTCTCAAGCGGCCCAGTTTCTGAAAATAGGGACGACTGGAAGTCGGATAAGGAAGATGCAATCAAGATCAACTCGGCCATGCGACGCATCTCAAGCAGTCATACCGGTGCCTCATCTGCCAACTTCCTACGAGTTCACCGACGCCGCAGCCCAACTTCGGATACCTATGGGGCTACCCTGGGTGAAAACAACATGTTCACCGCGTCACAAGCGCGGCGCATGGTCAAGAGCGAGAGAGAAGTCCACGCAAAGCCTCGTGTGTTGAGCCCTCACACTCTTCCCGTGATGAAGAATACCGGACGCCGCACTACGTTGGGGGATATTCGACCTCGGAATCTCAGCATCTCCAGCCGGGATGCCATTCGTCTTAGCGCAATGGCAGCGCCCCCTGTTGACCGCTAGTCGGACGCCTCCTACGGACTGTGGTAAATGATTGTCACTTATATTTCAAGCACAGCCTGGCGTGGCTTTTGGCCAAGTGGTGTTATTGGACCCTGGGATAGGCGTTTTGTTGGCGTAGCAGATACCACCTCTTTTTCTCTTGTACACTCGGAATCATAATAATTTCCCTTGTCATGTCTTTGATTACTTTGCTAGGAGTGTATAGCACCAAGCTCTATTTCACATACTTTTTTTTTTTTTTTGGGTGTATACTAAATATGTCTTTTGCCACATTCAGCCCTAATTGCATCAAATGCCGAATTCCCCGCGCTGCTTTGTCAGATTCCGAGATGACGCCACTGGGCGTTGGAGCTTTATAGCTTCATAGCTTCTTTTGTACTTTTCTCTTCTTCTCTACTGACTCCTCCAACTATACTCATATTCTCCCTTTAACCCGCAATTTGTCATAACTTGAGGGAATACACCCATCCATTGCCGACGACATCCCCACTTCTTATCGAGTACGTCCCCACCAGAATTTCTGCAGATGTCTTTTGCCGCACCGCTTGCCTCGACTTTCTTCTCACGCTTCTTCCGTCCTTTCTCAACTAGTCGGACAAGTTCCCTAGCTCCGGAATCCCAAACGCGCACAATGTCAGACACACAGACCGCGACCGTAGCAGCCGGCTGCTTCTGGGGCGTCGAGCACCTCTACCGCAAGAATTTTGGCAACGGCAAAGGCCTCCTTGACGCCAAGGTAGGCTACTGCGGCGGCGCAACTTCGTCACCTTCATACCGAGCTGTATGCTCTGGCAACACTGGTCGTGAGTAGTAATAAATACCCGCACCTCAGGAACAATCCGCCAGAGACCGGATAGAATCGCCGTCAGAGGAGCTGACTGTATATTTCCCCCTTTCCCCCCTGCAGACGCCGAAGCCCTCCAAATGACCTTTGATCCCTCGATCGTAACCTACCGCCAACTCCTCGAATTCTTCTATCGCATGCACGACCCCACGACAGAGAATCGGCAAGGTCCGGACGTCGGTACCCAGTACCGCAGTGCTATTTTCACACATGGAGAGGAGCAGCAAAAGATTGCTGAAAATATCTCCGAAAAGGTTAGCAAGGAGTGGTATAAGGCGCCTCTTTCCACTAAGATCCTGCCCGCGGGTCAGTGGTGGGATGCCGAGGAATATCACCAGCTCTATCTCCAGAATAACCCTGCTGGATATGAGTGCCCTGCGCAGTACGTGCTTGAATTTTCCCTTATTCTCTGTGTATGGGATTGCTGACTTTATGTTTTCTAGCTTTATTCGGACCTTCCCTCCTCTTTCGGATTGACTAGGTTCTAGGTTGTGATTGATTTTAGCCTAGTCTTTATAATGCATATGACAAGAGTCAATACAAATCTCTTTGGATTTATGGTACATATTTGCCGGTTTTGATTCCATATACTAGCCAACCTTGAGGTCACGACACGAGTGTTTGGCATTATCTAGAAGGATGGAGAGGCCTGCGCCTCGCATGTTTCAGCTAATTGTTCAGGCCTTACGACATCCCTCTTTCTTTTATTGGATAGCCTCACCCTCAGGGTAGCCTCGTAGTGCCACCTGAATGTTGGCGCGAGGAGCGGCCTGCATCACGATCGGATTGCCTTTAGCCTCTTCTTTAGCCTCTTCTTTGGACATTTTCGAGTGCCTTGTGTGCCTTGGATTATAGTTCTTCTAAAACGGTGGGTTAATCATACAGATTGTATAAAGGTGGGGGTGTGAACGACTTTTGGCCTATGGCTGTAGACAGTACGTCTCACATCATAACGAGCTTTGATACATTGACCCTTGAAGCTATGTACGAATCCCCGAGCTGACTGGCCTTTTGATATCATTTTAATCGTAATCACTGTCCATTAATTACCGAGTTGAACGCCATGCAAGAAATAACTAAATCCTCCCAGAAGCGCCATAAGCCACTCTAGACATAGTCCCCGACGCCTTTTTCTGAGCCATAGCAGTCTTCACTCTTCATCCTCGTCATCAAAGGTCGGGATAAGGACATCCCAGCCCGGGTCTTCATAATCAAGATCCATTTCGTCTTGGCCCTCATTTGGTTTGCGGAAGCGGAAGGCAACTGTATGTCCGTTCTCAAGACCAGCGGCCATCAAAGTGACTGCCTCCTTCTTGGATTTGCCCTTCTTTTTCTTTGTAGTTCCCTCCTCGTCTAGTTCTGGTGCATCTGCGTCGAGCCGTCGCCAGCCCTTCTCGAGATCGGCGCGGTCCATGGGCACACCAAATTCGATATCGAAGGAATCGTCGGGAATGGGATCGCCATTGATATCGGTCACTCCTCGTGAGTTCAAAGCTTCGAGCAGCTTTTCCTTTGCGGTGTCGAGCGATTCATGAGTTTGAAGCATAAGAAGGACGGTGGTTTTATGCTTCTTGAAGAAGAGGGTCGCCGCGCTCGAGTCGAGCTTGGATTTTGGTGGCTGATCGATAATTAGCCATTTTAGTTTGAGTGAATAGCTTCATCTAGCAATAGAGGAGATGCTCATACCATTGTGGAAATTGTAAAGGGTGCTGGTGGTGTGTGTCTGCGCAATCTTGCAGGGTGACGAAGGCGGAGAATCCGGCGGGACTCCGCGTTCCGCTCCGACTCGAGGTTTCGAGCTTTGCAGAGACCACTCACGCTTTCTCTCCACGCTTCTTATCGCTATCTGTGGCTCCCTCCTCACTTCATCCAACATGGAGGCCAGCCGCCCTCCCTCTGTCGAGTCCTCGCGCGCGAACTCCGTCCTCCTCAGAATCATTCACTGGGACAAGCTCTTTGAATGCGACAGCCCTCCGCGGTTAGGAATTGACGTCAGGAAGCGCATCCCCTATGCCACCATGTCTGCCTTTATGTCCGGTTCCATGCTAGGTTACTATCACGGCAGCAAAAAGGCCGGCTTCGTGTTTCGGGCGGAAAATGCGCATCGCTTCCCCACAACCTCGCCAGGGTGGTTCCAGTACCATAAATCGAAAAACTACATTAGTGTGGTGGGAGGTGTCAAGGATGGCGCGAAGATGGGATTGAAGCTTGGTGCTGGTGCACTCACATTCTGTTTGTTCGAGGAGACGGTGGATTATGCCCGACATGAAGAGAGAGACTTTTTGTCGACGGTCACCGCTGGCTTGTCATTCTCAGGCATCTACAGCTTGCTGGGTGAGTAACTGAATATTCGACTGTGTTATTGTGGGAAACAAGGTTAACATACTACTCTTCAGCTCGTCACGATGTCTACACCGCCGCCCGTACTGCAAAGCTTGGATTGAAACTGAGTCTGACCTATGGACTTTTGCAAGATGCCCTTGAGGCGCTCAAGGGAAACCGCCCTGCCTATATTGACTTCATGATGGGCAATCGTCGGTCCAAAATTGAGAAGGAAGGATCGATCTGATCTTACGTGGTCAATACGAATTGCTCCCAAGCTTATTCAATCTGCAGCTTCGCATCGCGACCAGCTTGCCCAACTCTTAACAGCAGAGAGCAGAGACTCCCCCCGAATACTGCCCTTCACTCCTCGGGCCACTGGTCACCGCCATCGCCACTCATTGCCAGCGACATGTCTGTTCCGTATGCCATCGCAGCCACTATACTCCCGATTCCGACGGCAAGAACCATATGCCCGAGTCGATCCAACCTGAATCAGTATACATGTACTCTGATCACCGAACCCCGTCTGAGAGATTCGGCCCGGTCACATATGTCGGGACCTCATTTGTATCGGTCGACATTTGAACTGTGGGGTCACCGACAGTCACGCTCATACTCGTATTCTGCTATGTATTATCTACAGTTTGATACCCAGTTGTCTCATTATAACCAAAAATTCACACATTCTTCCGAAAATTGACTACTACATTGTCACACGTGACCCACCGGATTCTGCAGGAAATGCGAGTCAGAGATCTTCAGAGAGATTGTGATGAAGATCTTAACGGAAACCTTAATGGAGAATTGGCACAATGCGTGATCTGTATATTAAAGTATATAAAAGTACAGTATATTTCAATCGAGAGCGAGTTTGACCGGATGTAGACCTATTCAGACGTATATTGGTACTTTCTTTGTCTGTAGAGCCGATCCCGCATGCAGGTTCAAAGAGAATTGACCGGTCACCCCCACCGAAAAAGTAGCGATAAAATATGAAATGTTTCCCCCAAAAACGCGAAGTCATTGAAAAGTGGAGGTTTCCATAGAGTTTCCGAAGGATCCCAGGTGATCGGTGGAGAACTTTGACGTCGCTGATTCAAACCCCCCACCTACCGAAGCTCTGACACTTCCTCTTTTCCTCACCTTTCCTACCCTGCAATGTCTGTTTCCTGGAGCTCGCCATACTAGCTCATTTCACCCCATTGGGCGTTGAAAATGCCAATGCGAAGTTCGACCACGCTGCTATCGTCGACGTCATCGCCTTATTGAGCTCACTAGCCCGGGCCGTAACGTCTGAACTATTCCTCCCACCTCTCCCTTCTCAATCGCGACTTCGATCAAAATGCGTCGCCATGGCAGGTCGAGTGGGGGGCCAACCAAGGCCGCCTCGCCCATGTCCGATACCGTCTCCCTCATACACTCGTTCGATTCGGTCCTGAACCCTAACCGTCCCGTCCGACCCTCGCCCTTGGCCTCCTCCCACATCAAAGCATTGCCGCTAGAGCTGGTAGATCGATTGCGCTCCTTCCCGCTGTTTCAGGCCACACCGGAATCCTTTTTGTTTGAGGTCGGACAGCACCTGCGCCCGCAGCTCCACGCGCCCAACGATTACATCTTGACGGAAGGCGATGAGGCCAAGGCAATATACTGGCTGGTGCGGGGCGCCGTCTCGGTCACATCCCGAGATGGTGAGAGTATATACGCCGAGCTCCAACCTGGTGCGTTCTTCGGCGAGATTGGCTTGCTCATGGACCGTCCTCGCACTGCAACCATTATCGCCCGGACTCGATGCATGCTGGTCGTGCTCACCAAGGAGGATTTTCGGAATATATTGCCCCGGTTTCCTGAGGTTGAACAGGCTATCCGGGAGGAGGCGCAGGAGCGCTTGATGATTTTGGAAAAGAAGAAGAAAGAAACATCTGCGCCTGCGATGGATCTGGAACCGCCGAGTCCCGCGCGGAGGGGATCAAAAAGACTGCGCGAAAGCTTCTCGAGGGATTTAGCCGTCGCTGAAGATGACGAGGATCTGAGTGCCAAGTCCGTGTACAAGAAGAGGAAGTCCCCGAGCCCCGGCCGCCGGGACGGCTCCAGTGCATTGGCAAACGGATTGGTGAATGTACGGCTCTTACTGAAAGAACTTCCCCTTTTTTCTGGCTTGCCAGCCGACATCCTTCATTTCCTCGGTCTCAATGCTCAACCGCGCTCCTTTCCTCCATTCACCGACATCATACGACAAGACTCGCAAGGCCGTGAACTCTACTTCATTGTTCGCGGCGAGGTAGAGGTCTTAACCGAAAAGACCGATCAGAAGCACACATCTAATAATAAACCGAACGGGATAGAACAACCAGGATTCGAGGTCAAAGCTCGATTAAAGCAGGGCCAATATTTCGGCGAAGTTGTCAGTCTAGCACTAGCACCACGACGGACCGCCACGGTCCGTTCCGTCACTTCAGTCGAATGTCTGATGCTCGGCGGAGACGTCCTTGCTGAATTTTGGGAGAAATGTCCCAGTGGCGTGCGAAAACAAGTGGAACAAACTGCCCAAGAAAGGCTTCAAGCTGCGGCCGATGGCGACGTCGTCATGTCGGATGAGACGGACGCCCAAACTTCTATGGGTGATCTCGCGCTTGAGGACAGGGTGAAAATTACTTCGTCTCGTCGACGCTCAATGCCCCTCTTGACACTCACTGAGACTGAGCTTGATGGTCCACATCAATCTTCGTCAGTCGAAGACCAAGATCAGGCAGTGTTGCGGCCATCTGATCCCGACCCTTATCTCAGCATGGGTCTTGATAAAGTGCGGCTTCGCAACCGACGCGGCTCAGTGGCTCCGCTGACCCCTGAAGAAGTCTCAGGCGAGCACCAGCGCTCGTCTCCTACCGAGCCACGCTCTGGTAGCTCTTCGACACTCGCTCTTCCAGAAACGGTCGGCCTCTCAAAACCTTATAAAGTCGGACGTCCCCGCAAGGACGGTTCCAACGGTATTCTTCCAGACAGTGTATGGCTGAATATCTTCCAATTCCTCGAACTCCACCACCTTCTCCGACTAAGAGCAGTGTCATCCCACTGGTCCGAGATCTTGACCAGATCTCCAGACGTTCTGCGCGATTTAGACCTTAGCGTCTACAACCGCAGGATCACCGATGACGTCCTCGTCAAAATCATCTGTCCCTTTGTCGGAACTCGAGCCCGTTCCGTCAACATCAACAACTGCTTCCATATCACTGATGAAGGTTTCACGGCCTTGTCTGCTACTTGCGCTCCGAACACCACTGTGTGGAAGATGAAGAGCGTATGGGATGTTACAGCATCTGCCATCCTCGACATGTGCAGCAAGGCTATACGCATCCAAGAGGTAGACCTGAGCAACTGTCGCAAGGTCGGGGATACACTCCTTGCACGAATTGTCGGATGGGTTGTACCTGCCGATCAAAAGCCTAGCGAAGGCAAATCGTCATCCATCAAACCCTCAATTCAGACGGCAGAATGCACAGTGTACGGCTGTCCGGAGTTGAAGAAACTCACGCTGTCTTACTGCAAACACGTCACTGATCGTTCCATGCATCACATTGCGTCTCATGCTGCTGGTCGGATTGAAGAGATGGACTTGACTCGTTGCACCACAATTACGGACCAAGGGTTCAAATACTGGGGAAGCGCCCAGTTCACCAACCTGCGGAAGCTCTGCTTGGCGGATTGCACATACCTGACAGACAACGCTATCGTGCACCTAACCAATGCGGCGAAGAACTTGGAGGAGCTTGATCTGGTAATATAAGCCTTTCCATATGAAATCAAAAAAGTTCAACTCAGATACTAACCGCAATCAGACTTTCTGCTGCGCATTATCAGATACAGCAACCGAGGTTCTTGCCCTACAATGCTCACAATTGAAGTATCTCAACATGGCATTCTGTGGATCTGCAATCTCCGACCCTTCCTTGAGAAGCATCGGTCTTCACCTCCTTTCACTCCGACACCTATCTGTGCGTGGATGTGTGCGAGTTACCGGAATAGGTGTCGAGGCTGTAGCGGAGGGCTGCCATCAACTCGAAATCTTCGACGTCAGCCAGTGCAAAAATCTCTCGTCTTGGATCGAGGATGGTGGTGCCGCCCGCTACCAACCGAAAATCAAATTCCAAACTGTTGCCAATAGCAAGATACCGCGTCGGTGAGCAGACAAGCTTAAACTTGAGAACGCGTCTTTCGTCAGATACCTCCGCCACAGTCGCCTTGTCTTCGAGCCGTTGTCCATGACTCAAATCGACGTCTGTGATAACCCTCACCTACCTTCGACATGCATTATACATTTACTGGCACATAATGTAGGCGGATTCGGATATCCTTCTCCATTCTCTGCTGATATCCCTTCTAGTTCTCTTCGGCCGCTGTGAACTATTTCGGCGTTCGGGCTATCTAGGACAGCTTATTTCACCTGTGGATATGGATTTCGTTCTTTTTTTTCTTGCGTCGGCTCCGGGTTCTTCAATTTGTATTTCTGGGGGTTTCGGGTCTCTATCTATTCCCGTGGGCAGGTTAAGCAAGCATGGCCGGAGTTCAAAGATTGATGGCATGTCTTTCATGTGGTTTGTTTCTTTTCTTGACTTGATACTCGTGGATGTTCTTTATCTTTGACATCTTTTTTTTACTACTCACGAGATAATGCTGGCACATCCATTTGATCCTGATTGGTCTTCTCGACTTGCTGTATTCTTTTTGCCTCGTGGATGAGTCTTGTAGGGTTGCATAGGAGAAATCTAAGGCAAGGTATTGTGTACAAAAAAACAGAAAGTGATAAGTCTGTCGGCAATTTCCTTTGCTTGTCTGCTTATTTCATTAACGATTACTGTCGTGGAAGAATCTCTGAAGCACAGGCTTGTATGCAACTAACAAACAGCAAATATTGGTGATACTGCTACCCCTATGCAATGCGCGTGCAGTTATGATGATATGGGCTATATGCTAATTGCCTTCTTTTGGCGTTATAAAGGGTTTAGCTGTGTCCATTTCTTTTCTCTTTCTTACAAAACCCAACAGCTCACCAAGAGAACGAAGGTGTGTATGAAGTTATGACCTAAGAGACTTAGTCTATCGCCAATAGCTCGGGGCGAATAGAGTGGTCTTCACTTTACTTCATGAATTTCTATACAATGAAGGTAGTGGAGTGGTACGAAAATGTCTATCTCTGGGCAACACTTTATGCTAACAATTTAGTTCAAGTATCATGCACATCTTAAATCTTCCACTCTTTTTGCACGTTCGATTTTCATATTTCGTTCATGGCTATCTCCGGGCCTACGTCATCTCTGACGTTATTATTAAGTCAACAAAGCTTCCGCCGAGTCAGGCTCCCGTGGCTCTCTCCCTAGGTACCTTTCGGCATCTATGTTATGTTGCATGATTCGCTGTGGCTATATTTACACACATTACATTCAATCCTACAGACTAATATGTCTACAACTCATTTCTATATCCTCGCTCACTACGGTGATCGCTGATCTAGATCACAATAGTGTCCGAACCCCGATGATCGATATTGGTTATATTCGCAGCCTTTCTATTCTTTTTATTTTGTCTATGTCAAAACAAAAGGATTCCGAGTATATCCTATGCTTCCTGGCTCTGGCATTCTATATATGGCCGGATGATGTTTATATCCTTCTCAGATTTCCTTTATCTTTTCTTCGGTTTCTCTTCGCTTCTTCTCTTCTTCGGCTTTACATACCCTTTACCACATATCATATCACTTATTGTTTCACCCACTTACTTTACTAGGATACTGAATTCTCTTCTTTATCCCCTGTTAAGTAATTTTTTTTCATTACTCTATGCTCTTTATCCTTGATACCTTAAGTCTGGTTTAATGAACGTTAAAGACTCTAAAACCAATCAATCCTAGCCATCCTTGGCAATATATAAGCTTATATCTTCTCCTATTGGCACTATTTTCTCTATATCCCTATCCTGTTGATGTCTCTATTCTATTTACATTTATATTCTATTTACATTTCTATCCTCGTTACATTTCCATCCTCATTACATCTCTATCCTCGTATATCTCTTCCCCTTGCCCGGTTCTTCCTTTCATCCCTTCTCTCGGAGCTAACTAAGCCTTTACAATGCTAACTGCAGATAGAAACTACTAACTCGCCAGGTCTTCCTTCGCTTTCACTTCCCCTTCTTACAACTACTTACTTTCGCAAACACCCCTCCTCTTTCACTAGTGGCATTTACGGCTTCCTGGCTCTCCCCTCCTTTTGTCCTGCTCCCCTCTTCGTCTCTTTGCTGCTACTTCTTCTATGACAAACATCCCTAGCTGCCTCCTTTGCTAAACACAGTTAGGTTGAGTTTTTCGCCATCCTCAATTGTCATCACCCCCAAGCTCCACATATTCATGGGTCGGACTCTGCAGCCGCAACAATGACTGAGCAGGCCGCATTCAAGCTGAACAGGGCCAGAGCCCTGGTTCGTGAAACCCAGCAGTGGGTAGGTTATAGCCCTACAATAGCAAACTTTTCTGCGTATAGTAACATGTCTGACAAACAGGCTGCCCGCGCGGGCAAAACGTTGCTCGCTGTCGACCTCTGTCAAATTGAGGGAAGGCTTGGTACGGCAATGGAACAATACCACGTCGTCCTCCCTCCCCGACAGTCCGCCGCACGGGTAAGTGATGCTTCATTCGCTGGTATAAGATATTAACGCAGATTGCTCTTTAATAGACACGGGCCGGTTCTCAGAATGGAAACGGTGCCCGCAAGCCCTGGTATGGACCACGGCAGTTTGAATCCCATGAAAGGCTCGCGGGTTCGCGCCCTTCTCAATCCGAAGGCAACAGGCACAACGCACCTCCTCTCCCGACCAAGAATGGCGGCTCACAGGCTTCCACTGTCTTCCCTATTCCTGGAGCCCCTACTGCCCCCAGATCTATGCTGCGGCCTGCTGCTACCAACCCCCCACATCAGGAATTGCTGATTGACTTCACTGAGGATGTTGCCGTTGTTGGTTTTGCCCAGACTGTGGAGAAGAACGAATCCCCGGACAATACGCCAGTCCCTATGCGCGTCTCGTTGCCTTTTCAGCCTGAGTCGGATGCATTGATCAGCTTTGACTCTGACAGTGATACCCACTCAGAGAGCAACATCAAATCAAAGAATTCCAAGGTACCCACCCTGTCTACCACTGCGCCCGTCTTCGCGCCGATGGCCATCTCTGGGGCTATCTCAGGTATCCTACTCTCCTTTGACGAGGATGTCGAGGTCGTGCCCGTTGCTTTGGCCTCTGTTATGGCCTTCTCGGACCAAGACCTCGACAGAGATCTTCAACCAGAGGATCAGGTTGTCGAGGCAGATCCTGCGGCTGCGACAAGCGTTACTACTATGGTCTTGAGCCAAAGCGCGAACGAGAACAAGATTTCCAAGCTGAAGGATCAAGAGATCGTTGCGGTGCCTCCTCAGTCAGTGAATACTTCCGGTGCCTCTGATACCATGGAAGTAGATTCGACTGGCATTTCCATGGACGCGGAGACCCCTGGAGCCGAGCCGGCTCTTCACTCTGATAATGATGGCCCCGATTCCCACAAGCACGCTCATTTGGTAGATGATGGAAGTGCTGTCCTGGTACCCGTGGATGTGACCCCCTTGGATGTCAGCCCCAAAGTGGTGGACGATCTTGATGACCGGACCATGTACTGTGTTCAAAAGCTCAGGATGCTACTTGAGAAGCACTTGGAGACTACCATCCGCGTATGATTCGCACACATGACCCTATCAGACGACGTGATCTTTGCGACATTTCTATTCTTTTGACTGCTGCAGCTATTGATCTTGAATTTTTTTTTTTTGTAAAAGCGAAAAAGTAACAAAAAAGGAAAGGCTGACAACATTGTTTCAGCAATGCGTTGTTTGTTGCGCTTGTTAGAAGGAACGGGAAAGACAGACACGCAGCATGGTTTTTGATTTTTTGTCCCTTGGGTTTGCGTCTTTGCTCTTTCTATTTTCTTTAGAAACAATAAAAAACCAATAAAACGCACACGCGCAAAGCTAGAGCAATATATGTTCTACTCCTATGAAACTCAAATGAATACTGCTACTTCCACTTTCCTCAGCAATAGAAACCAAAACTCAACTTGAGCCTTTAATACTAGGACGACTATATAACGGTTATAGCAATCGTTGAGAATAGCAATGAAACGGACTAATAAGGGGATCGGAAGTCTAATGTCTTAATGGGGAAGAATTCTTTCAGAAAATGGTACATGGGCGACGTTGATGTGCATTTCTTTGAGATTCTTCTTTTGCATCCTCACTATAGATATCTATACAGACTCTTTTTCATATTGTAGTACAGGCCATAAGTCCTCTCACACTCTACTCTTATATAATCTAGATGGTTAACCTGCGGCACTCGAAAATGGGTGAAAAAGAGGTGAAAAAGAGGTGAAAAAGAGGTGAAAAAAAGGTGAAAAAAAGGTGAAAAAAAGAGAGGCTAAAGTAGAGCGACACTAATGCATGAAACGGGTACACTTGCCTCGAGGTTTTCATGCAGAAACTGTCCATTACTCATAGCATTGTTTACACATCTATAACCCCTGTTGAATGTCCTCTACGCGAGACTTTTCTCATTTATTGTCTCATCATGACAACAAACTCTGCTCCAAAGTCTCTATTGTATCACGAGACTCACAGACAAGAAGATACTGGGCCAGGGCTTCATGTTCATTTCTAGCAGCCCATGATCGTGGTGTTTGACCAACCTATCTTTTGACCTGACATCAACCCTCCTAGTCTCTAGCAATAGCTGAACCACATCCTGATGTCCATTCTCCGTAGTAAACTACAGCGGTGTCCGACTATGTCTAGACTTTGAATCAATAGAATCACGAGACCATCATAAGAAGTTAATTGTGCTGATGGATACAACAGGGTTGCTGAAAAGGATAACACTTCGGAATTGCCCACTAACCGTGTTGAAGGTATTGATGATCGTATCCTGCGATGTCGGGCGAAACATCGTCTACTGGTTCTCGCCCGGAGATGTTGGACCGGACAGGCTAGGAGATGCCAACATGCAGAGTAACCTTAGCACACGCTAAAACTCGCTTCCCAGCCGTCATAATCCAACGTCCGTGAGCACCTAACTTATGGCTCGCCCGACATGTATCGGTTGCCAGCGAATTTAGTGGATGCCGAGGAGCCAAGACTGATATTAGCCCTAAGACTCAGTTGGCCCTACATCATAAAATTGGCTTGGTTCACGGTGCTCGGTTTACCATTCAAGCTACATTATTATTATCTAGATTCTGTCTAACACTTATTTAATCTAAAAAGAAAAAAGCTGCACGACCAGCATGATCAATTTCAGATCGGTCCAGCGCTGCGCTGAACACATTTAGCAATCGCCGGTTTTTAGTATCCACCTCATTTCCCTGGTGGCTCTAGCTAATTGTCACTGAAACATGCCAGACCTAGCACTCAAGACGTGGGTTCCCAGTAGTATGAGACAATTACAACGCAGGCATCACAGTGTCAGTGTCTATATTTATTTGATCTATTGAGACCATCTCCAATGGTAACGGACGCCGCCTTGGACCTAGTATCCAGATTTATTTTACTACCACGGCGAAATAATAGACAAATATAGTAAATTAAGTAGAGCCACCCATATATTGAACAGACCCCTCGAAAAGGATCCAAAATAGAACTATTTTTCCAGGCATGTGCAGATAATCCCAAATCATTACCATATTAGCGGTAGATCGCAGCAGAAAGAAATCAGAATGTTAGACCAGAAGCGGCCAGAAACGCCGAGCAGGTATATAGCATAAAAAATAATCTGGAGAGTGCAGTGTGCGTATGCGTATGCGTGCGCAATGGGACGTCGGACCATCACTAGATGAGAAAAGAAAAGAAGAGACACAAAAGGTACAAGATCCAAGAGTAATTCATTAGGTGATTTGTTCAAGGTTCAGTCAGAGACAGACACGAAGCGAAAGACGCAGAGCCAAAATGTACTTGATACGGGATGCGAGAGGCATTGCAAGAAGAAGTGAAGAAGCGAAGAAGAAAAAGATCCAGAAAGGAAAAGCCAAAGCCAAAAACCGGCGCTCAGTATGGACAATAAATTTACAGCGTCACCAGGCCGACAATAGCGACCAGGACGGCGAAGAGCGATCCACGGAGGACGTGCTCGCTCTGGCTGGCGGCACTGTTGCCCTTGGTGGCGTCTGTGCCCTGGGAGAAGCCGGAAGAGGTGGTAGTCTCGGAGCCGGAGGAGGTGGAAGTGCCAGTAGACGAGGAGTCCGCGCTCGAGCTCGAGTTGGAGTTGGACATACCGCCGGAGCCACCGTTGGAGGTAGGGATGCTGTTGGAAGCGGAGGAGGTGCCAGAAGTGCTGGAGTCTTTGGCACCGAGATCCATGTTGAGGCCAGTGGCGCCGAGGGAGCCGAGGACGGTGTCGTTGCCGGTGATAGCAACGTCACTCTCCATGGCGGCGGAGTTGGTGTAGAGGTAGGACTTGTCACCGGTCTTCTTGACGTCGGAGGGGGCGTCATAGCACTTCACGCTGACCTCGCCGACGGTGGCGTAGTCGTAGCCCTTGCTCTGGATGTCCTCGCTGTTCCAGTCGATGGCACCACCAGCCCAGTCGATTGTGCCCTGGGCGTTGCTGGCCTGGCCGGCGGGCCAGAGGGACATCTGGAGGCGGGAGGGAGTTTGGGGGAACTGGAACTGCTTGGAGGTCTCGTTGTAGGTGTCGGCCTTCTTCAGGGTGCGCTGAACGGAACCATCGACGATCCAGTCCACCTTCTCGGGGGTCCAGTCGATCTCGTAGGTGTGCCAATCGTTGAAGGTATCACCGCCATTCACGGAGATGTTACCGCTGTTGTGCCAGTCAAGAACACCCTGCCAGTAGTAGTTGGTCTGGACGTTAGTCAGGTCGGCACCGACCCACTCGTAGTCGATCTCGTCTTTGACATCGGACAGCAGAATGAAAGCAGTCACAACACCCTTGCCACGGCTGCTCTTGATCTTTCCGGAGATCTTACCGTACCAGATGTAGTGGTTGTTGGCGAACAGAGTACCGACGCTGTTCTTGGGCATGGTCATGATCAGGTTGCCACCCTCGGTCTTGGGCTTGCCGCTGTAAGTCCAATCGGCAGCGCTGGCATTACCGAGGTACTTGTCCTGGGAAACGGCGTTGTCGAGGTTCTCCCAGGTGTAGGTCTTCTCCTCACAAACGGGCATAGGCGCGCAGGAGTCGAGCGAGTAAGAGGCAAGAGGGTCGCATCCGCCGAGACAGTAGGCACCGGTGCCGCACTCGCCATATTCTGCATAAGTTAGCGACCAGTTTACGATTGCGAATTGACAAGAGTCACTCACGGGAGCAGCAGGGGTATTGCTCGTCGGTACACTGGCTGCTGGAGCTGCACTTCTGGGCAGCGAGGGCGGTGACCGACAGCGAAGCCAGGACCAGGGGTGTCAAAAAGCGAACCATGATTATTATGTACTGTTGGTATGTACAGCCGAAACGACAGAATTTACTCGAAGGATTTCAATCCAAGCCACAGGTGAAATGAGTGGACTGTGGAGCAAGGGGGGGGAGGCGGATAATAACAATTCAGATTATATAAACGAAAGACAGCAAGTGAAGAACAAATCTATCACTGCGAAAACGGTGGCGAGAAGAACGAAAGCAAAGAGATCTCGAAAACGGAGAGAGGGGGGAGACGTGGCTAATATAATTCAATAGAATGGGATGTGAACAACCAAGGAACAAAGCACACGCTAACCTGATTGGGCTCAACTCCGACCAAACAGGAAAGGTGGAAAAGGCAAAAGGGTCTTTTTTTGTGGGGAATTGGAGCGTATCGGGGTTTCCCGTCTGTGCTCTTCTTGTATTCTCCTGAAATCTAAATGTCCGTTACTATGCAATTAGGGTTCGCTATGGTATGGTGATGAGAGACGAGGTCGTCGTCATCCCCTAAATCTCGATATTAATATCTCGGTTTCTTAGTGTACAGTAGTCAAATTAGACCAAGACACCGTTAAGTGAGACATCAGGCATCTCCCCAGGTGTTTGTGGTGAGATAACGGAAATTGGTATGGTACGGTAAAGCCACTAGGGTCTGACCGCTGGGCACACCCTGAAAACACCTTCCCCCTTCGATCTTCATGGGGTTGACATTGATCGACATCGATGCATGTTCATGTTTTTTCACTTCTTAACTTAACTTATCTTACACGTTCCACTTTCCACCTTGCACTTTACATGTAGAATACTGTACGGACCAGCAACTAAGCCGGACTCCGTCCTTACTCCACAGGCGCTTGGGACCGAATCGCCACGCCAAGCTAAACTCTTCTGGTCAAGGGCTGACTGGGACAAAGAGAAAAGAGTCCCAATTTTCAATACTCATTTACCCGAGCACCCACAGGGTTAGACCTCCCACAAATAACAAGCTCCAAGACCATGCCACGCCTGCCAATCCCTGGGCGCCAAACTCCTCTAGTGACAATTCGGTCGCTTTAAGGACTCTCGGCACCGAACATCCGTATTCCTATTCTACATTGTGAACTTCGCCCCCCTGTATCTGCCCATCACGTGTGCTCAACCCTATCCTAGTATAGTCGCGGGCATTTGGGGCATCGTTCAGAGATCGACTCCAGTGCTCGTTCTCGTCTATAAGGGGTGGATAAGCGATAAGCATATCTGTCGCTTTCGGAGGGTTTACAGGCTTGCGTCAGAGGTATGT